TCGGTGACTGCCCAATTACACGACCCCGAGCACAGCACCTCCAGGCAGTGTCCCACTGGGATCTGTCCCATCCACCCCCTGTCCTGGCGTCCTCTTTCTGTGTGTGGTGTATTTGTTTTTGGGGCCTGTTGAATGGCACATGTGAACGGGAAGGGGACTCCTTCCTGTTCTTTCAGAGCCAGTCGCTGCGCCCGGCTCCGCTTCAAGGGAATAGCCAGCAAAGCGTCCGCTTTCACAAATAATGGCTTCATTAGATTGAAAGAAGTGGACAGTGACCTCTCTGAAATGGACTTTCTGACCCCTGCTGACCTCTGGCCCCGGCTCTGACAGACGGTAAATCTTCCCCTATGCACACGGCTGGGGTGAGGGACAGCAGTGCCCGACCCAGTGCCAGGCACCACTGTGCCACGCAGCCCACTGGATCCCAGCCCCACAGGATGAGGCCCGGGGGCTGTGTGAAACCAGTTGTATGGGGTACAGATGTGGCAAACATGGTATCCTTTTGGTGCTGTGGGTCAGGTTGATGGCTGGCCCAGTGGCTGTCTCTGTGGTATCACCTCCCAGCATTGGCAGCACCGATGTGTGATGATCAGAAAGGTACAGAGCCCGCTTTGGGGTGAATCAAGCTGTCCCCTTGCCCATCCCATTGGGCCTACCCCTACTGGCTGCACATATAGAGCATACTATCACCTCTCTCCCCATCAGCACAGCCCCAGTTGGGTGCTGACAACCATTGTGTGGCCAACTCACCTCAATTCTTCCAGCTTTCTGCTGGGGAAAGCTGGGACAGCAGGGATCCCAAAGCTGGTGCTTGCCACCATGGCATGGTCCCCAGCCACCCTGGTGCCACCCACCTCCCTCCTCCCGGCATTGTGCACATGCCGCTGACCTTTGGCTATGAAGCAATCAATAACAGAGGTTGTGGTGCTGCTCCTCCCCCTTGGCCGGTGCCCCTAATGAGCTCCGCTGTGATTGAGGGACTGTCAGGTACCTCCCATTGGTGGGGACATGGGGATGTATCAACCAGCTCAGTGCACAGGTGGGCTCCCAGGGATGCCCTACATGGGAATCCCAACACTCCAAAAGCACTCCCTTGGCATCAGTATAGTTTGATGGAAGGGTGAGCAGTGCTTGCTCAGGGCGTGCCATGGTGCTACACTTCCCTACTTTTTGTGTAGGGTGAGAGGGGCACAGAGTTATACTACTGGAGTGAGGGGTCCTGGCCAGGTCCATGGGCACCCCAGCTCCCTTTGATAAAAGCCCCAGGGCAGCTCTGATCGATTGGCTGCAGAGCAGGGATTGATCAGGATTTCAGCCCCATACATATTCCTGCTCTCTGATAAAGGGAAATCAATAGTTGAAAGAGATCGTCCTCTGATGTGGCCCCTCCAGAGGCAGCAGCCTCCAACAGGCCAGAGCAAGCCCTGTCCTTGCCTCCTAAATAGCAAAGGGGGTTCTCCTTCTTCTTTTTCTTCTCTTCCTCGTCATCCTCCTCCAGGTGCTACCCCACAGCCCATTCACAGCCCATCAACTCTAAGCCCCATGGCTGCTGCAGACACAGCCCTATGCTCAGCCCCTTCATTAGTGCTGAGAGCTGGAAACTCGCTGCAGACGTGGCTGGGCTTTAGGTCAGCCCAGATGGCCGCTCTTTCTTCCCCTTCTCGTACCCCTTCTCCAGCTGTGCCTCAGCTTCCTTGCCTGTTAAATGTGACTCATGCCCGGGCTTTTCTCCTGGGTGCTTTCATTTCTCACACCCTGAGCTCATGCTGTGCCACCACCATGGTGCCATGGGGACACGGCTCCTCCCGACCCCGCCTGCTGCAGATCTGGAGAAGGCAGCTGGCATTATTCCTGTGGTTTTATTCAATAAAAATTCCTTCCTTTGTAACAATGCTGCCCCTATCCCAGGGCCCTATTTGCTCTCCAAATACTGGAGCTGATCTCTTCCAGAAGCTCCAGCGCAGCACCAACCTTTGCTCCCAGAATCTCCTGTGCTGGGGACCCCAGACCCCATGGTGTGGCTTTCCCAGGGGTTTCACAATCCTGCAATGGGGACAAGTGGGGCAGAGTCCAACTCGAACCAGCAAAGTGTCAGCAGGTGGAGGACAGCAGAACTGTGAGCTCCTCAGATCCCATCCTGAAACTACTGGCCGAGGTGCAGGGTGCCCCAACGACCCCAGGATGGTGGCTGTGTGCACTGAGCCAGCGGTGACTCGTGGGGCGTCGGCCCGGGACGAGGCTGGGAGCCGAGGGCAGGGCAAGGAGCCAGGGCGGGTGCCGTTGCCCCGAGCTTTTCTAGGACAGTGCAGCCCACACCCCGGGCCATGTCTCCTGTGGTGGCCCAGGGCCACCGCGATCACTGCTCTGTCCCCCTGGGGGGCAGCGGAGTGTTTATGGCACAGGGATAATGGATGACCATCGTGATCATCCTGTCCCTTTGTGTGCCATGTGCTTTGAGTCCTGGCAATGAATTCAGCTGTGACCATAGCCCCGGGACACCCGGTATCAGTGGGGACGGACCCAGCGGTGGGAGGAGGCGGTGGATGGGACAAAGGTCCCACCAAGGTGTTCCGGCAGGGCTCTGGGGGCCTCATCAATCCAGGCGGGCCGGTCCCCCAACCGGCGCTGCTGAGTCTCAGGAAATGGAGGAGCTGGGTTGCTGGGGAACCAGCCCGACCGGCTCCCCGGCTGTCAGCACCTGAGGAATGCCAAACCTCCGCTCGCCAGGGCTGGGTGCTCACCGAGGGCTGGGTGTTCGCCGGGTGACTCTGCCGGTCCGCCCAGCCGCGGCGTGCCGGTGCAGGGAGCAGCACCCCGAGCCCTGCGCAGTGCCTTCGGTGCGGTCGGTCAGTGCGGTGCCCACCCGGCGCGGCGGGACCCTCGGGCGGCAGGTACGTGGGGTGTGGGTTGGGGCTCGTGGATGCTGCGGGGGCCAGGAGCTGTAGGGCACCTGCTGCCACTCGGGGCCGTGCTCAGATTCGTATCTGCCGGTACTGCCGTTTGGTCCCCACTGAGCTGATGTCGGCACGGGTTGGGTTGCAGAGCCCGTTTCTGCCACTCGGCTTCAACTCCTTCAGGCTTTTAACCCTATTCTCAATCCAAAGCACATCCGCACTGAGGATAAAGAAGTGCTCACCCACCCCCAGTGGCCTTGTGGCTAGCAGATAGTGGGGTCCCTGCCCACCCACATCCCCTCCTCACTGCAGGGCACGTGGCTGCAGGAGCACCGGGTAACAAAAGGGGAAATGGAAATTGCCCTGCCCTAATTATTAGTCCTGATCTGTGCAGCAGCCGCTCAAACCAAATTCTTGATTTTCCTGGAGGCAGCAGGTCTGCTCTCACCCACAGACACTGGGAACATCCCAGTGTGTCTGCAGGGCCAGATTTCCCCATGGCCATCAGCTCAAAGCTGGCCACAGGTTGCTACCACTCAGCCCTTGGTCTCTTCATTACATTGCAGGCATCTTAATCGGGTTCTAGGAGCCCTGATCAGGCTACTTAGAGACCCTTATGAATAGCAGGAGCCAACAATTAGCTGAGTGGGTTTGCTTGGGTGGGACAGGTGATTAATTGCTGTGCCAGGTGCCCATTGCAACAATACAGCTGGGTTTCATTGCAGCGTGTCCTGGCGTGTAGGGAAAGCCACATCCTCACCTGCCTCCATCTGGGGTGCCAGTGCCAGGCTGAGCATGGGGGTGATGTGCCCTCTGTACCCCCAGCACCCACTGGGTGCCCAGAGCCAGCTGTGGCCCTATGGATCCAGCTGTGGCTCTGTGGATCCAGATGTAGCTTTGCTGATGCAGGTGTATGGCCCTGCCTGAGCTCTTCCTACATCCAGCCCTGCTCGCTATCCCAGACATGGTTTCATAGCCTACTGCAAAATGACACCAACCCTTCCTATATAGACCAGAAAGACCTGCCGGGCTGGGGTGCGTGGCGGGCGGGCAGGACCCAATGTTCCCATGCCTTCACTGAAACATTCTGGTGGAGGGCAGAGCAGATGTGATGGGGTTTGGAGGGGTCCAGCCTTCCACAATGGGAAGCATCCAGTGCTGATCCCAGGGATGGGGGAAGTGGCCACATGGGAGAAATCCATTTCTCATCCACAAGGAATCAGCCCATGGAGGGCCTTCCCCATCCCCAGCCAAGAAAGTGCTAAATTTTACCACTCTTTGGGCCATACCCAAGTCCCAACCCCTCCCGCTGCCCCTGCAGCCCATATGCAGCTGGTGTTTGTGTTGGTGGCACCAAACAGCCCCTAACTGGGAGATGCTGAGATGCTGCCACGCTTCCGGCTCATTCACCCCCAGCTGCTTTGTCAGCTGCTTTCCATATCCCAAACACAGCAATAAAACCATTCTGGGGCAGTCACGCAGCCCTGCATGGCGTCACTCTGCCAGCCGCGGCCTCGGGGTGCCCATGTCCTCCCCAGCAGCATCCGGCACCGCCCAGCATGGGGACACGGGCACAGGGTGCTGGGTGCCTGCTCTGATCAGGGTGCAAGCAGCGGGTAATTAATGCAGCTCATTCTCTTGTGCCAATGGGGCCTCAGAAGTGGATGGAGCAATCCCATCTTTGCTGAGCAATAATTGTCATGATCAAGGGAAGATGCTGCTGGCCCCAACCTCCTGCAGAACCCCTGGGTGTTGTGGCACGGCCCCACTGAGGCCCTTTCACCTCATGGAGTTGCTTCCCTGTTATTTTTTGGGCTTGTTTGTTTGCTGTCTTTGCTGACTCGGTGCAGTCCTGCGCCCTCCTGACTCATCCTGCAGCTCGGGGCAGAGCGCAGCACAGCCAGATCCTGCCCAGGTGGTGTGGCAGAGCGCTGGGACATGCAGACATGGCATTGCATTGCATTTTGTTGCGTTGCATTTTGTTGCACTGCATTTCCTTTCAATGCATTGCATTACATCTCATTGCATTTTTTACATTTCATGTAGTTGTATTGCATTTCGTTGCATTTCGTTGCATTGTGCTGCATGTTGTGTCATGTCATTGCATTGCATTTCATGTTGTGTTGTTGCATTGCACTGAATCTCATTGCATTGAATTTTATTTCATTGCAATGAAGGGATGGTGGTACCCTGGGTCATGCATGGGTGAGCATCCCAAAAGGTGCTCTAAGGAGACACAAAGTTACCATCTGTGTGCTTGAGACTCCCGAGAATGTTGTAAGGGACCGTGGAGGGGAGGACCAAAGTCCAAAGGGATGGGCCTAAGGTTTGGGGTCTCAGCTCAGCTGGATTCCCGGTGCCTCTCCCTGCAGCTCCACCAGCCCTGCTGCGTGGTGGCAGGGCCCGCATGGATCTGCCGTTCCAGCACAGTGAGGCGAAGGGCTTCATCTCCAGTGCCGAGCTGAGCATGAAGCAAACAGCAGCACCCGGACCCGAGAACCGGTCCCGATTCCAGAAAGTCTCACTGGTGTCACGACGGCTGGAGCACACGGCAGGAGGGGGGGGCCGGGATGGCAGCCCCTCCCGCGTCTCCCTGCTGCTGCAGGCCTGGGAGAGGGAGATCGTGGAGAAGACGGCGTCGGGGCCGAGCGCGGTGACGCAGCGCAGCTGTTCGTCCTCTGTCAGCATCCTGAAGGACTTTGCAGCGCACGGCCCCATTTTCTCACAGGTCTTCTCGCCACGGCGGCGGGAGGAGAAGCGGGAGGATGACACAGTACCTGCACCCAGAGATGTCCCGGTGCACCGCGAGAGCTACATGCATGGCGTGCTGCTCCCCACCGTGCCCCGCTGCCAGCGCTCCACCCGCGACCCCAAGCCCAAGGCCAGGCACGTCACTGTGCTGCGGGAGGGCAGGGAGGCAGAGGAGGGCAGGAAAACCCAAAATGGAATGTGCAAAGCCACCACTGTGCCCTCATTGCATCAGAGAGGCTGTAAGCCGGATGGTGGTGGCATCACCAAGATCACAGCACGTGGCAAAAGCTCACTGAGTGCTGTGGATACCAGGGAATCCTCCAGGGAGAAATGTTCAAAGCCAGATGAATCCATGCCCAATGCAACACCAAGAGGCAGAGACAAGCTCCAGGACCTGCAAACCAGTACAACCAGTGCCCAGTGTCCTCTGACAGATTGGTCTGGAGCGGGAGAAGGAGGTGCAGTGCATAGGGAGGGCTCTATTTCAGCCATACAGCCCAGGACAGAGAGCTATGATGAAGCTGGCAGCACCTCCAAAAACATCTCCAAGAAAGCAAGCAATGGACCTGAGCTGTTATGTGGAGCACGAGCATCTCCAAAAGACTCAGAAGTTGAGATGAAGGAGGGTGAGATGATGAAGAATCACAAGGGTGTGGCCCAGGATACCCAGAGCATCCCTGAGCCTCCTATGGAGAGCACTGCAAAGCCCCAGCCTGAGAGCATCCCAAAACCCCAACCTGAGGGTGTCTCAAAACCCCAACCTGAGGGTGTCTCAAAACCCCAACCTGAGGGTGTCTCAAAACCCCAACCTGAGAGTGTCCCAAAACTTCAATCTGAGGGTGTCCCAAAACCTCAACCTGAGAATGTCCCAAAACCCCAACCTGAGAGTGCCCCAAAACTTCAATCTGAGGGTGTCCCAAAACTTAAATCTGAGGGTGTCCCAAAACCCCAAGATGAGAGCACCCCAAAACCCCAACCTGAGAGCATCCCAAAACCCCAAGCTGATAGTGTCCTCAAATGCCAACTTGATAGTGTCCGAAAATCTCAACCTGAGGGTGTCCCAAAACCCCAACCTGAGAGTGTCCCAAAACCCCAACCTGAGAGTGCCCCAAAACCTCAATCTGAGGGTGTCCCAAAACTTAAATCTGAGGGTGTCCCAAAACCCCAAGATGAGAGCATCCCAAAACTCCAACCTGAGGGTGTCCCCAAGCCCCTACCTGAGAGCACCCCAAAACCTCAACCTGAGAGTGTCCCAAAACCTCAATCTGAGAGTATCTCAAAACCCCAAATTGAGAGCATCCCAGAGCCCCCCCATGAGTCCCCAGCTCCACCCCAGAGTCTCCCAGATGCATCCGAGGAGGATCCTGAGCTGGTGGTGGACATGGAGATCTTCGTGGACACGCTGCGCAACATGGAGCCCTCAGAGATACGGAAGGCACCCAAGGTTCCGCGCCAGCCCCGGCCTTCAGCACTGGGTCGCTGCCCAGCACTGCCACCCATCCACGAGGACCACGTGGCCCCACGCACCCACATCTCACTGCCTGTTGCCCTGCAGGAGCTGCTGGCATGGGGAGGGGGGGGACAACGAGCTGAGACCCCTCCAGAGGACACTGAGAACCACGATGAGGAGGAGGAGATCGAGAACCCCTACCTGAGCCCTGGGGAGAAGGCGCTGAGGAGGGCTCAGAATGGCAATGGGGAGCTGGGTTCACTCCTGGGGGGGCCAACACAGGGCAGGGCCACGGGTGAGCGCAGTATTCTGTTTCGAGGGAACGTCCTCAAAGGCATGGCACTTCTCTCTGACTTCCTGGAGCACCATGCAGCTTCAGCAGATGAAGTCAAGCCCTACTCACGCCTGGATAACAGCATGCTTTACAGCCGCTTTGTGTCCTCTGCCAACACCCACAATGGGGTCTCCAATGGTACGGGTGCTGGTGACCACCCCAGCACTGAGCTGGAAGCACTGAATCCTGACCACAACCCTCCTGTTCCTGAAGAGCCAGAGAGTGCCAGAGTCCCGTACCCCACTGACATCCCGGTGAGTGCAGCCCTGGAGCAGTGCCTGAAGGTGCTGGGGCACATAGGGGTGTCAGATCTGAACCCCCTGAGCATCTTCCCCTGCTTCCAGCCTACAGATGGTGCGTTGTATTGGGGGAAGCTGTGCTGTGTAACCCCCAGTGCGATGGGAGGGTGCTGGGATGGGTGATGGGAGGGTACCAGCATAGGCAGTGAGAGAGGGTACTGGGGTGGGAAGGTGTTGAGCTGGAGATGGGAGGGTTCTGGGATGGGTGATGGGAAGGTATCAGAATGATCACTACGAGGTACCAGTGTAGGTAATGAGAGGGTACTGGGATGGGCAGGTGTAGGGCTGGGGATCGGAGGGTGTGGGGATGGGTGACAGAGGGCAGGGGCTGGGCAGAGGCTGTTCCAGGAATGCTTGAGGTGTGGCTGCTCGGGGCAGTGGGAGGGATTTGCTGGCTGTAGATGCGAGGCTTTGGCTGCTGCTCTGTTGGGCTGAGGCAATGGCTGGTGCGGCTGATGTCTTTCTGCGCTCTTCATGTGCCCTCGGGTGCGCAAAGCAGGATGACAAGGAGGGCTCTGTGAAGATAAACGCCAGACCTGGAAAGGTATGGGGTATGGGGCCGGGGCTGGGCAGGGCTGGCCCTGCGGCCATGGTGCTGAGCACTCTGCTGTCACCCCAACCAGATCATCCTCTTCTCTGAGGCCGGCTTCGCAGGGCAAAGACGGGAGATTTGGGGTGATGTCCCCGACGCTACATCTTGGGAGCTGTCACACAAAATCTCCATCAGGGTCATCCGTGGCGGGTAGGGACCATGCAGGGACAAGGCTGGGGGCAGTTGGGGAGGAGGCTGTGTCACAACCCATGTTCAGTGGGCACCATTCTGCTATGGGCAATGGCTATGGCCATGAGCCAGTACTGTGGTGACAGGATGTCCCCACCCAACCCATGCTGCTGGAGGCTCTGTATGGCCATGTCCTGCACCCTGCCATTAGGCAGAGACTGGTAAGCACAGCAATGGGAATTTCCCTGATGGCAGGTGGGTGATGTATGAGAAACCACGGTTCCATGGGCGCAAGTGTGTGCTGGCAGAGGGGGATGTGGAGATTGACAACCCCTGGATAGTGTACGGGCAGAGCGATGAGCCACGTGGCAGTCGGCCCTTCCGCATCGGCTCTTTCAAGAGGGTGGTGAAGGTGAGCAGCTGGAAAATGGGGTGCAGAGCCCTCCCAGATTCAGCCACTATTCATTCTGTGCTCTCCCCACACCAGGATTACCGCACACCTGAGATCAGTCTGTTTGCTGAGGAAAATGGAGAAGGTGCCAGGCTGCAGTTCAGTGACTCGGCTGAGGATACCCGCGTGCAGGGGCAGTCACTCACTGCTTCCTCCATCATTGTGCACTCGGGACTGTGAGCAGGACAGGGTGTGGGTTGCTGCTGGCACAGGACGCTCCCAGTCACCAATGAGCCTTTGGGTATTTCCTCCATAGGTGGCTGGTTTACTCCAAGCCCTTCTTCGATGATGACCCCTATGTCCTGGAGCCAGGCGGGTACCCCAGCCTGAAGGCCTGGGGAGCAAAGGATCCATCCATCTGCTCCATGCATCCCATCAGGCTGGTAAGCACTGGCTGTTGGAGCACTGGGGCTGTATTCTGTGTGAGCACATCACTCTGCCTCTCCTTCCATTTTCCAGGGCTGCCCGGTGGTGGAGCGTCCTGGCGAGCCGCAGGTGCTGATCTATGAGGACACGGGCTTCCAAGGACACAGCTTCATTGTCAGCCGGGATATCTATGACCTGAAGCGCCTGCCCGAACTGCCGCTGCCCACCGTGGGCTCAATGCGTGTCCTGGGTGGCTGGTGAGCATTGGAGTCACCCCCAGAAGAGGGCTTGGGGGCTGCAGGATGGCAGTGAGGTGGCACATCTCAGAGATGCTCAGCTGTGGGGATCTCAGTGCTCGTCTGATGTCAGTGTCTTGCACACAGCTGGGTCGGCTATGAGAAGGAGGGCTTCCGTGGCCACCAGTACCTGTTGGAAGAAGGGGAATACCAGGACTGGCGGCAGTGGGGTGGCTACAGCAAGGAACTGATGTCCTTACGGCTCATACGGACGGTGAGGGTGCTACCATCCCATGTGCCAGAAGGTCATGTAGCATAGAGAGCAGCCATTCTCCAATCCCTTCCTCACAACAAACTGAGGGCTCGGGGTTTGTCCCTGCAGGATTTCTCTGACCCGGCGCTGGTGCTCTTCGAGGCCATGGACTTTGAGGAGGGTCCCAGCGTGGAGCTGAGTGAGGCACTGCCCGACACGCAGCTGGCTGGCTATGGCACCGTCACACAGTCCATCCATGTGCTGAGTGGTGTGTGAGTATGGAACATGGGACACGGGGGCAGAAGAGACATAGGGATGGCCAAGCTTGAGCCTGAGCTTGCATCCCCCTGGCAGCTGGGTGGCCTACGAGGGCCCCAACTTTTCGGGTGAGCAATACATTCTGGAGAAGGGAGTGTATCGCAACTTTGAGGACTGGGGGGCCACCAACTGCCGCATTGCCTCGGCACAGCCCATCTTGCAGGTGGGTGCACATGGACCCTCAGAGCCTGGATCCCCCCTGCACACCCATGGGTGCCCCATGGTTGGGTGAGCTGGGAACCAGTCCCACTCTGTTTGCTTGCAGGTTAGGGAACACAACCTGCACTTCGTCTCCAAGGTATGGAGTGGTGTGTGGGGAGGGGGACACACTGATCTTGGTGTCACCACTGTTTGTGGGATGGTGACAGTGCTGCTTTGCCCGCCTCACTGAGCCCCTGCATGCCCCTTCCCCAGATCCTGCTCTTCTCGGAGCCTGACTTCCTGGGGGAACACCTTGCCTTTGAGGACGAGCAGAGTGCCCTGCCCGACAGCTTTGTGCCCCGCTCCTGCAGGGTTCATGGGGGCAGGTAGGGCACTGGGGTCTCAATGGTGGGGGACAGGACGGGGAGTCCTGGGAGACACTCATCCCCCACGATGGCTGCACCAGCTCAAACATGCTCCTCTGCTCCCTGCCAGCTGGATCCTGTTTGACAGCCAGGCCTTCACTGGGGAGCAGCATGTGCTGTCCGAGGGTGAGTACCCCACGCTGGGTGCCATGGGCTGCCTCTCCTCCACCACCATCCGCTCCTTGAAGAAGGTCCCAGTGGTGAGTGTCCATCCAACATTGCTGGGGCAGAAGCCCTCAGGAGCCTCCTTGCTTCCTGCAGCATTTGTTCTCCAGCCCCAGAGCCCATCCATACACATGGATGCTGGCTTCCCCCAGCTTTCCCCCTTTACACCTTCATCTTTGCCCCCTCCTGCAGTTCTTCTCAGAGCCCTCCATCTTCCTGCATGGCCTGGAGTGTTTCGAGGGGAAGGAGATCGAGCTGAACAATGAAGTGCGGAGTCTCCAGGCAGAGGGTTTCAACAACCATGTGCTGTCAGTGCGTGTCAAAGGCGGCATGTAAGTGAGCCCAGCCCTTCTGTCCCCTTCCCAGCTGGGGTCTGTCTGCCCACTACCGCACTCTGCCCGTCTCTGCAGCTGGGTGCTGTGTGAGCACGGTGACTTCCGAGGCCGCCAGTGGCTGCTGGAGTGCACTGAGATCACCAACTGGCTGACCTACAGCGGGCTGCAGCACGTGGGGTCCCTCTACCCCATCCGTCAGGTGAGCACCCAGGGAGCCCCAGAACCAGCCCTGGTGCAATGGGACTGGGGAAAGTGGCACGCTGCTGACAGTGCTCACCCATGAAAAGTGCCACCAACCTACTTCAGCTCCCTGCTCCTCCCTGCAATTTGTCGTGGCGAAATGCACCCCACGGGCAAGCACCTTGCACAATGTCTTGGCAGCACGACATGGCGAGCCATGCTGTGCCAGCTGTGAGATGAACCAGGGCCACAGCCATCACCCTGGTGCTGTGGAGACACGCACAACGTGATTCTTGGGTGCTGCAGAGATCCTGAGCAAAAAGAGTTTCTCTCCTTCCAGAGACGGATCTATTTCCGCATCAGGAGCAAGGAGCTGCAGCTCTACCTGTCTGTCCCTGACGATGTGGAGGACATGAAAGCAGGGCGCGTGGTGGTCTCCAGCCTGAGCGAGCAGAGCAGCTCTGTCTGGTACTACGAGGATGGGCTGCTCAAAAACCAGGTCAGAGCTGCAGACTAGGGATGGAGGGGACCTGGGAATGCCCCAGACAGACCTTTTAGGGCTTCCACCTGTTTTTTTCCCAGGATAACTTCAACCTCGTCACCAAAGCCCATTGATTTTCCCTTCTTCCAGTCTCTCCTGGAGCCATGAATGCATTTCTGCCACACCGGAGGATTTTATCACCTTGACCATGCCCACCCCTCATTGTTTTCATCCCTTCCCCGTGTCTTACCCCAGAACCAGATGCTTATGACATGAAACCTTCAAGCCCAAAGCCCCTGAGCCTCACCAGGTGGAGGCAATTGAGGGGATGGTGCTGACGTGTCCACCACCTCCCACTGCAGGTTGCCCCCGCCATGAGCCTGCAGGTCATCGGGCCAGCTGGGAAGGGAGCAAAGGCCGTGCTGTGGTCTGAAACCCGGATGCCACGTCAGACCTGGAGCATCAATTCTCAGGGACAGATCCACAGCCAGATGTTTGAGGATATGATTCTCGATGTAAAAGGTAAAGCTGTGGGGCCAGCACAGGGGCTGCTGTCCCAGGGACCCCATGGAAATGGGGTGTCAGATAGGGCCACTCTCCTCTTTGCAGGTGGCCGATCATACGACCGGGACCATGCCATCATTTGGGAGGTGGCTGAGGAACGCCCCACACAGATCTGGGAGATACAGGTGCTATGAGCAGGGAACATGTGGCCCTGGTGCCAGCAAGTGTCACGGGGAAAGACAGGAACACCCTGCAGTGGTGGGAGCTGCCTCCTGCCCTGCTGCCTGGCAGCTGCTGCCATGAAGGATGCCATGACCACCTCCATTACCCACCTCCCTCCTGGATCACCATGGGCACATGTGCTGCTGACTGCTGTGGGATGCTCTGAGTGCAACGTGGCAGAGCCTCTTCCCCACCCCATTCCCCTCTCTGAACTGTATTTATGTACGTGTGTAAGATACGGCCCCACTCGAGGGGGCCAGCCCTGCCTGGGTTTGCTCTCCTTGTCCTTCTCGCTGAGTTGTGCGGTGCTCCTCACAGCACAGGACCGAATCCTGCTCCCCAGGCGGGAGCTCCGTGCCTTCTAGTGTCTAAGCGCTGTGAGCAACATCCGAGCCCTTGGTTCTGAAAAGCAAGGCGCACAGGATGCACTTCTGAGATGGCAGTGTGTCTGGCTCTGGATGCTGCTGTAAGGGCAGGGAGCTCTGGGTCCCTTGTTCCTGAGTGCAGCAGGATGAGATGCTGTGGGGATGTATCCTGGCACTGCCAGACTGGGCTGGGCTGTACCAAAGGGATGGAGAACAACACAGCAGAGCACTCAGACCCTTCAGATGGAGGGTGTTTAACCAGGGAAGGCCCTGCCGTGGAGAAACATGAAAGCACATGGGAATCAGAGAGCACTTAGGTGCCACAGGACGTAATGGTTTCAGTCCCACATAGGGATAGCGATGGTCCTGGGCTGACATCAGCACCCCGCTCTGCTGCAGGCTTGGGATTGCCAAAATCCGTCATCGCCAACGTGAGCCCAGCTGCACGTCCCCACCGCAGCTCAGCTCCTTCTCCAGTCTCCAGGACAGAGCTGTCCTCCATCCAAGCAGGGCTCAGAGCAGGGCAGGAGCTGCCTAGAAACGCGGTGCAGAGCTGGAGGAGATGCGGTGGGGGATGTCTGCACACCCAGACACTTCTGTCCTCTCGGCTGGGCAGAGCAGCACTCCTGGTTTGCTCAGCAGGTTGGGCTCAGCTTGGGGACATCGCGTCATGCAGGAAGCAATCAGTTACCAACCCTGCAGCAAAACCGGGCTGTTCTGGTGGCGACAGGCAGCACAACGCCTTCCCTGCAGGTCTCTCCTACAGACAGGGTACACTTAAGTCCTGACATCAGGCAGCTCCAGCCTGCCAGTGATTGCTCTGGCTGTCGGCAGCAGCCGTGCCCAAACAGCCGTGGTTATGGCGAAACATCCCGAGCTGCTGGGAGACTCACTGGGGCAGGAGGTCAGAGAACCACACGGATCGCAGCACAGGGGCTGGAGCCCAACAGGCAGCAGCAGCGGGCGGGGAGGGGGGGCGCACACAGCGCTGCGCCGGGCAGAGCAGAGCTGCGGCCTGGAGGCGATCACCCGGGAGAGGGGCCCGGCCGAGGCCCGAGGCCGCCCGGCCGCTGTGCGGCCGCCACGCGGGGTCCGTGTCTCTGGCAGGGACGCTGCCGGTGCGGCTCAGCCCCCTCGTGTGAGGCGAACGGCAGCGGACGCAAAGCAGAACCGCACCGCACAGACGGCAGCCCGCCGCAGCGCAACACCCCCGCCCTCATCCCGCCCTTATATAGACCCCGCCGGGCCGGGATAGGCCAGGACCGGCGATTGGCAGCTCCGGATTGGCGAAGAGCTGGGGGATTTGAACTCGGTGATTGGCCCGCTCGGCGAAGACCGCCTGTGATTGGTTAGCTCTGGGTCGAGGGCCGCGCCTCGGGTCCGCCCGTCCTGCTGGGAGCGCTGTGCCCCTGTGCTGCTCCAGCCCGGCAATCAGGGCGCGGCCGCGGCCGCCCCGGAGGCGTGTGCGGGCCTCGTGTTCCCCTCAGCGGGCCCGTCCGACTGGCGTCCCGCAACAGCACGAGAAATAAACGTGTCGGAGCCTCCGTACTTTATTTCTCAGAGCTTCGCAGCACGACCGTGCTCGGAGCGGATCCTCCCGGAGGCTGCGGCCATAGGGAAGCGCTGTGGGGACACGGGGACGGGAGCTGGCCGGGCTGGGCGGCGGAACGCCGGACTGCGGGGATCTTCGGGCCCAGCTCAGCACAGCCGCAGGAGGAAGGCCGCAGCCAGCCCCAGGGCCAGGGACAGGAGGGCCGGGCTGCCGCAGGGCGGGCTCTGGGCGTGTATCCCCTCCGTCATGGTGCTGTTGTCCTCCGCCCGGCCTAAGGGCTGGAAAAGCAAAGAGGGCAGTTGGCGATGGCTGCAAAGTCAGGCAGAGGTGGGATCTCCCTGGCTCGTAGCGTCTCGGTGCCACGCGCTCTCCTCAGGCCCCACACACTGAGGACTTGTGGGTTTTCCCACTGTAGGAAGCGAAGCAGGCGCTCCCGCACGCTGCCGCTCTTTCTCAAGGCAGGGCCTTTCAGAAACAGCGAGTGGGAAAGCAGAAGGGAGGGGCTGGCCTCTGAGGAAGTGGCTGGGGATGTGGGGCCTGCCAGCCCAGTGCTGGAGGATGTGGGGTGCAGAGACGGAGCTGGGAAGGTCCCTAGTGGAACCAAGGGGGAGGGTAGCCAACAGCTTCCTGTTGCAAGGGGCACTGCAATCATTACATGAACTGGCAATGCAGCTGGGGTGGAAATTTCAGGGCAGCTTCCTTCCCTCTCTAAAGAGCCCCTTCTGAACTAAGGCACTTGTTGAACACCTCCCGCCATGGCTGTGCAGAACCACTTTCTTTATGTTTCACTGCTCCTTGATCCCACAGGTCCCCTCTGGAGCTGTAGTGGATGATTAGGATGGGCCTTGTTTTGCAGGCACTCTTTCTAGCTGTGAAGGCTTGTTGTCACAGGGTGAAATGCTGAAACATAAATGCATCCCATGGAGCCTGCAATGTGTCACATCTGTGTGGCATTTGAGAGTGACGCCAGCTAATCTGGCCTCATTACCAACATAGAGCAGAAAAGAATAAAATCAACCCAAGAGCTGCTCTGAGGAACATCACCCTCCCCAGAGGTCTTTACCCACTTCTGAGCAGAGGTCCCCACCCAAGAGATAGCTGTTATCTGCCCACATGGTGCTGGGACCCTTGAAGGGGCCTCAAAGCAGTAAAAAGGGAAAAGGGAAGGAGGGACCCTGTTGCTGTGCCCGGTGTCCCTACAGCCATGCTCAGCCTGAACTAGGCAGCAGCTGGGGATAGGGAAGGGGCCAGCATGCAAAGGAAAAGCTGCACAATGGGGGGGAGAGCTAAGAGATGACAAGGTTATGGATATGCGTAAAGCTCTTCAGCAAAAAATAAACCTTCAAACAAAAAGCAACATACAGAAGTGTTTAAACTTTGCAGCCTGCAGTGCAAAGCTCCTTTTACAACAAGCAGGGTTAAAGTAAAATAAATTGCTCTGGCTCCTGGCTGAAGGCAGAAATTCTCCCATCAGTTGGATCCCAGACCCCTAAGCACCGTTGCACCCCAGGGATGGGTCTGGCTGCTCCCCAACTTTTGGGGTGCCCGAGCAGTGGGTTTTCTCTTACCAAGCAGAGGGCGAGCAGGGCAAGCAGGAGGAGCAGGTGGGCACACTGGAGAGGCTGCATGGTCCAAGCTCAGTGCGCAGCTTGCTGCAATGCTTCCTCATCTGCTCACGGTGATTGCTATCAGAGCCTTTAAAGTGCAGCCGTGGCCCCATCTCACCAATCACACTTTCCTTCCTCATGCTGCTTCTGCAGAGCACAACCCATCACCCAGAAGGGACACCATAATTGGATCCATGGAAAGGCATTACTGGCGCTGCTGCTGATGCAGGTGGGGGTGATGCTCTGAACAGGACATCCCAGCCACCATCTCCAGCAAAGGCAGTGAGCCCCTTGCCCTCCAGTTTCCAACACCATATAGCACTCCCTACATTGTGCCCCACACCTGTGTAGGGCCAGCACCAGTTACAGGCTCAAACCCTTTGCCTCAGCAGGAGGGTCTGCAAACACTGCACCATATAATGAACGTCCTGCCCTGCAGTGAAGGATGGGAGCTGGGCCCAAGACACAAGCATGGCAGGTGGTCTGATCCTCATCACTGATGGTGGCAGGGCTCCCTTCAGCCCAGCAGTGTTTGCAGCACATTGCTGAGCTGCACCGCCCAACTGCCAGCAAACAACAGAAAACAGAACGGGCTATTTTAGGGCAGGTTGAAACGAGCAAAGCTACACCTGTTGCTGCGGCTTTCATTTCTGTGAGTGCATCACTGGGAGCCGTGCGCGGGGGCTGGCGGCTCAGAGTGCAGCACACTGAATGCTCTTGGCATTGCACCTCCTATTTCACTCCCAAAAAATCTGGAATGCAGAAAGTCCAATAGCCTTTTTGCCTGAGTACACAACTGAAAGACTGCTGATTTCTCAACCAGCCAGGTTCTGTTCTTGCAGCTTTCTCTGGCAGTCAGTGAATGCATAATAGATAAATTCCAACTTTCCTTCTTGTTTTCTTCATGTTTCCTTATGGAATACATAAGATAAGAAAATATTTGTTCCCATTTGTGATATTTCTGTCCTGGGCACCGCCGGAATTATTTGTTAAGGTAGCACGGTGGCCCGTGGTTATTTCTCCTCCACTCTCTCTTATTTCCCATTTTGTGGAGGTCCCTGAGCTCATTCCCACTTCATTGCGGTCAACTTTCAATAGGTACGAAGCGATGCGCGCTCTTTGCCGCGGTGCACGCCGGGACTTGTAGTCCTCGTCTGTCCGCCTCGCTCCACGTGACCGCGGCTCAGCCAATCACAGCGTCCAGACGTCGCCGTGACAACCCAGGTAAACAAGATGGCGGTGAGGGCGCTGAGAGCGGGGTGAGTGCTGCCTCGGGCCTCCCCGCGGAGCCAACGCCGAGAGGCTGGGGTCGGTTCTGGCCTTTATTTCACGTCCCATTGTGGTGGGAGGCCCTCAGGACGCCGTCATTGGCCTGCGGGAGCATTCGTGGCCATTTCTGCACTGTGCTGACTGAGGGGTGCAGGAACGCCCTGCCCAAAGGCACGCAGTGTGGGCTGGTGAGGAAGAATGCAGAGTTTGGGCCCCTCGGGACAGCCTTTTCCTTTATATTTTAGGAAACTTGCTCATCAAGCAATCCCTCTCCCCACAAAGCTAAGAAACCTATCCTCTTTTTTTATATATTCCCTGCTCACCATTTGTCATAGCAGGGCCCAGCTGAGCTGTTTGCTGGCAAGGCACTGCTCACCATCTGACACCTCTTGTGGTGAGCGCAGCTCTTCTTCCTACACGTCCACGATCAGATAAGTGGTGGAGGGTTTCGACGTCCTTGGCAACCCCCAGAACACATTAGAGCTTCATTTCATTTCACAGTTCTACTTTAGGTCATGTTTAGTCCTCTGCAGGCCTGTTAGATTAACAGCACAAAAGCCGTTCCTCTGCTGTCGGTGAAGTTTCCTGTTTCTGCTACTCCCAGATGTTGTACTTTTCGTTAAGGCAGCTCTGTGGTACTTTCTGTCTCTCTGTGTGGCACAGGATGTTCTGTACCAGCCTCACAGTCTCTTTCTGCCAGCCCCATTTTGTGTTCGTTCCGAGCGAACTGAGATTTTACATTCCTTTTGGTTCTGTGCAGTAACAAATGCCCTCACCCACTCATTATTTTGAGAGTGTTTCTGGGAGAGAATAGCTTGGGGCCACTCTGCTTTCTCCTTCCCTCAGTGTAACACCTATATTTCTTTACCTGTTTTTGAAGAAGTCATATGCAAAATACTGACCTGTTTTCTTTCATACACTTTGTGCCTCTTCACAGGTGACACAGCCTGTCCCCTAGGGCAAAGAACCCAGTGCAAGGCAGCCTTCCCTTGCAAGGACAACACTAAAAAAGAATACATGACATCACCAAATGGCTTGGGTTGAAAGAGACCTTAAAGATCATCTAGTTCACCACTTTACAGGGTGAAGTCCCTCAAAGATAAGGGGGTTCTTGCCCATCATAGTCTCTCAGTGACAATCTGGTGTACTCAGTACCCCAGGCCAGGACTATTTTGTGTTGTCTCCCCCTCACGTACACAGCATGCTGCCAGTGACGTAGCCACCTCCCTACCAAGAGCTCTCAAAGATAAGAGCTGAGGGATTTCCACCCCACACCCACCAAAACTACCCTTTTCTTACCTGCTTTGGTAGAACAAGAGCTCATGTGTGGGTTTCCTTATGGTGCAGATAAGCCTTCAGCATGAATTACCTTTCTAGAGGTAACGTTGTATTTGTGCTTTCAGGTACAGTTCCCACTGACATGGAGCTCATGTCATCCATGATGCAAAAAATCAGTTTGTTGGAACAAAAAATAGATAAACAAGCACAAGAAATCCAATTGAAGGTAAAAGTTCTGGCCTTACCAGGCCTGTTCTGTGTCTTGCTTTAACTTTTCAAGCCAGGATAATGATACACTATTTAGACACAGTTTGGGCTAGAACAAGTTAATCCATAGCCTGCTCTGTTAATTAGACAGGTTAGCCTTTGTAAAACAACAGAGCAGTCATATCTGTCCTTGACATGGAAGACTGAACAGCCCTTACTGCTCTGATCCTACTGTGACTTTATAAAGTAATGACTCTCAGCATCCTTTCACTAAAATCTGTTTGGTTTCAGACTCTTTTCTTTCTTTTGCATTCTGAAAACAAAACAAAGCAACCAGTGGTTTAGACAAGAAAAGTATTCTTAGAACATGTCTTTTTGTAATACTTTTGAGAATAAATACTGTTTAGTTTAGAATAAATAGCAATGGGTTGGGGTTTTTTTGTGTGGTTTTGTCTTGTTTTCTAACAGATGGTGACAGAGATCTTGGTCTGCTTTCTAGATCAGCCACTAACAGGCCTAAGTATGAGCTGCATTCTTGTGCAGATGGAAGGGGGAGATAGGTTAGCAATGTCCCCAGTCTAATATTGGAGCAGTGTATTATATCCCACACCTCTGCTGAGTCACAAATTAAGACATTTGTGAGGCCATTCTGACCCTTATTTTGGCTATCAGAGAGAGAGCATGTGCAGCACTGCCTCACCCAGCAGGACTAATTATGCAAACTGCATCAAGGTCCTGAAAGCAGAGGATCTTAACAACATCATTATTCATTCTGATCTTGAAGGACAGGAAGATTGCGGAGCTTGAGGAGAAGATGAAGACTCTTCAGAAAGGAGAAGGTAAAAATTGTTTGACCCTTGGCACCTTGCTCTTACCCATGGGAGAGTTACAGGTCTCCTGGCACTGCTGCAGATCAGGCTTGGAGACCTTCCCTCTCAGCCATCCCTGCCTCAAAAGCTTATGAGCCTCTTCCATGGGTGGTGTCAGTTACACACACGGTGCTGTTTGCCAAGGTAGATCCTCACTTCATCAGTTGTTCTGCTTTTCTGGTGCAGCACTAGACATTATTTCCTGACCTATTTTCTGTGCCTTAATAAGTTTCCATGAGCACAGAACAACCACAAACCTGAGGATGGTTTGTTGGGAAAAACAAAAACAAACAAACAAAAAAAAAAACAACAAACAGAGCAACTCAAAGCTAAACAAAACCAAAAATTGACTTGCAGTCTCAAACAGCACTTACAGCTCCAGGCTCACTCGTTTGCAAGGCAACTCAATGCTAAAATAAGCTCAGCTTTAAGTGAGTCACTGAAGCTCTTCTGCTCCTCAATTCCTTGGAATCCAGTAACTCTCCTGCTGATCCCACACATGTTTCCTGTCATGGCTGAACTACCTTGTTAGTGTAAAGCTGTGATGCATCTCTATTTCCTGAGCAGAGAACACAAAGAAGCCTGTCGAACCACAACTGTGTTTTGTACCTCGTCATACACTGTGCCAGCTACGAAGCCTAGGGTTCTGGATCCAGCTTTGGTGGACATCTGCTGATTTTTGAATAGGTCTCTTAGGACCAAGCCAAGCAGCTCTCAGTGTACAACAGTGAACAGCACCACTCACCATCAGCTTCCCATAGCATAAAATTTCAATAGTGTTTTACAGTTTACCGATGGTGCAGGAAGACTGCTGGGGCTTCCACATTCTGTAACATGGGTTACTGGTTAGGTCTTCTTTAAGGCTATGCATAATAAAAGCAGACCTTCCCTCTCAGATGCTCCTGACTCATCCACAGCAGAGGATCTGGAAAGGAGGTGCCTTCAGCTGCAGACTCAGGTCTGGGAGATGGAGGTGAGATGCCTGCTTTACTTGCTCCAAGCCATTTGCACCTTCGGTTTGAGACTGTTGCAGTCCCAGACTGCCTGGTTCTTTTCAAGCTGCCACTGTGATAACCACAAATTCTCTCTTCACTTCTCTGAAAGAAAATAACAAGCTGAGTGTGAACTACAGGGTAGTATATTATTATTATATTATACTCAGATTTTATACACTTGCCTGCTGCAAGTCTCATCATTTTGATTTCCAGGGCTGTGGAAACAACCTACACAGCTACTAGACTCTTGGGAGACTACTGTATCACTCCAGATAGTTTAATCCTTCCTCCCTTTTGCCTGCTTCTAGTAGAGCTGCTACTTCTGCTGCCAGTGAGTTGGCAGCTTGCCAACCCTGATATAAACCTTCTTGTTCACCTCCACTTCTGCTTCTCACTATTGCAGCCAAGTACTGTGAGGCTACTTTGTCTAGTTTCTAGCTCTGGTCTACAACACTGACTTATCCTTTCCTCTTACAGAGGTTTCTAAATGACTATGGTCTGATCTGGGTTGGAGACAGACACAAAGAGCTGGAAGATGTGGAGTCACTCAGAGATGACGAACTGCTGGCAAAGAAGTTCTGGAAGCCAGGTAAGGCATCAGTGCTCTTTGCTAAAGCAGCCTTCCTAGCTCCTGCTGCATGCTTAGGGAAGGTATGATACTCCTTAGAGTAGATAAGCAGGTCATAAGAATCTGTGATCTTGTTCTGAGGTCTTCACTGACGTCCATCTCAGGGTTAGAGACATGGAACAATTTAACAGGAGCTGGGACAGGCAGAGCACTGTATTCTATATACATCTATATTTTATAAACTTCATCTGGGGAGAAAGGAAAGATCTTGATGGCTCAGCCATTTAGAAGAATACCTTCACAGCAGCTGCTTCCTGAACAGTTCACATACCCTGAATGTTTGAAGCTTGATTGCTCTAAAAACACTGACGTAAAATGGGTGGAAAACAGAACCAGATGCTTTGTGTATTTAGTAGCCATAGCAACTTACCCGTATTGTCTGGCTCCATCAGAGTATTGTTTGCCTTTCCTCCCAGCCACCATGTGAGTGGTTTAACTGGGACCTGATTGTGCTGTATGGGGTCCAAGCATATTTGGCAAAGTGGTAACAGAGGAAAAAAAAAGAACACTACTTGGGCTATATAACTGTTGCTACTAACTAACAACTGTGCAAATATTAGCTTGTTAATCTAATCCCTTAGATGAAGGAAGGAAGAAGACATGAAAAGCAGTAGAAATATTTTCATACTTTTCATACTGCTTACCCTTTTTAAGGGAGATTTCCCCCCCTCTTATTTAAAGCTTTTTTTCCCCGCTCTTAATCAAATCTCAGAAAATCAGAACAGAAATACCAAAGGTCTTACCCTCTGTTTCATTTTCTCTTTTCATTTCATTCTTCTGTCCCACTGTAATGCTTTCACTGCTTCGCCCTATCACCCTCCTCAAACACCCTTTGCAGCGTCCCAGCAAGAGAGAAATAAATCTGCTGTAGTGAGAAGTGCTGGTGGTTCAGAGCATGCAGCCACACTGACATTTCTTCAGCAAATCTGCCCTGGTCCATTTAGCCAATTTAGATTACTCATTCCTCTCTGTGCATTTTGCAGCACCACATTAAGGGTAAACACTTAAGAAATTACAACTGAAACCAAGTTGCTGAACAGTTGGCTGCACCTTAGCTAGTGGCTGCTATGCTCACTTGTAGGTGAAGGCTGTTTTTCTGCTAACATGCCCCTGCAGTTTTGCACACACCCACGTAGATCTGGCAGCCCTGAACCACGGCAAGATTGTTGCACCACGCTTTTCAAAGGAAAGGTGACACATGAAAGGCAGCAATGACAGCTCCAAAATGTTGGGATGCAGAGGCTCCTCAGACACATCCACACAGAGGTGAAAGCTGCTCCTTCCCCATAACTGGGGAAAAAAATCTCCTTCCCCCCATAACTCTGCTCTTTCTGCCACAGGTGAGGCAGTTGTTTCCAAACACCAGGTTGATTTTGATTTAATCTTGGAAAACGTGAAGGGTTTGAACACGCTGGCTGGAGATGGTGTCTCTCATGTTGAGCACACACCAGGAGGAGCTCGGCTGAGGCAGCCAGAACCCCTCCCTCTGACACTGTATCAGAATGGGATCGTCATGTTGGATGGACCCTTTCGCTCCTATGAGGAACAGTCTGCTCAGGTACGAAAAACTTTGTGCAGGAGTCAGACATGGAGCCACCCTGCTGTGATTAACTGTGCATCAGCAAAGGGAACTTGGAAGAACAAGGCTGGTGTTCTTGGGGACTGAGATGAGTGAGATCATCTCAGTCCCCAAAACGAGCAGCTAACGAGACCTCCAGTCTTCACATCCCACTGCCCTGCTGGGATGCCTGTGCTGTTCTGCAGCACAGTTGGAGAAATCACAGTGCAAACTGCTGCCATTCACAATAAGTCTCCTCCAACCCTGATGGAGTAGATGGAGTAGCAGCATTAAACACTGGCAGAAAAATCTTGTGGCTTTTTTGTTGTTGTTGTTGTTTTTCCCAATTGGCTGGAAACAGAAATGCTGAGGTGCTAACAGAATGAATCCTGTTCTTAGCCCTGCCATCAGAATGGTCCCAAAGAATGGTTATCAATCAGGTAATAGGTGCTTTATACATAAAAGTATAAATATATATATATATATATATAAACAAACCTTAAACCTGTTCCCAGCACACCTTTAAAAATCAACTGAGCAGCATTCTTTATTTTTATTTATTTTTTTTTTATGAGAGGGAGAGTCTGGGTGCAGACTTCTTCTTTTTGCACAGCAGAAATATTACAAACAGGAGCAGCCCAGGATGTAAATATTAGTCATCAGATAAATAGAAAATCAGAGGTATGACCATGAATGAGCTGTCATTTTTTGTTTCAGCAATGCCTGCAGGATATTATGGATGGTTATTTCCCTTCAGAGTTGCAGGCACGCTACCCAGATGGTGTCCCTCTGCAGGTAAGCAGTGCAAAGCTCTGCTCTCATGGGGTTTTTGGAAGAAATGGCTCTCTTTTTTTCCCAATAAAGTTGTCCAGATTTCTTTCACCAAACTACATGTTCCCTGTAGCAATCTCTGGTTGAGGTTTCTGAACGCAGCATGCAAGAAACTAAGTTCTCTGCATGTGTGTATGGAAGTGGTGAGGAACACACCTGCCTGAGCCGTTACAGGATGTAGGTGAGCAGTTGTGCATCAGGGCTGAACAGTTTCTCTGCCTGGCTGCATCTTGGCTTGGATCAAGACTCGTGAGAGCGCAGATTGGCTTTGTAGAAGAGGAGTGGTATATGCAGCACCTGAAGAGCTGTGCAACAGCAACATCTCAACTAGTTCTCCTGGAAGAGATTCTAAAAACAGATTGTATAAGTATATCTAGCAGAGTTTGCAGAGTTTAATTTGCAGTAGTTTAAATGGGTTTGGCCACCTGCAGTCCTTTTGGGCCCAATTTCTTTCTAATTTTCCAAGAATGGCAAAAAGCCAAGGCCACATTTTCAGACTGAGGGCCTCAGAGGACTCTGATTTAGGTCTCTAAGTGACTCTGAAATGTAAGCAGGCATAGGCAGAGGGGTGCACCTGCCACCACCAAGAAGAAAGCAGGGCACATCTGTACAAATAGGTCAGCTTGTGGGGGTGGTGGTTGGAAAACCAGATGGAAGGGGAGGGACTGTGCAGGGCTCTTGCATGTGTGGTTGCCTGTAGCCAGCTTATTGCCAACAGGCAACAGCACAGTACTAAAGCCCAGGCAGAAAGACTGGCCCTCTTTATACAGTTTTTCCCACTGCTGGGGGCCTCAGTCTGGCACTGTCCCTTTGTTGGAGCCATCCATCAGATTCCACTGCAACTTCTGCAGTGCAGTATGAGTGATAGTAAATCCCCCTCCACTTCCAAATAGCTGCTTTCACATCATAGAGAGCATTTTCAAGCATGGAAACAGACAGAAGAAAGGTCAGGCCTGCACACATTTTTTACAACCTAGGGAAAGGGGATGGCTGTCCAGTTCTTGTTGAGACATTGAACTACACTGAGGCCCGGATAGTCCAGGATCTAGCAGGATTTGCTTTGTTATAAAGCCTAGAGGAACTGGAGATGTGTTTCATTGGGTTTGGACAGCTGGAGCAGCTCCCAAGGAAATATCTCAGTTCCATTTGGGATTTACTGCTCGAGGTTGCTTTAGTTTATAATTTTCTGATACAGAGAGCCTTGCTTATAGCAATCGGCCTTAATCCAACAGGTCACTGACAAAAGAGATGTGGTATTTCAGGAGGGAGACCTTCCTGGGAGTTTTCCTGGCCATGGCCAAGTTGTTGGCCATTCAAAACTAAGCAAGGTGGAGGAACCCACCGAGATCCCAGGTAAGTTCCTACACCTATCTTAAAAATGCATCTCCCAGAGAGAAGAACTGAAACCTCACTGGGGCAGTCCAGCTAGCAAGAAGTGAATGGGTGGGGTCTCAAAGAGGAAGGCAACACTTCTGAGTCAAAGCTTCACCTTTTCTTAGCATCAGAGGATGCCAAGGGAATCATGCATTCTTTGAATGAGGTCAGGCCTCATATTTCCTCATTTTGCTTCTGGGTTCTAGCAGTCTGCATAAGCAAAGCTGAGATACTGTGCTTGGCTGGAGAGCCAAACGTGGTCAGCCAGGTAGGCAGAAAACAGTAGAGCTATGGATGCATAACTAAACAACCTGTATACATGCACTGCCCTCAGCAGCATCTTCATATTTATATACATTAATACTCTTGCTTATCTCAGAGACGTTCACAAGCAGAGAAGTTCCCTTTATTAGTGGGAAAAAAATAGCTGCCCACTGACACCACACCAAAAGGAACCGACACAACTGCAAGATGAGCAATTTTCCAAGCATGTAAGAACTGCCACAGTATCAGACCTTCCTGTTTGCAGCAGAGATAACAGGGTTTCTGCCTGTTACACATTGCAGGTGTGAGCTGCGCAGTTGCTCACTGGTTACACTGGCAATCACAACATTAGCAGGCCAGAAAGTGGGACAACCTGCAGCTGGGGACCAGGAGCCAGCATCTACATGGCCAGGAGAGGGTAGAGCTCTCTCTGCCAGATGTGTTCTGCTCCCTTTTCACTAAATCAGTTTATTCTGAGGGAGAATTCTGTAGGTGTATGATCTTTTTGACATATTCCCTCTTCTCTGGCAGGTCCCAAACCCTCTCTGAAGCAGTTTTGGAACAAATATTCTAAGTCATCAATGCAAAGCGAAGCAATGGCCACCCAAGACACAGTCAGAGCAATGCAGCAGGTATGAATGTGCCCAAACAACACCCCAAGGAGCAGGCTGGCACAGTTCCTCAGGCTCAGTGCCATGCATGCAACCACACCTCCTCCTCCTAAACTCCTCTTCCCCAAATGCTCCATCAGAGCACACATGCAGCACTTTGGCACCTGCTCCTAGTCTGTTCTGGCTCTGGTTTATCTCTGCATAGAACAGGTGGTGATACTCACCTGGGTTTGGTTGCAGAACTCTGATGGGGTGCGGAGCAGCAAAGAGATCACGGTGGGGACACCCAGGCTGCCTGCCCTGCAGAGGTACGGGTACACACATCGCTGCCCATCAGCAATCCCTCCTATTTCAGGTTGTTTTTTTTTTTTTTTTTTTTTTCCAGGGGTTTCTGCCCATTGATTTTAAACCTTGGGAATAATTAGGAAAAAAAAAAAAGCCATATTTGGTTTTTTGGAAAAAACCTGCCAACTTTTACATCTCTAACAAAATTTCTGTTGTTCAGTGTAATTTATGGCAGTGAAATACTTTTTCTGACAGCAAGACAGGGTTTAAGAATTTAAAGCCAACTGAAGCTGTTAACTAAAAGGGAGAATCCCTCCAGGAAACTGATGTGCAAGTGGAAGGTGACATAAACAGTGCATTTTCACTCAGTCTTCTGGGCAAGATAAGACCCAAATAGCTAATGAAAAAATCCCAAGCAGATTATTTTTAATCAAAAAAGTAGGGCAGAGATCTTGCCAGACAACTCTGATCTAAAATAATAAAGCAAAAAAAGGTCAGCAATCCTCTTCTCAAGGCGGCTTTTAAGCAGTGAAAGCAAAGTGGCAGCTGGGTCTGTGGGCCAAGCGAAGCCTTGCTCATCTCAAGCACATTCCCAGATGGAAAGCTCTTCTCCCCGTTCAGATGACCCCAGCACACCAGAGCCCTCACTCCTTAACTGAGACAGCTTTCTGACCTCCAGTTTAGAGAGAGCTGAAGAGACTGGAGCTTCTGCCCCTCAAGTCTGCACTCTCCGCATCAAATCTGAGAGTGGGGAGCAGATGTATGTCATAAAGATGCTGTTCTCAGAGACAATAGGGGACCTGCGCCAACACCTTGCCCATGCCAGGTAGGACTCTTGCCCTCCTTGCTCCCCACCCTGCTCCATCCATCTCCAGGGGAGGTTCTGCTGCTGCTCAGGGCCCTGGAGCCATGTTTGGAGCAGAGCAGCCTGCACTGAGCAGGGCTGGGTCCTGGGCACTCTCTGCTGCTTTGGCTCCTCTTGACACCAGAGCTGCTCTCTAGCTGGCAGGGATTTGCTCAGAGCACCTGATACACATCTTTGACAAAAAGCTGATGCATCACAAGAGATGTCTTTTATCCTCTCAAAACTAACAGTTCCAGATGGCTGGGGGGACCTTTCTGGTCTTCACTCATCATTGGTTGTAGCTCTTGCCTCTATCCAAGCCCATGCTGAGCTCACTTCTGCTGGGATGGAACAGCTTCCTTCCCACTGCAGCTGTGAAGCTTGGAATGGCTGCTCCGTGCCTGGCTACGTGCAGTTTGGGCAGGAAGCCTTTTTTTCTGCTTGGCCTGCACTTGCAAAGCAGCCTCTCCCTCTGCTCTTAAGTAACTGCAATTGGATGAGCCACAGCATCTCTTCAAAATCTTAGGGGATGCTGTGCATAGGAAAAGATTGTGCTGTTCTTTCCTAGGGGTGGAGATTCCGACTCATACGAGATCATCAGTACCTTTCCCCAGAGGGTGTATGCGGACAACTCCAGGAGCCTGCAGGAATGTGGGCTGATCCCCAGTGCCTCCTTGCTGCTGCGGAGAAGAGACCCCTTCCCACCAGAGGGGACGGGGCTGCAAACAGCCTAGCAGCTCCTCTGCAGGAGGAAAGAGCTATCTTGCACTGTTAGCTGAATTACAACATCCCCCTGGCTGGGAAGAGAGCAGAGTTGTCTTTCCAGATCTAGTTTCATTGTGCCGTTACCTGGGATGGAGAGCAAGGTTCCTTCTTCGATCTCTCCCTTTAGCAGAGTGCCGCATGCCAGCCTGTGTTCTGCTGCCCCCCAGGTGGATGGTTGCTCTTCCCCAGATCAGGTGGACTGCTGTCACAGGGATTTCTGTTAGCTCAAGGTAGAGGACTGGTTTCTCACCTCTGCTGGAGGTTATACTAGCTGATCTCTGCTCAGGGAAGGCTGCCAGCTTTGCACTGGTACCAGGGCAGTTGCTTAGCTGGACTCAGGGATTCTCTACAGCAGCAGATATCTGGGCAGGACAGACAAACAGCAAGGGTCAATCTACTTTCCACAGAGTTGCTGCCCAGAGATTTCAACGGCATTTATACCAGAAGTAATACAGGCTCAGTTATATGGTCTTCAGCAATGGCTTTGGGCCGTTCCAATACTGGGACTGAGCCAGCCTCCTTCCAGCCAGGAGATCCTGCTGCTGGGTTTCCTGGACACGAGCAACTCCTTTCCTTGGACAGCCCCCAGCTGCAGAGGGGCTGAGGCTCACAGCCACATGGAGCCAAGCCTGCTGCGGCTTCAAGCTGCTGCCTTCCTCCCTCCCAGCCTGCTGCTCTGCTGCAACAGGACACCGTGTCACTGGAGAAGAGCATAATCCCTTTGCTTCTTCTCTGCTGAACCCTGAGAGTGAAGCATCTTCCTCTCCTGTAGGCTGGGGCCACGCTCTGCAGGCCCCTTTCTGTGCACATTCTTCCCATTTCAGTTCTGACAAGTTCCCACTTGACTCCCAGCTGATAACACTCCCACACGTGCAAGGCAGCACCTTCTGGCAGCTTCCCTTTTAGCAGAAGCCCAACATGTGCCATCACCCAGCCCTCTTTAAAGGCTCCTGATAAAAACATCTCTTTGGTTGCAATTTCCACTTTCATTAAGTTTCAAAGGAGCAGCTAGAAATAGGGCAGGGTGGTCTGATCACTTCCTGGGGCAGTTCTGCTTTCCCAGTCCCCTCTGACCAGGGCTGAGCCACACACATCTCACAGCTGCCTCCACAGCCTCCCTGCAATCAGTGACTCAATGCCTGCAGCTGTCCACTAATTTCCTCCCTTTTCCACACTCTTGTATTTGCTTTAACAGACCCCTCTTACAGGGCACTGCCCTTTTGCAGAGAGCTGGTCTATAACCAGCCAGGTAATTCCAGTTCTGTATTTTGCCCCTGGCTCTGGCTGCAGCTGTCCCTTCCTCAGGCTGTTTTTACCACGCATAGCAGTAGGCTGCTTAAGAGAAGAACCTGCCACTGCTGCTCTGTTGGATACTGAGACAAGTCTCAGGAGCCCTTCATTAGCAGCAGCGGTCTGAGGCATTAAGATCTTTGTCAAGCTGCAGTAGCACAATCACCTCAGCTCCTCCAAGATGGAACTGACTTAGAATCATTATGTAGGCTATTTAACCCGTCAAAATAAAAGCAATTTAAAAGGAACCCATGAGTACCAGCACAAAAGATACAGTAACATTTAATAGCATCTCGGAAGACAACGCTGGTTATAAACTCGCTTTTTGGCAGGAAAACAAAATGCACTTGGTCCAGGTTGCAAAAAGCCAACAGAAAACAGGAAGGATAAGATAGCTGGAGCATGAGCTGTTGTGAAGCAGCCCTGAGCCATCAGTGCTCACCAGGGAGCCCTCACACTACAGCAGAGAGCACTGATGGAGCAGTGCAGGTCCCAGCTCCAGGCCCGCCCGCTCCCAGCCTGTCAAAGGACACCTCAGCCCCAGCCTGCTCCCCGGTAGGTGGTCAAACCCAGCTTTGTGCAGTATTTCTGCATTAAATTATTAAAAAACAAAACAAAAAACTTAGTTGCCATGATCTGTGCAGTTGAGATGAAAGTTTTTTTTTTTTAAAAAAAAAAGAAAGTGAGGCAGCAAGATTTACAATTTTAACAGCAACTAGGAGGAGTGGGAAGTAACATGCAACCCTAAGCCCTTCCCTCCTAAAGCAGAAGCTCTCCCTGTAGAGGAGAAGGCTGACGGACAGCTGCACTTCACACAGCCCGAGAGGCTTTGCTGTTTACAGAGGCACTGGAAGCTGCAGTGTGAGCCAGGCCCAGCTCTGTTCTAAGGCCATGCGCAGCGAGCGTCGGGCTTTCTTTGGATCCCTCTGAGATGACATCGGGGTTAGGCAGGAAGGAATCGTAGGCAGCTGCAGTGAGTGGTTTTGGTCATGGGTTTCCTGGTGCTGGAATACAAGTCGCGGTGCCAGGACAGCGCTGACAACCTGGAAGTGAAGATGGTCGGAGATGGGGGTGCTCAGGAACGCAGGTAGAGTCCAGGACGGGCGGAGAGCCTGCGGGTCAGGCCAGCTTCAGGAACTCCTGCAGGGTGTTTTGTTCCACCGCTTCCACAAAGAGCTCATAATCCTGCAGGGAAGAAAGAACCCGGTTGCTCACAAGCAAGAGGCACGCAGCCCCAATGCCTGTGTGCTGCACGCTCCCTCCAGGCGGGCAGTGCATTCCTCCCAGCACCCAACACAAACGTGCGCAGCGCTGCTGCCAGGAGGTCACGTGGAAGATGATGGGGCAAAGCCATGACAGCCCCACACAGCACAGCCCCACTGCCCGTGGGCACACACAGCCACCCCAGCACTGCATTGTGCTCCAAATGCAGATTAACACTGACTGCCTTTTGTCCGTGCACCTCAAGGGGAAACACCTTTCAGAAAGCATCCCGGGGGCATCTGTAGCAAAACCAAGGGGATAACATCATTGCCCTCTAATCCAGCTCTCACAGCACCAACCCCCAGCACAGCCTTACCCCGCAGTACTGGTCTCCATTGACAATCTGGGGTGGGATGGCTTTGGGGTTGCCCGCCTTTGCCCTCATCTCCTCCCGGAGAGCGTTGTCCTGGGAGATGTCCACCAGCTCGTACTTGATGTTCTTCCCATCGAGGATTCTGGTCACTTCGCTCTGCTGGGATTTGATCTGGAAGCCAGGCGGCAAAAGCAACGTTATCGGGATGTGGGGAGGAGCTCCGAAGGGTGAACGCACACTCAGCGCATCAGCCTACACCTGGCCGGGGGGGCCTCTGTCGGGCGGGGGCACGCAGCACAGAGCTGCGAGCAGAGCAGGTGGGGACGGGGACCGGGAGAAACACGGCGGGAGAGCAGAGAGGGAACGCCAGGATGGGGCGGGGTGGGGAGGGTCGTATCTCCATCGGAAGGGACGCCCGCCCGCCCGCCCGCGGAAGGGAACCCCGCGGCGCCCAGCCCTGCCCCAGCCGCACCGCGCAGCCCCTCACCTCCCGGGAGCCGGTCACCGACGTGCTGTACACCTTCAGAGCGCTCATGCTGCGGCCGCTCCCTGCGCACAGCCCGGCGGGGGAGGCTCGGAGGGCGGGCGCGGGCCGGCACCGCCCTGCACGTGACTGCAGCGACCAATGGAGCCGGCGGGCGCGGGCATGCGGGGCTGCCGCCAGCAGGGGCCCGGCCCGGAGCGCTCGGAGTCCGGGGGCCCGAAGCGTCACAACCGCCGCACGGCGCCACACGGGACCGCTGTGCACGAGTGGAGCAGAGCAGCTTTATTTTATACTCAAAACATTCGGTACAAACAAGTGGGTAAGACAAACGCTGATATAAATACACCCGTGCTCGACTCGATGAAGGAAAACAACGCGAGGCGGAACGCCAACCGTCGGAATACGAACTGCACAACGAGCAGAGAGGTGAGGCACGTAGTCCTGCACCCTGCGCAGGGTGCTCTCAAAGAAAGGGCCGACATTCCCCGCCCAGCTGGGATCTGCGTTAAGCCCAGAGGTCGTTTCGCAGGACAAAAGCACAGGGTAACACGCAAAGCAGTGGCACAGAAGCGGGGGCTCACTGTGGGTGCAGGGCTGGGGCAGCCAACCCAGCCTTAGGGCTGCAATGTTCTGTGTGATCCCGTTCGTGCAGCCGGTTTTGGACAGGCAGGAGGCACACGTGTCCCTGCACCCGAGAGTCACATCTCCCACTGCACCCTGAGCAGAACGTGGCTGCTGCTGAACAGTGCATCCCAACCTGCAGCGGCTGTGCGGCTCTGCCTTCCGTGCCAGAGCTCCCGGCAGCCAGCACTGCAATAAGCTTTGGCCCACAGTGAGCTCAGGACGTGGCACCAGCAGCGTGAGGACAGAGCCTGAGATGTAACACAGCAGATGCTGGAAGCTCTACGTGCTGTGCCGGGGCCAGCTGGTATGGCACACTAACCAACTTGTTGCCAGTGGCCCCTGAGGTGGCCAAACTTCAAGAACAAAACAAATTTGGTCTTAAATCTTAACACAGAAAAGTAACAACAGCATTTCTTTCAAAATTAGGGCTCACGGCCCCAGTGCGAACCAAGAGCAATTGAAGGGGCAGAAGTTTCAGCAGTACGTTCCCTGTTTTACCACTGACTTCATAGTTTGTGAGTCAAGATGGAAACCACAAGTTTCACCCTTGGCATCACAACACTGTCACAAGCCAACGCTCAGGACTCTAAAAGTTGCCACTAAGATTAAGGAAGTTGTGACAAAATGAACTGTATCCCACACCAATTTAGATTCCAACTATTTGGCACATGAGTGGGGAGCAACCAGAGAACCAGAGGCAGAACTAGAACAAAACCTGAGTAGTTGCAGCCTTGCTGGCATCAGGAAGAGCTTTCAGATCCAGCTGTACAACCCTGCTGCCATTTCAGGACCAGAACAGCTTTCTCCTCAACAAGGAGCAGGCAGAGCCATGCAGGTGTCTCCTAACAGGCCTGCAGCACGGTTCCCCTGTGCAGAGGGTCAGGCAGGAGTTATGTACATTCAAAGCCCTGCAGGATTGTTTGCAATGGCTCTAAAGGCTGCTACAGTAAATAGTAATTGCTCACCCTGCCAGCAGATGCATTAGGCACAAAGCAGTGTGTGGACAGGAAGCTTCTGTAGCACATTAAGGCACTTCAGCATCAATCCATTTCCTCTGTAGCCTGGATCATACACACACTCAGGGTGCTTTTTCAGGGGGATAAAGATTTAAGGCTTCTAGGATACAGGATCCAGGGACAGCATTTTGAATCTTCTGTTAGTGTTGTTTTACTTCCCAACTCCTGTTGGCTACCAAAAGACTCTGGTTGCATTTACCTGAGCAAAGCAGGTCCTGGTTCATGAATGGCTACACAAGCATCCAAGCCAGATCTGCACATGTAGCACCTGACAAGCCTGTAGCACGGTGATGTAATTATTGGTAGCATAATCAGCACACCTGCTTGCCTACAAAATCCACAGATATCCCCTGAATGCTCTGATAGTACTCCACTCTTATAAGTTGCACTGGACCTGCGCAGAGAATTTATCAGAAAGACCAGGGCATACATTTTCTTTTAGTGTTGGTTTTAACTGTCACATTTGCACGTTCAGTGTCTGACACGCCTGGGAGGCTATTCAGAATTCATCTCCCAGAATGAGAGAGCGCACCAGCTCCAAAGACAACAAAAAACACATTCCGTAAGATTAAAGCTACTGCAAAGCCTGACACTGAAGCGCTTAATGATTCCAGTTAGCCAGTCAGCAGATAAACACTTCTGGCAACAACCCCCAATTTCTCCTGGATAAGCCACACGTTTGTACCCAAGCATTGGGATGGTAAAGTGCTGAATAGGTTTTCAGTTGTAGGAGTTCTAGTCTCCTGAGAGTTTCAAGTCTTCATTTCCTGTCTTACTTTGGGGAGAGAGCTCTCCTCACTGAGTGATGCAGTTGTCTCCCATGTCCTGGGCATATCTGTCAGATATTGCCGTTCTTAAGTCCTCCACTTCTTTGTGAAGCTGTTTTACCTCCACCAGTTTTTTTGCAAGCAAATCAGGGCTCAGCAAATCATCCTTCTCCTTAACTGAGTACTGCACAGCTGTGGAATCAGAGAAAAGAGTTTACCTCAGGTATGAACTTCTGACCAACAGTCCCATGCATTTGCAAGTGAGACAGAAAAATCAATGCACATTTGCAATAGACATATTACTAACATGTAGCTGTTACTGTGTCCACTCTTAAAGCTTGCTAACTGCAGTAAGAAGGTTCAGGAAGGTAAGAATCTTCTAAACTATATGTGAGGTATTTAATTCTACTGCAGCACGTGAAACAAAGGGTTTGCTATGCCATCACTCTGCATACTTACAGCGAATGCCCAGAAGCAGGGAGAGATTAGGATCCTTGCCCTGAGCCCTCTGAGTGACAATGCTGTAGACAGACTGCAAATCCTGCAGGCAGCTGGCCAGCTCACAGTGCAACTCCTGAGCAAGGCGGGCAGTCTCAGCAGGCAGGGGCTGAGCTGTCAGCTCTGCCTGACGGAGCCGTTCCTGAAGGGTCAGGTTCTTCTCAATAAGATCCTGGTTCTGCACTGAAAGCTGAACAAGAGGCAGCAGATGAGCGGTCACTTGGTATAGAACAAGAACACTTCAAAGCAGCTTAACACAATTGCTCAATGATGATGGGAGCACCAACGACAGGAGGAGCAGGTCTATATATAAAGCCCTCCATACTCTCTACAAGTGAGTGAGAAAGTGAGCAAGTGTCAGCCCTGCAGGGTATGAGCAGCTTGCTTTCCTGGCTGACAGGAAGCACTCAGTGATGCTGTGCTATCCCTGACATGGTGTGACAAACAGAAAAGTTTTCAGGAAATATACACCAGCATCTCATCCCCACGCTAGCCATCTCTTCCCTCAAGGACTGTCACTGTGTTTAGGTTCCTTAGGCTTGAGACTGAGGCACCTTAGAATCATCCATACCACAAACGGATGAAAAACTGAGTGAGAGAAGAATGAATCTGTGGTAGGACTGGGATTTGGCTCCCCTTCCCTTTATACCACTCTTCCACTTGAGCCTTTACAATAATTTCCAAAATCCTTTTTTTCCAAGGACCTAAATACACAATTAGAACTGTTTTTGTTTCTGGGGTAGTTTCTCAGTCCTGCCCTTCAGCCAGGATTGCAGTTGAGTTTGGACTCATGTTCACTGCCTTGCTGCCCCCAACTGGCCAGCTTGGTGTTGTCCAACACAATCCACAGCCTCATTTGAAGTTCCTGAACCAGAAACTGCCTCTCCCCTCCTGTTTTCGAACAGATCTCCTTTCAGAGCACTGAGAGGGCAAGTAACGGGCAGCAAACAGCTGCTGACTGCAAATTAGAAGCCCTGCTGAAAACCACAACCCACCGTTCATTCATTCAACTGTTATGCTCAGGTACTCTATGCTGCTCTGACCTCTTTCACTGCAGTCCGGAGCTGCTGCAGCGCATTTTCTCTTCTCATTGCCTCCTCTTTCAGAGCTTGGCTTGTTCCTTCTTCCTGGGCCACCTGTTCTTCTAGGTTCTGCAAAAGACCATGAGAAAATGGTAAGTCTAGCTTGCTTTATACAAAATTGAATTTCTAGGCACCTCCACAGCCACCTTCTCACCTTCACTTGCAAAGACATCTGCTCCATCTTCTTCTGCTGTTTTTCCACAATCTGGAATCAAAAGCACAGGTGTAACTATGAGCCACAGGGAATTTCAGCAATACTACCAGGACTCCTCCTTCACTAGGACAGCACTCCTTCTCTTCCTTGTTCCTGTCCACTTACTACTTTAATTACTGCCTACATTAGTAGGAGATGAAGATGCCCTGATAAAAGGCACATTAGAAATATCAGCTACGAACAGACCAGCAAAGTTACATTCTTGTGGTTTTCTTCTCTCCTCTACATTCTGGAGCTTTTCTCCAGCAGTACTCTAGGAGTGCATGGTTATCACACCAAGAACAGTTCTTAAAACCTTCTGGTTTAGAATTACAGGAACTGCTGTTTCAGTGCAGTTGTAACTACCTATAAATGCAAAAGTCCTTGATTTCATTATGGTTCCCAGTTGGGAGAGTGTTACCTTCCTGAGGCAGTCACATTCTTTCTTCACAGAGTCATTTTCTATTTTCTGTTTCTCCCCATCCTGTACAGGAGGCCCTCTCTCTGCATTCTTTACACACTGCTGCACCTTGTCCTGCAAGCTGAAAATAGCACAACACCATGGGAAAACCAGGTTTATTTGGGGCGTTTCCCTCTAGACAACGTGAGAAGGCAATTGATTTCCATAGCAGATGTCAGTGCTCTCAGTATGCATCTCAACTTGCAAACTCCAAAGGCTGTGAGAGAAGGAATCCCATTCCCTGGGCACAGCCCTGAGAATACTGGTGGAAGGCCACAAGGATTTATTTTGCAAGGAATTATGGTTTAGGCAAATAATCAGAAGAAACAAAAAACTAAGGGGGACAAGAGAAGCTGTTTTTCTTCCTGCTACTTTGATATTTTTCCACCCTCTACTCTTGGCATACAGAATTTGACCAGTGCTTTGGTGAGTGGTTGCATAGTCTTCACAAGTTCATGGCAACCCAGTTCAGAGGTGGGACAACAGATGTGCTAAATCATCACTGTTCTCATGCAATTATTACTTCAGTCCTAAGGTGAAGATTAGATCTAATCCTTTGTATTTTTACCTGCGCACAGTAGAAAGAAGTTCCAGTTCTTTATGTTTCTGGGTTTCTAGCTGCATCTCTTGCTCTCTGAATGCAGCTCGTACATCTCCAAGCTCTGTTTCCAGTGCCAGCACTGTTTCTTGCAGAGCAGTACTCTTCAGTTCAGATTCCTTTAGCTGTAACAAAGACAGTCACAACACTAGAGATCTCCCAGGAATTTCAATCACACGCACAACATGTTCCAACTAACTACCTTTGCAATGCAGATTTTTATTACCTATGTGTCCCCTTTCAGCTATAGCTCAGAACAGCCCTTCCCAAAAAAGGGAGGGCTGTAACTTTACTTGGGCAGCTGCACAAGGTTTTATTTGCAGCTGCAGAAAAGCCACCTGAGCAACTGTTTGAATCGCTATCATCATGACTCAGAGAAATTTTACCTTCTGACTCTGCTTCTGGTGGTCCTCAAGAGTTGGAAGATCAGCCAGGTATCGTTCCAGGGTCTCGATTCTCTGCTGCCTCTCTCTGTTTTGTTCAGATTCCTTCTGGCATTTCTTTTTAAGATTATTAATGTGTTTGTCTCTTCCCTTTATCTGCAGGGATAGTTATATAAGAGATTAATTTATATTATTTCTTGTCCATTCTTCTGTCATCTGTATACCCACTCATTAATCTGTTTGTTCAACACTCAACACGAAAATGCCACCTCAGCTCGGCAGTATTTCTGCTCATTTAGCTAAAGACAGGCTTCTTCTTTGCTTAAAAGTACTCAAATACTTGTAACTGCAGGAGGAAGGATTTTTCCTTATAAAGCCAACGTACTCTTTAAGGAGATCAGAATATACATATAACGCATAGCTGTGAAAAACTTTCATTCACCTCTCTACACTGACTTTTGACTTTTCAAAGATAAGACATCTTCCCATCTCTAGATCATTGGGATCATACCCTTTCTTCCTGCTTCTTTAAATCCTCTGCATATTTCTGCATATTTTCCTTCAGCGTCTCCTGGATCAGCTTTGCATCCACCTCTGCAGCAGCCAGTTTTCTTTCCAGTTCAACCTTCTCCTTACTGAGAGATTCAGTCTTCTCTGTGAATTGTGCTCGGAGAAACGTGTTCTCCCGTTGCAGCTCCTACAAACACAGACAGCCTGTGAGTTCTGTCCACCAGAGCTAACAGTTATTTACTGGCAGTAAGCAGATGAGTTGTCTCAGAGTTGTGTTCTTTTAATTCCCAACCACTGTTCAGCCCATCTTATACACTGCAGTCTCTGACACTGCACTCGTCAGAGCTGGCAGACACTTGAATCAAAAGCACAGCTTCTGAGCAAACCCTGCACTTCAGGGCTCTCAAGAGTCAGAAGCTCTCAGAGATGACATAGTAAGGACCACACACATGGGATCATTTTACTCTGCACAGCCCCCCTCCTTGGGAAACAACTAATGAGGAGTGGTAGGGCCAGTGGTTTCAATACATATTTCCCACTGGCAGCCTGCAGCACCTGCATTCTCAGCATGTAGACATCTCCATAGGGTGCTGGACAGCCAAGCAGGGCGCTGTGAACCTGCAGTTCACTTTCCCGGACCTTCTGCTCTAACTGGGATATGTGTTGCCTTTGCCTGTAAACAAACAAAAACAAAAACAGGTAAAGCACTGTTCTCCAATATATCCCTTTTTTTAAATGGCAGTGGAGAGCAATACCACAAACAGTGCCACAGCAACTCTAACTAACGCTTGATACAGCAACAAGCACAGTGGAAAGACAACTCTACAACTCAGAACTGGCCTGCACAGAGGTAACGTGAAAGCTGCTCATTTTGACCTTTCCACAATTTGCATAAACTTTTCTTCTCTCTCCTCCCCTCAGAATTTCCCTGCCCCACCCCCACAGCAATGGTTATACAAAGGTTGTGTGTATAAACACACAAGCCTTGCATGTTCTGGAGAATCCAGCTCGACTGCAGAGTTTGAGAGTAAAATAGACATCAGAGAACTCAAGATGAGCAAGCAGAAAGGATATTTACAGCTCAAATGCTGAAGGCGGCTTTCTTTAGAACTTTTTCAAAAAGCTTACAGAGCACTAGCATTATCTATTAGAAGTGCTCTTTGTTGGTCTAAACTCACAAAAACAACCAATAAATTTAACAGGAAGATCCCCCAAAGCTTCCAGAAAGTCCTCAAGCACAGAGGGGGTAGTTCTGACATTTTAGATAACTGTGATGTAAACAAAAATATTTTTCCATTACAAAACACAGAAAACTGTAATTGAAGTTGGTTTATTTGAACTCTTTAGGATCATTTTTTCATTTTCACGATGAAGGGGAGGAGAGCATGTTGGAAAAAGCCAACAAAACAAAATGGCTGTTTTCAAAGGTCAGTATGTTCTTCCTTACAGGAACATAAAGAAAGTCCATTCTGGTAAAATGGACTCAGATATGAGCTCTCCTTTGTATTTTCAAAACTGTCCCTTCTCAAAAGGAAATACACTGAAGCCCTTAAAACCAGTGTCAGTACGAAGCCCTCACCTGTCAATGAGGAGCTCTTTCTCCTTGAGTAGGTTTTCATGGGAGTTCAGGATATTGATCCACTGGGCTGGATCAGGTGTAGGTAGTGAAGGAGAATACATAGAGGGATGGTGACAGGCACCTCCATTTTGTAACTGAAAGAGGAGACAAAATAAGGAGGGAGAGGTTTATGCTCCACAGAGATAATTGCAACATTGCTAGAGCTATTTTGCACACAGTGTGCTCATCTGCATGCCAGGACACAGCTATTTCAGTCCCTGTTGATGTCCAAGAACAAGCAACTTCACCCAAGAGCAACTGGAGATTAACAAATAATTTTAGATCACAGTGAGTGCTTGCTCACTGGAAACAATCTGTCTCCATCAGGGTAGAGCTAGCAAAAGGCAATAAGCAGTTCCCCTCCTAAAAATGAATTGCAGTTTAACACATCTTCTGAGAAGATCTGTTTTCTAACAGATACAGAATAGAATTGTTGTCTAAACTGCTTAAGTGTCTCATTTAGCCTCTCTCAGGATACTGCTAAGAACTGATACTGCTAAGAACTGACAACTGACATGTTTTGGCCAATTGGACATTTCACCTCTGCATCTGAACTGAACTATTGTGCAGTATTTTAACACAATGCAATGCTGCTCAGAGTAAGCAGCAAATGATACCTGTGACACCACATTGTAAAAACAAGTCATTAAGAAAATTACTTTTTGTGTAAGATAGGGAAAAGCAGAAGATATTCCTTCCCTCACTTCACAAGTCCAAAACAATAATTCATGAATAAAAAGAAAGGATGGGTTTTAAACTCACACACATAATGCCTTACCTGCATCTGCTCTATTTGCAGTCGCACATTGTCCAGCTGTTGTTTCCAAGCACTGAGCTCACAGACTCTCTCGTGCGGATGCAGCGTGCAGGTCTCTTGCATCCATGCTAGAGATGGGGGTGTTACAGGTTTTGGAAGGAAATTGTTGGTCTGGAGTGCTGCTGGCATCAGCCTGCTGCCACTTGGCCACGTTCCATCCTGGGATTCACAGGCTCCATTAGCCCCTGCAGATTGCTTGATCTCCGGCAGCACCTTATAATGGTCTCCTCCTGCCTCAGCCGCCCCAGAGTTTGGATTGAATTTCTGGAACCTTTGGAGAGGGTCAGCACACAAACTATCCAGAAAGAGAGACTGGTTAAGGGTGCGTTCAATGGCAGGGGTGTCAAACTTCCAAGTATCTTCTGTTCTCACGTGATCAGAAACAGGACGCCAGGATTGCTCAAATCCATTTTCCCCTGAAGTCCCATAGAGACGTAACAGATCCCTGTGTGGCAGCTGAGATGACTTCCCAGCATTAAAGTCTCCGTTTCTCAGGAGTCCTGCATGTTCTGAAGCAGATCCTGGCACAGCGGTTTTGGAAGTACTCTGCAAACAGCTCTGCTCTCCTGCCGAGCACAGCTTGGAGGGTGAGGCACCCAATGTGGATGGCATAACATGGGCTGTTGGGATGGTCACTTGGGTTTTAATGGGCTGGAATGAGGAACCGTTACTGGAACTGCAGAAGTCTGGGGAAAAAATAAGCCGTACTTTAATTACAATCTTGGAAATATTCTGACATGAACAGCCATTCCTCTGCTGAACGTTTTTCCTCAAGAATCTAAAAAAGCAATTATTTGCCCCCACCCCAAACAGCAGCACGATGAAGGCATACCGGTGCTCCCCCTCACTACAAGTTTACCACAGTAAACTACAGGGAGAATCCAAGTTTAGTTCAGTACACATTTTTAACTGACTCTAGCTAGCTAGTATACTAGCTATTCCAGTATAAGCTTAAATAAACAATGTTATCTTCCAATAATTTTTGAAATCAAACCCTTTAAATCAAATAAAAAGGCTGAAACTTACTCAGCTGAACACTGAGACCTTGATCCTGCTCTGCCCATCCCACAGCTAGTGACTTTGAACCATACCCAAACCTAACCGGAGCCTTCACTAAGCCCATCACGAGCTTCACACACAGCAGAGCACTACATCACCAAGCAGTGGATCTTCGAACTCCTCCAGGTCACAGCAGCAAAGGAACTTTTTCCAGAGGCTACAGTAATGGCTGTCGCCTTACTGCTACAGGAAATGATACAGCACAAGCACCCCAACGTGAGCCTGTCCTGTCAGATGGGCACCAAACCTGGCTACATGGAAATACAGGGTTATTCTTAGCAACTCTCACATTTCAATGCAGCAACAGCATGAGCTGAGAAGGGCAAACACCAAAATGCCTGTTCCCACTTCTCCTCCCAACACATCGCATATCACATTAATGCCAGGTTGCTTACAGATACACAAACTTGTTTTCTTGTTTCTTAGCCAAACTTGTTTGGCTAAAGGCCCATCTCCATAGGATGTTCCTTTAATCCAAGGTCAGAACGGCAAGGTCACATTCTCACATGCTTGTAACCTCAAAGCATTGCAACAAGCAGTTATAAAAGGTAACACTTTGAATATGACTGAAACCAGGTTCTGAAAAGACCATCATAAAAACACTGGAAAACTATCACATGAAAGGACAAGATCGTGTTTGAGGGAAGAAATCTCTTCAGACATTCCTTGGCTGTCAAGGAATCCCGGAGAACAGTGTGCTACCAAGCAGTCACAAGAACACTTTGGCAAACAGAAAAGGGACAGTGCAATTTCCTTTTACAGTTTCTGAATTTATACCCCAGCATCATTGTCAGGAACTTGAGCCCTCTGACCAGCATGCCACGCATGGATGCTGAAATCAGTTCCTTGAATGCACTGAGGATCATCACAACAACATTTCTACGTAATTGATGAGCTGATTTGAAAGTCAGCATGGCACAGCCAGTTGTCAGTGTGGCAATTCAGCCTCAGCTCTCAGAAAGACTACGGCACTACAAACATTCAGAAGGGCAATTTCCTAAAGAAACATCATTGTTATCTCTCCTGCCCTCAGCAAACAATTGGATGTTTTATCCTGAGAGAGGCTAAATGAGACACTTAAACATATGCTCTAGTAATATCTCCAGCAGAATCACCAGGTTGGAAAAGACTTTCAAAATCATCCAGTCCAACCATCCACTTATCACCAATACTTCCCAACTAAACCATGTCCCTTAGTAGCACATCTAAATGTTTCTGGAACGCCTCCAGGGATGTTGACTCCACCACCTCTCTGGGCAGTCCTTTCCAGCAGCTGACCACTCTTTCAGAAAAGTATTTCCTAATGTCCAACTTGAACCTCCTCTGTACAACTTGAGGCCATTCCCTCTAGTTCTATTGCTAATTATGTGGGAGAAGTTGATCCCCATCTCACCACAACATCCCTTCAGGCAGTTGTAGAGAGCAATGAGGTCTCTGCTGAGCCTCCTCCAGACTGAACAATCCCAGTTTCCTCAACTGCTCCTCAATGTCTTTCTTGTAATGAGGGGCCCAATGCTGAACAAATACTCGAGGTGCAGCCTCAGCAGTGCTGAGTACAGAGGGATGATTGCTTCCCTGCTCCTGCTGGCTGCATTATTGCTGATACAAGCCAGGATGCCATTGGCCTTCTTGACCACCTGGGCACACTGCTGGCTCATGTTCAGCCAAGTGTAAATGAAGATCCCCAGGTCCATTTCTGCCACAAAGTATTCCAGCCACTCTGCCCCAAGCCTGTAGCATTGCCTGGAGTTGTTGTGGCCGAAGTGCAGGACCTGGAACTCTGCTGAACTTCATCCCAGCAGCCTCAGCCCAGTGATAAGCCTGCCAGATCCCCCTGTAGGGTCTTCCTATCCTCAGACAGATCAACACTTCCTACCAACTTCGGTGCCATCCCAAATATTTCTACAGCCATTTAAAAAAGCCTTAATTTCAACTCACACATTAGGATCTATAGCTCGCTCAAAAGGGACAGACATACAAGGCTGGTGAGATGTACAAATGCATGAAATGTAATGTTTTAAAGAACAACACAAACTTCCTCTCTGCTGGAACAGGCATCAGTGAATCAACAATGATTTGTGTCACTTTTGTGAATGAAAACACAAGTAGAAAAGATCTATGGGACAAGAAATTTCACCTTCAGGGCTTCAGCTGAGTGCAAGCCACTGTCGTTGTCCAGTGAGAAGCACACAGCTTTCACACTGATAAGACTTATACACAAAGGTACACTGATTTTAAATCTCTAGAATCATAGAATGGCCTGGGTTGAAAAGAACCACAATGATCATCTCGTTTCAGCCCCCCTGCTATGTGTGCAGGGTCACCAACCACCAGACCAGACTGTCCAGAGCCGCATCCAGCCTGGCCTTGAATGCCTCCAGGGATGGGGCATCCACAACCTCCCTGGGCAACAAAGCACACAAGACTTGCTGGTAGATCACTTGTATATATAGACATCAAACATCAAATCACCAAGATAGTTCTTTCAATCTGCTAAAACGCTTATTAGTCAAAAGTCAACAATTTATTAGAGAAACAGCAATTTCCCTAATTACTAGTTTATGTTTTAGGCAGTATATCTGTGTAATGAGGCACTGCTTTTGAAATAGTTACTAGATTTCATTATAGATTCTCCTTCCCCCAACATGCACATTCTAGGGTTCAATTACATTGGGCTATTTAATGCTTGTGGGTCTTTTAAGAACACCTTAGACAGTTATTGTGTGATCCCATGCTGACAATCACCTTCTGTGCTGTCGGAGCAGGAGGTCCCTATGCCCACGTCACCGCTGTCGGCCACACTGGAGCAGCGACTGGTGCGGCTCTGGAACTTCACAGACAGCATTGGTGTTTTCCAGTCAGTCTCTGAGAAATGACTCTTCTGAGCAGCACTGGGATCTGGAGAGAGAAAGCCAGTGATGTTTGTATTTAGGCAGCAGACTGAAAAGCCTTTTATATATCTCACTAGTGACAGGACAAGGAGAAATGGCCTTAAGTTGCACCAGAGTAAGTTTAGGTTGGATATCAGGAAACTCTTCTTTACAGAAAGGGTTGTTAGGCACTGGAATGGGCTGCCCAGGGAGGTGGTTGAGTCAGCATCCCTGGATGTGTTTAAAAACCGTTTGGATGTGGTGCTCAGGGACATGATTTAGTGGAGGGCTGGAGTTAGGGCAGTAGGTTGTGGTTGGACTTGATGATCTTTAATGTCTTTTCCAACCTGAGCAATTCTATGACTCTGATTCTATATGTATCTTATTGAGCCATACCTACTTGTCCTTTGTAGCAGAAAACAAACTGGTGCTTGCTCAACTTCTCACATTGCTTCTAAAGAAATTCCTTTTGTAATTACAAGGAATTGAAATACATTTACGTGATTTAAAATCAATCCTTTATAGAAGTCAGAATGCAGAAGCAACGAACACTTCCAGCAATACAGCTGGCGGTGCTGCAATACTTATTAAAAAGGAGCAGCAGCAATGCCACAGCAATATGTTTTTATATATTAACCGTTAAGAAGCGATTATCCAAGAGGTGGGCCCGCCATCAAACCATGGCTGAGCCACAGATCCGCGCCATAGGAAGCAGCGCGGTGTTTCAGTAAGGCTCGGCGCCAGAACTCCTCTCAGGGTCGCGTTTCCCCCAGAGAAACGAAACGGGATCCCGCCGCAGCGGGGCAGCCCTTACCCGACGGATCGCCGCGCTGCAGCCTCAGGTCCGGCTGTCTGTGGAGAGCAGCCATCTTACCGCCGCACGGCTGCGGGGCGACGGCAGAGACGGCGCTTCAATCAGCGCGAAGCAAACCGCGGTCCCACCGGCCGGGCCCTGAGGCGAGGAGGAGGGACAACAGCCCAGGACGGAGGAAGAGAAGGCGGAGGGAACCGTAAGGAAGGGAGCAGTAAGGCACGGAGCCGAGCGCACCGCGCGGAGCGATGCAGAGCACGGCGCTGCGCCAACCGCCCGCCCCGCTCACCTGCCCGCCGCGCCGACCGCGCGCCCCGACCGTTACGGCCCCTGACGGGGGGCGGAGCCAGCACAGACGCACCTCCCCGCCGCTCTCTCGCAGCCTATCGGAAGAGGGGACTTCACCTCCGACTCGCGCCGATTGGCTGAGCGAAAAGCTGGCCCCGCCCCGCGGCGTTTGGTGGAGGAAAAGTGTCGGCAGCCGGCAGCGCGGGGCGGGGTTTGCTGCTTTCTTGCGCGTGCGCAGTGCGCTCAGGTGTGCCGAGGTGGGGGAGCTCCGGCCCGAAGCGTGGGGCTCCGCGCCGCTCCCTCGGGCCGTGCGGCCGTCAGCAGAGAGCAGAGCCCCGCGCTGCCCCTCCGCTCCGGGCCCAGCAGCCGGATCCTGCCGTGCTGGCTGTGTGGGTGCTCCGCGCTGCTGGAGGGCTCTGTCAGCTCCTCCCCTCCCCGGGAGCAGGGCAGCACGTGGTGTGGGGGCCGCATGTCACCGCAGGGACACTTCAGCACGTGGCACAGCTGTCAGCGATTTATTAGCGGCAGAAGAGAGCCCGGCTGGAGGCAATGCATTGGGGACGCGTTCCTCCAGGAGAAAATCCCTGTCCTCAATGTGAAGTGTCCTCAGAAAAAAAGCAGGACTGGTCCTGCGGTGTCCCACCCTTGTGGGCGATGCAGCAAAAGCCACTGAGGGGGGCTGAACCTTCTGAAATGTCACCAAACCCCCACGCACCGATCCAGGACGGGCAGAGCACCTGCAGTGCTGCGAGTTCAATGGAGAATGATTCCTGCTGGGCTCCGGGGGGTGTCAGGGTTCAGCTGCCCCTGCTGGAGGTCTCTGCTCAGCCTCGTGACCCCCGCCGCTGTCCTGGCCCTGCTGCCGTGCCCACCACTCCTGCAGCTCCTGGTACAGGTCCTGGTGCTCTTCTTTCCAGCGCTGGAACTTCTCGGAGGTCAGCGCGGCATCGTCCAGCAGCTGTTCAAGGGCCTGCAGCTCCGCCAGCTTCGCCTGCAGAGGGGCAGGACACATTTTGGGGGTGTTTTGGGGCAGGGGCTGGGGAAGGGCTGTGGGATCCTACCTTGAGTGTGCTCTGCAGGGCCCGCACCGCGTGCACCTTCTCGTTGATGCGGGGGTTCTTGTTGCGCCGGATGAAGGACTTGCGGCACTGCTCCTGTGTCAGGAAGCGCTGCCGCCCGATGAGGGACACCCCGCCCTGCCTCAGGCACCACATCAGGCTCTCGAGGTCCTCCTCGCAGGGCTCTGAGCATGGAGATGGACGCCATGACATAGGGCAACCCCAGAACCCCACTGGGCCTCCCACATTCTAAGGGGAGTTTGGGTGAAAGATCAGCGTGGGCAAAGACACTAAAACACAACCCCTTAGAACTGCAGAGACAAAGATTAGCCTCTGCACTTCAAAACAGGGCAGCTGTGAATTTGGTTAAAGGATGCACCCAGTATGACAGGGGATGTGCCCCTTTTAGCACAGGGCACAGAGTCCCTCGTGCTGACCAGCACCTACCTACAGGCGAATGGGGCTGAGGGCTGTTCTGTGGGCTGCTGGATTCACCGCTGGTCTGGAAGAGCTGGGCTTTCTCTGGGGTGTTCTGCAGCCTTTTCTTTGGCTGGAGAAGAGATGGGATGGGGATGAGATAAGGAACTGCTGTCCCACCCTGGGATCTCCCTTAGGACCGCTCACCGAGTCAAAGCCAGGTCGGGGAGATTCATCATCAGGGTCCTCAGCTTCTGTCTCGCTGTAGCAGTCTGGAGGCCATGGGGGAGGATGGAAGCAGAGATCCTGGGCCAGTCCCAGCAGCAGCACCGAGCATCACCCCCACGCACCTCCTCTCCATTTCTCACACTTTCCCCAAATCATGGGCAAAATTCCCAACATGCCCACCCGCTCCCCATCTCTTTCCTTCATGTTACCTTCCTCCCTGTGCGGGATGGGCTGGTGGGCCAGTGCATGCTTTGTCTTAGCTGTGATCAGGTGGCTGACCCACCTAGGGAAAAAAGGGCAGACAAACAGAGGGTCACAGACAGCCCACTGCAGCAGGACCACTGCAAGCTGCCACGTCACTCACATGCTCAAATCTGCCAGCGTTTCCGCAGCGAAGACAAAGGGCTTGTACTTCTCGTGGGAGAGCTGGAAGACACTGTGAGGAACACAAGCTGCCCTGAGCCCACGTCCTGCCTTTCCCATGTCACAGCACCCGCTGCACTCCAGGGACCCCACCGGCACCGCAGTGCCCACTCACTATTTCTTCTTCTGCTCCCTCGTGCTCTCCAGGTTGTAAGTGGCTACATTGATGAGACCTGCAGCCTTGTCATCCTGTGGGGGACACACAGCCGTGTCCACTGCCTGCCTTGGCACAGAGCCTGGTGGCAGGGTGTGAGGGCATCCCCACTCACGTTGGGATGGTTATACCAGTAGAGCGTGTGGCCCTTCAGCACAAACCAGCAGCGCTTCCACTTCTGGGCCATGAAGCCCACGTGGTCCTTCTTCTTCAGGAGCCAGCCATCGCAGTCCACCCGGCCCAGGTCCCGGCATGAGACCCGCCGGCGGCTCAGCCTGGTCGCCACTCCTGCAGCATTTTGGGGTGCTTCAGGTTTGGGGCGGCAGGACGAGCCCCCAGCCCACCTCACCACAGCCTGGTGTCACTGGTGTCCCACTCACCTTTAGGTCTGCGTCCCGTCTCAGGGCTGCCCTGGAAGGAGACAAATTAAGGGTGAAGCAGCACAGCACCCACAGCCCCGTGGGACCCCCACCTCACCCACCCTTCAGCAGCAAGCTCAGCAGGCAGCCCCCCAGCACAATCCTCGTGCCCCCCATGGGTGCCCCCCAAAGCTCCATGCTCTCACCTCCCTGGGGGTCTGGCTGGGCTCTGCACTTTGTGCCCTGGGGGCTGCTGTTGGACTGAACTCTGCAGTGCAGGCTTGGAGGGCACACGGTGAGCTTGGGGTGCCTGGTGGGGTGCCGGCCTCCCACACCACGTCCTTCCCAGCACCTGTAAACAGTGAGCGAGGCTGCACCTCTGTCCCAAGGGGAGGAATGAATCCTTCCCCTCGGCTTCCTCCATACCGAGACTGAGTGCTGCCGGCCGGAGCTCACCCGTGTCCTCCCTGTGCAGGCTTGTGCTGTGTTCGTCCTCGTCAGTGGTGGGGTCCAGCCCTGAGTCCACGTCGGCAGTGGTGCTGGGGGGAGAAGGGCCCCCTGAGCCACACAGGGCCCCCTGCCCGGCTGTGGGGCTCCCAGTATTGCTCCCACCCGGAAAAGCTCCCAGCGGCAGTGAGCTCAGCCCGTGGAGCCAACGGCTCGGCGCGCTTCTTTCCATTCCGGGAGAGGAGAAGGGTCATTTCTAAATATAGTTTCCTCCCCATTAAAACGTTACCAAGTGAATTAATTACAAACAGAGGCACTTCTCTTTGTGTATATGTGTTGCTTAAGACTCCTGGCAGCCGCCCGGGCTGCTCGCATGAAGGCTCTGCTCTGCGGGGATGGGACGGAGGTTGGGGCTCACCTGGATGCCGGGGACGAGGGGCTGCTGGGGCACTCGCTGCTTTTGGGGAGATCCACAGCATCCAGAAGGGCACCTGGCACCTGTAGATGGAGCCTCAGTGCTTCACCTTGCATCGCCACATTTTGGGATGACCTCCCATGGGGCTGTAGACCCATGGGCATGTAGACCTGGCTGTCTCCCAGCACAGCCCTGTCTGACACTGGGAGCACTGGGAATGCTCACCTGCTGCCTGATGCTCAGGGGAGAACCAGGCAGGCTGAGGGGCACCTTCTTCAGCACAAGTGACACTCTGCTCGCCTTCTCCAGCAGCTTCTTCACGAGGTTGATGCGTGTCCAACCCACCTGCCATGAGCACCTGGTGAGTAGGAGCAAAGCCCGGTCCCCTGCGCCCTCCTGGTCTGAGTTCCTGCATTCCCCAAATCCTTCCCAGCCAGACACAAGCACCCCTCAGCTCCACCTGTACTGGGGTCCCTCCCAGCCAAACCAATATCCCTGCGTGTCCCCGTCCCCAACTCACCACCACTTGCTCATTGACCTGCACGATCTCGTCCCCGGGCAGGATGCGACCCCCGTGCACAGCCAGGGCCTGGAGCAAATACAGGCAGCAGGGAGCTTTATGGAGCTTTCCTGGCTGGAGGACTTGGGGGCGGGGTGGCTCAGAGAGAGTGGGGTTAACCATTAATCCAGGGACTGATCCCAGTGTCGGGCAGCTGCAAGGGTCCAGGTGGGGGGGATGGTGGGATGAGCCGCAGCCACTCATGGCATGAGTTACCCAGACTCAGCCGCATGCAGCCATCCTACAGTCTGGGGACGGGAGAGTGGCACAAGGCCCTAAGAAGCTCCCAGGACCCAGCCTGACAGGCTGCAGTGTCCCAGATGGCCAAGGGTAAAAGGGGGGACAAGGTGGCACCAGGGCACAGTGACAGACAAGAAGGGGACAGGCCTCAGCTCACCTCCGAGTTGGTCATGGACACAAAGTGCAGGCAGGAGCTGGTGGAGGTGATCTCCAGACCCTGCAGGGCAGTGGGGGAGGTGTGAGTGAGGGGGGATGAGGGAGGGTGAGGGGCACTGGGGCAGTGGATATCTCACCAGTGGGTTGTAGGGCAGCATCAGGGTTCTGGGGGATGCTGGAGGGCTCCCTGTTGGCTCAGGAGGCAGCATTGAGGTGCTGGGGGATGCTGGGGGGCTGGCCCACAGTACAAGGGGCAGCGTGGGGGTGCTGGGGGAATCTGGAGGGCCATCACATGATGTGAGGGGCAGTGCCAGCTCCATGTGCTGCAGCATGGCCCTACGGTCCAGCAGTGCTGGGGGACTGCAGTCCACGATGCTCTTGCAGATGCCTATGATGTGCTGGCACTGTAGGTAAAAACAGGGAGATGGAGTGTGTCCAGCACTGCTGGGACCCCAATGCTGACATCCCCCTCCTTGTCTAGCACTCACTATAAACAGAATCTGGCTGTTCTTCTCTGCAGTAGAGCAGTCCTGGGAGGAAAAATAGCAGGGACAAGTGACACAGATCAGCATCCTTCTTCCAGCCCTCCCCACCACCTCCTCCCTCACCCCATCTTTCCCCCCCTCTCCAGCACAGAAGGGGCTTTGGGGGTGGGAGATCGCCTGGCTGCCTTCCCCACACCGTGCCCATCACCATGGCCATGTGGCTGTGTGTCCACCCACCGTCTGCAGCACCTCCACCAGGCGGGCACAGAGCAGGACGATGTCCCGAGTGGATGAAAAGTCATTTAGGGTGGAGAAGAGGTACCTGGAGGGGAGGTTTGAGAGCTCAGCACCAGGGCAATGTGTGCACAGCACCTATGGGTGCCTCTTGCCTGCCCCAGACCTGTTGAGCCAGGAGAAGAGCTTCTTGGCAGCTCCAATCAGATCAACGACGCAGGCCAGCAGGGCGATGGGGGGTGGCTGTGGGGTGGCCCCCCCGGGTGACCCCTCAAGTACCACGGTCTCAGTGCACTGTGCCAGCTCCCGCAGCCTCTCTGTCAGTGTCCGCAGGCTGGTGCTCGCCAGCTCTGTGTCCTGCAGTGAGGACAGTGGCCAGGGGTGGCCAGGATTCCTCCACAACCTTTTCTGTTCAGCTCAGGGCAATCTCAGTGTTCCTCCCCTCTATCCAACCCAGAGTGTCTCCTTGCTCCTTACTCCATCCAGCCCTAGGTAACCCCCCATGTCCTGTCCAGTCCAGGTATCGCTGTATCCCTCCTCCAACCAGTCCACTGTGTCCCCATGTCACCTCCTCGACATCCATGCAGTGCAGGGTGTCCCAGTATCCCCCTCTTCATGCAGCCAGGGTACCCCAATATCCTATTTCATCCAGCCCATGCTATCTCCATGTCCCCCTTCAACCTCCGTCCATCCCAGAGTGTACCCACGTCGTCTCAACTCTATTGAGATCCAGGTGTCCCCTTTTCCCCTCCTCAAACTCCAACAAGCCCAGGATGTCCCCATGTCCCCCTGCTCTATCCAGCCCTGGATAACCCTCCATGTACCACCCAGTCCAGTTGTCTCCATGTCCCCCTTCCATCCATCAATCCCAGGGTGTCCCCATGTCCCCTCTCCCTGCAGCCCACAGTAACCTGATGTCCCAATTCCATCCAGCCCACGCTGTCTCTGTGTGCCCCTCCATCCATCCCAGACCCCACCACCCATTGCACCGTTGCTCACCAGGGCTCGGAGCTGCTCCACCGCCTCCAGCAGCAGCTCCTGGTGTCCCACACGCCATACTCCCAGCGCCTCCAGAGCTCCCTCTGACAGCCTCAGCAGCTCACTGCCTGCCAGACCCCACTCCTCAAAGGGATACCCCTGCACGGCTGCATCCAGCCCTGCTGAGAGCCAGGCACATGGTGAGGGGGAGACCCTGCCACCCACCCCCTGTCCCTGGCTCGGACGGCCCCACGGTGGAGGGTGACACCTGGTTCCATCCATGCACTGAGCACACCAGACCTCAGCCAGCACCGTGCTCACAGCCCCCACCTCTTTCCCTTTGAAATCCCTCAGGGTTTTGGGAAAAGGAAGAGTAAAGGTTGGGGAACGGGCTCCCACCACCACCACAGCGTTACTCCCAAAGCAGGGACACAAACCCTCCCACCTGAGGGCTGAAGTCCTCCCTCGGTGGGGGTCTCGGGGCGGGGGGCTCTCACCTCGCAGCCAGGCCGCAGTCTGCGCAGGGCCCCAAGCGCCCACAGGCTCCATGGCGGCGGGGCTGGAACCGCCCTCGTCGCTGCTCACCTGCGCCAGGTGAGGGCAGCCCCATTGGCGCACCTGAGTGCTGCTCAGCACAGCTTCCTGCCTGCTCTCCTCCCTCCCTCCCGGTGCGGCTCTGTGGGGTGAGGCACTGCGACGCACCCCAGTGACTCACACTGCAGACAGTGACATGCAGCCATCAAAACTCCTCACGGGGACAGCGCTCACTGCGGGGAAGTCCATCCTCCGCTCCCCTCTGCTGAGCTGTGACTCCCCCTGCACCAGAGCTGAGGCCTGGCACAACTCACAACACCGATGCAGCCACACTGATGGGGATTTTGGAGTCCCCCTTTGAACTCAGTTCCATTGCAATGGGGAAATTGAGGCCAGACGCTGGCCTCACCTCCAGCCATGTCTTTTCCAAGCCACAAACCCGCCCCGGTTCCCCCCCGAAACGCCTCCGTGCCGCCCCACCGCGCTGTGTGCGCTTGGGGGAGCAGCGGGCGCTGATCACTGCTGACAGCCGCGCCGCGCCGCGCCGGCCGTGTGCGGAGGGGCCGTGGGTCCGACCCTGCCGCCTCCCTCCGCACCATGATCATCCGCCCCCGCCGCCTGACCCCGGGCTACTTCCGCCTGCTCCAGGTAAGGGGCTCGCGGGGCTGGGAGGGGGCTCAAGGGGACCCCAAGGTCCTGCCCACACGGCTCGAAGGCCACACAGCTGTGCTCGGCCCTATCCTGGCTCACGGGAGCACAGAGCCCTGCCTGCGAGGCCTGCAGGCTGTGGAGCTCAGGAGGACGCCGCAATCCCGTCCACGCGGCCGGCAGGCCTTGGGGCTGCACTCGGCCCTATCAAGTAGGCCGTGAGGGCGCTGGGGGGCACCCCGATAGCACATCGGGTGCCAGCTGGGTGCAATGGCGGTGCTCAGGCCACACAACCCCACTGCTGGGGTTTTGGGGCTGGGGTCTGCCATTGCCGCCTTCTTTATCTCCTCCAGATGCAGCTGGCGGCAGGGCGGGGGTCTGAGCCCAGGGAGCGGGCGCTGCCCCCCACGGCCCTGCTGCTGGCGGCCGCTGGGCTCTGCCTCTCCCTCTACAGCGCCCGGAGGATGGCTGGGACCCCCAAGGTCCCCCCACAGCCCTGATGGGCCATGGGGATGGTCCCCAGGTCCCCATCTAGGCCTTGGGATGGTGCCATGGCTCCCCCCTGCCAACCTACGCCACTGCCCCATTCTGCCCGTCCATGCCTTGGAGCTGGGGAACATACACCTATCCCTGTCTTGGGAGCCAGGATGCCACAGGATAAGTTACAAAGTTGACTCAAGCCCCCAACAACATGAAGGGATGCAGTGAACAGGGCCCAGGGCTACCAGCACAGCCCCAGGCCTCACCAAAGCCCCAGGATTGGGCACAAGACCAGAAGATGGAAGAGCGGATGGAGGAGCCGAGTGCCACGTCCACCCCCCCCTTAGAGGCAGAAAGGAGGTCAGCTCTGAGCAGCATTAGGTAATAAAGCACTGGGACCAGGAACAGCCTCTGAAATGTGTGGACATGGGGCTGCCTCCTTCCCAAGGGTAAAGAGCACAGCCAGTGCTTCTCCCTGTGCAACCACAGCCTTCCCGTTCCCCATGCTCACTGACCCTGAGCGGAAAGTGGGGCTGCTCCCCCCCAGCAGAGGGCTGGATGCTGACAGCTGGATTTGGTTGCTTTGATCTCTGAAGGCAGGGGGGAACAAATCCAGGCAGTGTGCATGGAAATAAATCCCTTCCTTCTGAACAAAGCTGTGTTGTTGTCATGCTGCTAAGCAGCAGGGAGGAAAAACCCCTGATGAGTGGCTCAGTGCAGTATTGGTACTGCCACCAGCAGCAGCACAGAGACACAATGCCATGTGATCAGCAGAACCAGGTGGGGGGGATGCAATGAGGTGACCACATCACACCCCATGCACGGCCTCAGCCCCTCACTTGCAGAGTTCCAGCAGACCAAAATGCAATGACAGCAATGACAGCCTAGAAGTGTACCTGCTGAGGGAGGGGGGGAGGAGGGAACACTAGCATGTCTTCTTCAAGGCCCAAAAGAGCAAGGCCAGCCCCACAGTGAGCTGCTTACAAGAAACCCAAGTGCTTGATGAAGACTTCATTCAGGAGCGTAACCCCCCAGCAGGTGGGGATCCTTCCCCCCTAGAAGGGCTGAACAAAGGGGCTTTGCCATCCTGCCCCCAGAGAGCTCCAACATCAGCATTTGATTGACATATTTTAATGGTAACTCAACCTCTGACTCCAGCAGAGGCACCTAATACCTCTCTGAAAGCAAAGAGCACAACACTGCACAGCATGGAGCTACCCACTCTTGCCCCCAGGAATGGGGACGTGGCCAGGGCACCCAGGAGCATGCTGGCTGCTTCTCATCATTAGCGCCTGGCAAAGAGCTGAACAAAGAGTCCTTTCAGCAGCACGGTAGCAAAGGGGCCCTCAGCTGGATGCTTCCATCTCAACGACTTCATCCACGGGCTGGGTTTGCACATGGACCTTCTTTGGAGGGATGTAGGAGCCCATCCCAGCAGCACGCTCAGCCTCCTCTTGTGTATAGGGCTCCTCGCTCAACTGCTTCAGCCTGTGGGGAAAGAGATGTGTTGGAAGGGAATGGAAGTGCATCACCACTGCCCTTCTTATAATGGTTAGGGGCTGGGCACAGCTTTTCTCAGCAGCCCCCTATTACCTCTTCTTGTGCACCTTGGATCTGAAGTGCTCCTTCATGCTTGTCAGGTCCACAAAGTAGCGCCTGGGGGAGAGAAGGGCAAGAGTCCACGGTCAGGGGAAGTATGGATTTGGAGCCTGTGTGGATTTGGGAATCTCTCACCTGCAGAACCAGCACCCCAAGGGTTGGTGTCCCACTACAGCCAAGGATCGCTGCTCAGAATGCAGAGCTTCCCCAGACCCAGACCCCTCTCCAGCCATAACCCACACCAGGAATCCCTCCTTCCCCATCAGGTCTCCGACAAGACCCCTCCCCCGCAGGCCAGGACCCTCCCCCAAAGAACTCCTCCCCAGGACCCCCAGCCACCAGGGCGCGCCTTCCAAAAACCACTCCCAAGACAAGCGTTTCCCCTCCCCCCCAGGGACCCCAGCCCCTCCACTGACCACCACTCTCTTCCCAAAAGAACCTTACAGACCAGGACCCCCCCCAACAGGACCCCCCGCCCACGCACGCGCAGTGCAGGCAGTAGAACTGGGCACAGCCCGGCAGGTCGGGGTCGGGTTCCTGGCGCAGCAGCCGGGCAGCCCGCCCGGGCTCCAGATCCGCGTGGATCTCATCCAAGTCCCGGCGCCGCCGCTTTGTTTTCGCCTGCCGGGCCAGCGAGTGCGCCCGGTGCGCGCCCGTGCGGCGACTGCCGCGCGGCGCCATGGCGGCTGACTGAAAGAAGCACTGCGCAGGCGCGGGAGGAAAGAGCTCCGCCCCGCGCCTCTAGGCCACGCCTCCAGTGCCCTCGTGTACAGCTGATTGGTGCTACGCCGAAGTAGATTTGCATGTCCCCGCCCCATCGCCGCGCCCTCTCTTCCTGGTTGCGCGGAAGTCGCCTTTCTCGTGCCTTGGCCGCCGTGTGCTGCTAGACTCTATGGTCAGAGGTCCTCCGCGCCGTACTACGCATGCGCAAGGCAAGCGGAAATCGGAAGGAGCTGAAAGCTGCAGTAGCGCGTTATGCTCAGCGAGGTGGCGCATCTTAGCGCTCCTGGCTGTACCGGATTCTTACCAGTGTGCCTTAGAGGACTTCAGTAATCACTCATTGTAACCTATGGGCCACCATGTGGTGCTCGCACAGCCCCTCTTCGTGCTCCAGGGTTCGCAGTGTGCCCTAGTGGGCTCCCAAGGCCCCCAGTGTGCTCTAGGCTGTGCTGGAGTCCTCTCAGTACTCCTCGCTGTCATCTGGGGAGCTTCAGTGTCTGCCCAGTACGCCCTTGAGCCTTCCAGGTGCCACCCGCGTGTTCTGGAGGCACCCTAGAATCCTCCCAGAGCTGCTTAGTTTGCTCTAGGATGTCTGAGAGTCTTCGCAGTGTATCTCAGCAGGTTCCCTAGACCCCCTGGTGTGCTGCAGTGTACCCAGTGTATTCCCAGAGCTCCTCGGAGTGCTCTGCAGTGCCCTCAGTGCAGGGTCCCAGTGATCCTTAGAGGACTCCCAGAACACCCCACTTTAACTTAGGGCACCCAGCGTGCTCCCAGAGCTCCTCAGCTCAAGGGTGTATTCCATATACACTCATGAATAATTTATGTTGCACTCGTACTTTGTGTTCTTTGAGGAAGGTTTTACTGTGTGAGGTGGGTCTGCTGTTACCAAAAGGTTAGCTTGGATTGAGTTTTTCCGTGAATGAGAACTGTAGGAGAAAGAAATATGAAGACTACTTGGTTGGTTGTCTACTTGGATGCATGGATGGACAGTAAAATTTTGGAAAGGTATACAGTGATACACTTTTCACAATACTGAAAACAAGAACTGCCATGCCTGCATATAGGAGCAGTCCTTTGCAGCATCCAGGACTGCTGCTCTGAAACAAGGAACTTGGTGACTTTGGAAGACATTATGTCTCCTGAGGCCTTCCACAGTGTGGCTTGCAGAGGCTGGAAGGAGCAATGCTTGGTATCTTTGCCCTTCATGTTCCACTCTGAGGTGGTCGTTCCTGGGCATGGTCCTACCTAGAAAGAACTTTGGGTTCAACCTCCAAATACATGTGCAGTACTGAGTTTTACGATGCAAGTTGTTGGGTTAAACTGGCAGTGAGAAATGTAGACTGACTGGACGCAGTTTCTGTGAAGATGAGGATCCATCCTTCACATTATATACCTTTATCACATTACCAAGTCAGCCAAATGGATTAAACAGTAGCAGAATGACAACAGTAGTACTTTTTTTTTCACACAGACATTTCCGTGGGTGCCAAGACAGGGGCTAAAATCAAATCCATCTTTTAGTTCCTGGTTTACCCACCTCTTATCCCAGGACATACAGTGCTGGGATTTTTGAGCCCATGCAATTTCCCATTGAAGCCAGTAGGGGTCATGGTAAGAACTGTTAAATCTTGTTCTTATTTTCTGGTCTATATTCGACCCCTAGTTTCAAACAGAAGAGAAAGTAAATAAGCAGTGGAGTTGCTAGAAGTTATTCTGGGATCTAGGCTATACGAGATTGGATTGAGACTGCTAGGTTTTGCTGTCAAATCCCGACTGTGGTCCTTGGTATAATGCTTGGAAATGTGTGGACTTTTATTCTTTCAAGTTGTTAAAGAAGATTTTTGTTTAGAGAGAAAGGTCTCAGTATCTCTACAGACCTGTTTCTTCTCTAGTGCTGAAATAAAAGGTTGTGACTTGAAATGGAGGCTTTCCTGTCTGCTGCCGAGATTACGGAGAGGTGTTGGTGTCAGGAATGGAATCAAACTTTATGCAAATAAATAAATTTAAAATCATTTTAAAAGTTTTTAGCAAACTTTTAATATTTACCCAGAAAACATCTGCAATGGCATAATTTCTGAACAGGCCAGGTCATCCTGAAAAGCTTTTCACATAGTCTCAAGTATAAATATTTTGATACAACCCCCCTGCCCCCCCCAAAAAAAAACCCAAACAAAAACAAACCCCTCCAAACTCAACCCCTTGTGCTCACATTCAGTGGCGCAGCATCGTGTCGTGTAATCATCCTCACTCTGCTCCCAGCCATGCTACATCTCTAGCAGACAGGCAGCAGGATGCTTCTGGCCCACACTGTGCTTTTATTTTTTTTTTTTTCTTGCCAGCGCTGGGAATCCACATCCAGGAAAGGATGTCTGAAGGATGCTGAAATAGGCTGACTGGCTGTTGAGGTGTGAAGAGGGCTGAGGAAGGAGCTGGCGGTCACCGCAGTGATGAAGGCACCGCTTCCATCGGCAGCAACTTCAGCAGCAGTTCCCTGGGTTCTCCATAGGAGCTCGAGTTGTGGGTGTGGAGAGCAGAGAGCTGAGGAGCACATCGGGCTGGTGCTAACAGTGCTGCCTTGTCCTGCAGAGCCACGACTGCAGGCTCATTGTACGTCATCTCAGGACGTCACCAGAACGGGTCTTGCTCAGACAGGAGCTGCTTCACTCAAACATCATGAGAACAGCTGCTAGCTAGGAAGGCTGAGCTTTTTGTCTTTCTGTATTTTACAGTAGCTATGAATAAACCCAATGAGCAGCAGCATCCTAATCTATCTTATCTGTGATGCTGATCATTACTATATTTCACCTACTAACTGACAAATGGTTCATGTTTACAATAATAAGCCCATCAGCCGTTCCGGTTCACTTTTTACACAGCATCTGAATTGATTTTAAGTCACTTTGACTTTTAAATTAAATTACCTCATGCGTACAAACAGAAGATGCAGAAGAACTCAGCAAGGATTCACAGTAATCAAGTACTTTTTAACACACACATATATATTAAGCTTTAAATCAAAAACAAATCTTCCCAATTTTTTTGTATATGCACTCTATACGATGCAGTGAACATGAGCATGGTCTAGCTCTCAGCCACGCGGTGCTCTGCCTGTTATACAATGTCTGCTCTACTGCTCTACTTTTTCCTTTTTAAACAAATGCAGGTAGACTAGACTCTTTAAAAGAAATACAAGCTGGCCATAGCGCTGTGGCTGAGCTGCCCTCCGTACAAAGGAAGGAATTCTAGTTTTGTTACATCAGGAAAGAAGGAAATAAAACTTTTTTGTGGTCTTAGATGATCTTATTCTCCAGGGCTTCAATCCTTTTAGCCACAGCTTCCAGTGAGCGAGAGTTAAGGGGAAAAATGACAGTGCACATCAGTGATTCATTGCTCAAATCTTCCCTGCACAGACAGTGAATGGAGCTGCCTTGCTGGGAGCAGGTAGCAGAGGAGTGCTGCCATCATCTACCCTGGCAATTCTATAGATGTTCAGGTTGATGAACTTTTATTGAAGGTAGAAAATGTTTATACATGCACACACACTCACACGTACCTATAAATTTACTTTAAATATAAGAATGGTTGGTGTGTGTTTTGACCGGTTGAGAGAATTCCTGACCTTGAGCAGTATGGGTTGCATGAAGAGCAGAGCACATTGCTTTTCTTAGAGTTACACTGTCTTGCAATTTTATGCTCTTTTCACTAATTGCTTTTCATGATGTGCCTGCGAGCGGCAACCCACTGGGTGAGAACTACTGATTTACTCTGACCTTTTGCTTAATATAAGTCATGGATTTCACTCAATTTGATGTAAAGAGGAGAAAACATACTGTGGAACTGAAAGAGCAAGCCACAGAAATGCGTGTATAAATTAAAACGTTCCTAAAATGATATTCTCTCCTAATTTTCAGTAATGAAGTCTCTCCCTAACCATTTTGTGAGCTGCTCCAATGTTTCACTAATTCCTCTCTGCATGAGACATTTGAAGCTTATTCACATTTCTTTTTCTTATTTCTCTTCCAAGAATTCCCAGTCTTTGTGCAATATCATAGACTCACTAAGGTTGGAAACAACCTCTAAGATCATTTAGTTCAACTGTCCACCAATAGTGCCTGCTAAAGCACATCCCTAAGTGCTGCACCTACCCTTTCCTTCAGCACCTTCACCACTTTGCTGGGCAGCATGTTCCAATACCTCACCACACTTTCTGAGGAGAAATTCTTCCTATACCTCACGTCCTATTGCTGTTACCTGGGAGAAGAGTAACCCCTCCCTCGCCACAGCAATGAGGTTTCCCCTGAGCCTCCTCTTCCCCAGATGGAACCACCCCATATCCCTCAGCCACTTCCCATGGCACCAGAGCCCTCACAGCTCCGTTCCTTTCTCTGGATGCACTCCAGGGCCTCAATGTCTTTCTTGTAGTGAACGGCCCAGCACTGAGCACAGCACTGAGGTGCAGCCAGTGCCATACAGAGGGATGGGCACCTCCTGTTCCTGCTGGCTGTGCTGCTGCTGACACAGCCAGGATGTCGTTGGGCTCCTCATCCCCCTGGGCACCCTGCTGGCTCATGTTCAGCAGTGTTACCAGGATCCTGCTTCTCCACACAGCTCTCAGCTGCTCTGCCCCACACCTGCAGCACTGTGTGGGGCTGTTGTGGCCAAAGTGCAGGACCTGACACTTGGTCTCACTGAACCTCATCCCACTGGCCTCAGCCTAGCAACTGGCCTGTCCAGGTCCTTCTGTAGGGCCTTCCTACTCTCAGGCAGATCAACACTTCCCCCCAACTTGGTGTCATCTGCAAACTGACTGAGAATGCACTCAATTCCTTCATTCAAGTCATCAATAAAGATATCAAACAGGGCCAGCCCCAGCACAGACCCCTGTGGAACACCACCTGTGACCAGTTGCCAGTCGGACGTAATACCATTCTCTGGGCCTGGAACCCAGCAAAGAATGTACCTGTCCAAGCCAAGGGCTGCCAGCTTCCCCAGGTTCTGGCTGGACCTGATCCCTTGGTTGTCCCTCATATGGCATGTGATCACACTCAAAGATGATCTGATCCATAACCTTCCCTGGCACTGAGGTCTGGCTGACAGGCCTGCAGTTCCCTGGATTCTCCTTGCAACCCTTCTTACAGATGGGTGTCACACTGGCAAGTCTACAATCATCTGAGACCTCTCCAGTTGACCAGGAATGCTGATAGATGGTGGAAATCACCTCTGTCAGCTCCCTCACACCTCAGGTGAATGCAACACCTGAATGCAACACCTGAATGCAACACCTGAATATGACAGAATCCAGAAGGAAACAGGTGGTCCTAGCCCAGCAAATTCCCTATAGACACATCCTTTATGGTTTAGTGAGCATGATGGTGGTGGGTTAATGATTGCACTTGATGATCTTAGAGGTCTTTTCCGACCTTATTGATTCTATGATTCTGTGACAAAAAAACAATCCCACAGACACATGGGATCAAACTCAGCTCACTGAAGATATTTGCAGTGAGGAGTTACATGAGACAGTGAGCAATTTCTCAGTACTGGAATTTGACCACTGGAGAGAAATTGGACCTCAGTAGTGCAATTCCCCTGACTTTACCAAGATCACCAACTATATGGCCAGAAGTGCTGTGCTGTAGAAGACCCTCTTTTTCGACAGTTCTGTGGGGAGTTTAGGCAGCCAGATCGGGTATTTGTATTGTAGATATCTACTGTTGTATAAAAAGCATTTCATCCACAGATCTTTAATGACTTATCAGTTGCACGCAGGCACCAGTATTTTTGTTTCTTTCTGCTCACAGGTCAGTGATAGCCACTGCTGCTCTCAGCCCTTACATTCTGGCTGCATCACAGGACCTGCAGCACACAGAGGCAGCAGCAATATCCCGTACAGGAACCTTGCGTCCACACTTCTGGCATTGGCATCGTTTAAGCATCTTCCTAAAAGCTGACTTAGGATCTGATGTCTTCATCTTGCTACTGCCTCCAATGATTTAGCATATTCTACCTTGGCTCTATTGCTTTCAGTCTTTTTCTTATTTTGTGCCAGGCCAGTATCTTGAGCTCTAGTACAGGAATTCTTCCTCTTGGACACATTCAGAATCTAACTGCCTAGTTTCTCAGCTTTCTGACTGTTATCTAAACTGTTTTCTCCATGGATAGACTTTCTCAGGTAGTCCCTCCCGAAACCCCAAGCCAGCCCACTGGGTGCTGAACACAGAGCTTCCAAAGGATATATTTCCGTTGCAATGTATTGATGAGTTCTTCTACTTTTGTCTGGAACTTCACAATAGATTTACATTCACATGGATCTTCCTCTGTGGAACAGAGTATCAAGAAGATGTGTTAAGTGACACAAAAAAGAATTAAAATCACTGAGATGTGAAGTAAAGCAAGTCATATTCTTTGTCATAAACAGGAAGGAAATAAAAGTACCATTCATCCTAATTACTGACTGATCACTTCTGCCTTTAACCTCAAATGACTAGGGACTCTTACACTTCATTGCATTCAGGACAGGCTCAAGTCTTTCCTGGGCTTCCAGTTCCCTGAATACCCACTGAGATCTATTACTAATGCTTACAGCCCTAAAAATTTGAATCTGATCAAATACAGTGCTCAAAACAATCTTTGTTTGTCAGTTCATTTCCCAATAACATCACCATGGTAGGTCATACTCTTTGCTGCTCATAAGTTTATGCAAAATAAAAATTTGGAGGTACTCTTTGCAATCTGAGAGTCAAGAAGTGTTGGAGCTTTGCTTCGGGGCTCCATTTCTTGAATAGACAGGGCAATGTGCATTCATCAGTTCTGCAAATGCTGTGAGTAAACCTTCCCCTCCACCCAGTCCCCCACTCTCACCAACGCAGATTTTCATTTGCAGCTTCTTCCCAATGTTGCTGATGGTTCTGAAGTCGGCTGTGTAGAAGTAGTGCTCAGCTACTGGTTCGGAAGCAATTTCCCTCAGCTCATCCTCCACCGCGTTACCAACTCCCACAGCAAACATCCTAAAGCCTGTAAGCAATAAGAACCTGTCAGTTGGCACCAATCCCCCATCAACTTCTAAATTCCTGTCTGCCTTCTGTACCTCCATGCAGTTCTACAGTTGTTAAGCTGAAAACTCCCCTACTCTCTACTATTATTGACTTATTTCAGGCCATCTGGGGTTCCAACATATTTTGCAGGCGAAGTTTTACTAGACTTATCTAGGTAATGACCACTGTCACCACAAGAACGATGATTTGGAGATACAAGAAACAAAAGATCATTACAACACCTTGACAGGATAATGCATCCAACTAATAGGAAAGCAATGATACAGCAAAAGGAAACAGTGGAATTTTTCAAAATAGCCTGCAGCCACCATTCATCAGCCTCTCTCGTAGCAAAGTCCCCTCTGCAATGGAGACCTACATGTTCAGTAAAACTGTGCTTGGATTGCTTTCCAATATTGCGACTCACATTGTCTATCAAGACTAATCCATTCTATGAGTTAAGAGCATGGGCCCAGTTACTATGCTTCACTACCAGAGATTGATTGCTGCTTTTGTCTTAAATCCTGCTTCTCTTGAACCCAACTGCAGTTTTTCCCTTGACTTGAATGATGATATTAGGTCAAGACTTTAGTAATGCTTTCCCTCCCTCCCCTTTTTGCTTTGTCTTTCTTCTTCTGGATCTTTTCAGCTTTTTTTTTCTTTCTTTTTTTTTTTTTTTTTTTCTTTTTTCCCACCGTTCAACTCAAGGAACCTGTTTGGAATCTAGTTATAAGTATTTTGTTATTTATCTCTGTGAAATCACTCACCAAGTGATGTTGGGGATATCTGTGTAGGGAGAAGAGAGGAGGAGAAAATAAAGCCTGAAGTCTTGTTTCTATGCATACAATTTGTAAGGACCTTTTGTCTTCTAAGGGCTGAACATCCACACATCCTGTCAACTTGTTTAGTAAGCATCAGCATTTCATGACCTTGTACTTGACCTGCTATTATGTGCTAGCCCTTAGTCCCATCTAGTTGTTGAGACTGAATCTAAAAGGAAATGAAGGATTTAGCAATTCATGAACTTATTCACATGGGCTGCATCCATTTAACGCAGCGATGGCAGAAGACTGGGAAATGACCCTCAGCAGGAGGTCAGCAAAGGGGCAGATCTCAATATATTTGCACTTTGTACAAGTGATAGTAGATGCAGTGCCTGGTCCAAAGGAGAAACGGGCCACTGAAAATTCAGTAGACTTACCTAAATCTTTGGCTTTCTTAGCAGCATCAGTGATGTAATCTTGTGACCGTCCATCTGTGAAGACTATGCCCACCTTGGGAACCCCAGGCCTGGCTCCGTTAGCGATGGAAAAGGAACTGTCCACGAGGTACTTCAGAGCCTGGCCTGTCATGGTGCCTTTCTCCATGTAGGCCATTTTCTTGACTGCTGCTTTGATGTCCTTCTTGTTCTTGAACTGTCCCAGAGGAAACTCCTGCCTGACAGAGCTGGAGTACTGAACCAGGCCAACCTGTGCCTGTTTCTCTGACACCTCCAAGGATTCCACAATTTGGTTGATGAATTTCTTCACCAGCTCGAAGTTCTCTGGCCGAACGCTCTTGGAGCCATCGATCAGGAAAACGAGATCCAGGGCAGATCCTGACCCACCACTGCAAGCTGAAGCAAAATAAGAGAAGGAAGAGACTAAGCAAAATAAGAGAAGGGGAAGACAGCAACTAAGATTCTGCTTAATTGTGTGAGGAGATGTAATCCTAATGCCATTTCATTGCTAATGAAATATGCTAAACCAATCAAAAATCAACAACACCTCACACTCATGTTTTCAAAATAACTCTTCGTTATACGTTCATGGTTTCTTTTTCTTCCTTTTCTGAACAGAAAGTGCAATTCTCTGTCTCAACCTCACCCTTATCATACCGTGGCAGATCACAGCACAGCTCAGTGCAAATGGAAATCATGACGTACCACCGCAGGTCTTCCCATCGTTGTTCAGCGTGAAGCCCTCTTTACAAGCACACCTGTACGATCCCGGAGTGCTGATACAGATCTGCTCGCAGTCGTGGTCGCCAGTGGCACATAGGTCGGACACCACTGCAAGAAAAAGTGCAGGCTGAAACCAAACACCACGCCAAGGCTTCTCAACCTGAGCACACACCGCCCACAAAGAAAGCATCATATTTGTTCTACACACTCAGTGATAACTAAACCCATCCTGCAGCAATACAAAGCAGCAGGAAGTCATTACTCTGTGATAGTAATCGAGGTAGAAAAAGCAAAGAGAAATAGTGACAAGTCTCCAGACTGCAAGGCACAGCTAGGGCTAGATGTAGTTCCTACAGTGAGGGCAAAAACCATCTGTCTGTCAAGCATATCACAATGTACTTCCCTCTCCAAATATACGAGGTGAGATTTGGTTTCCAAACTACCATCTGGTCTGGCCAATACCCATTTTTTTTCCAGCTATGTGGTGCAATTATGATTAGTGAGTGCCATGTGCAGCTGCCATTCCTGGATGGGATTCATGCCCAAACACACTTGGACTTCTCTTCAGAGCTATCCTTGCACATGCAACTCTCAGAATTGCTCTCTACAAATATTTCTGCAACCATGCAGTTGGCTCTAACACTGGGCTCTCAGGCTGAGTTCTTTGAAGGCTGCAGAGATTTGATGAGCCTAACTAGTAGCTGATCAACAAGGGTCTCCCTTTTCCTGGGCCCACTGAACACTATGGGAAGCAGCTGGACAGTGCTGCACAGTTCTTCCTGCTACTGGTGGCCACAAAGTGCTTGTCAGTAGCAGGTGGTGTTTGGGTACATCTCCAAGGACAGCTCTGTGCAGCTGCTTGCATAGCATGATAACAACTCACTTGGCAGTTAATGCGGTGCTGCTCTCCCTTAGCTGTAATAATCCCTTGCACAGTGCTTCCCTCGGATGCATCTCTGAAGGTTTTTACCACGGGGAGAACTTTGTCATCTGCATTTACACATTTGAAAAGCAAGGCACAGAAAGGGCTTTTTATTTTCCCCTGTCTTTTTGAATGACACCAATGCCAGAGCTTCAGAACATACTGTCAGGCCTCTCTGTCTCCAGCTGACTGCTGACTCCAGGGCAGCCAACACAAACTCCCACGAATATTCATGCCCTGCCTTCTGCCTTCTTGAATTTTGTCTCTCCTCCTCTTAGTACGCAGTGTTTGTTACTTTCTTTCATGAGCTTCTGCTGCGGTGGCACCTGATTATAATGTATGACTCACTTTGTATTCAAATTTTTCCTCCTTCCTACAAGAGAACAAAGTTTTCCTTGACAGAAAGCCGCTCCCCCCATTATTTTCAAGCTGAAAGTTGATCACGAACCTTTACACCTCTTGAAGAAATTGTTCTCAGATAGTTTTACACGTCCATCTGTGTGCACTGGTTTGCAATACCTTGCTGCAAGCACTGTGGTGCATCACAGCTTTAAGAAGCGTTGCCACACTGTGCTGTGGCAGGATGGCTGTGCGAAGCCCTCAGGCCCCTTCCCAACACATGGTGCTTATTTATAGACCACTTCCTACACATTTGAAAGCAATAAAGCTCTCTCATTGCATTCACTGGTTTGTGTAGGAGAGTGTTCAACGTGTAGATCTGGTACTTAGGGACGTGGGTTAGTGAGCAATATTGGTGGTGGGTGGACAGTTGGATTAGATGATCTTAGAGGGCTTTTCCAACCTTGGTGATTCTATAAGTGACTGTAAAATAGTGAGGCTCTTTTTACATATTATGCAGAAATTATCCGACTAGGAGAGTTTCCCACCCCACAGGGCTTCCAAAAATAACAGCAGTCGGGGAGAGGTGGCAGGGGAGTGAAACCAGCCCTTGTTTGAATAGGAACTCAGAAGATGATACCGGCAGGGGAAGCTGCAAGGCAGATTGTCAGCAGTGCCCTGCTACGTTAAACCTGAGGGCAGTGATTTCAGCTATTTAAAGATTGTGTTTTCAAGGTTCTTTTTCTCTAGAAGTACATGGATCATGTTTATACAAACAAAGCCTTCTTTAAAGAGGCTTCTTTAACCAAAACCTGAAATTCCCTAAACAAAGCCTCAAATTTCTGAAAGGCCACTTTGAAGAGCATCCATCTTCCGTATTTTGTTCTTCTGCACACCCAAATCCTTGGCAGAAGGAAGCAGATGGATGAAGGATGATCACATGTGAAACTTCCACGTGAAAAGCTTGCTGGCAGCCACTTGTACTTCTTGGCTGCGTGGCAAGGACTTACCACAGAACGCTTCTTGAAACTTGTGGGTCAGCTTCTCTATGACGCTGTAGCTCTCCACGTAGTCCACGTGGTCGTCCAGGGGCTCGCTTGCGATTTGCCGCAGTGTGTGCATGTCCACCCGGCCAACCCCGATGGCAAAGATCTCAATGCCAGCCTGCCTGGCCCTCGCTGACACGTCCTGCACTCCGTCCTGGGGGCGTCCGTCGGTCACAACAATCGCCACCTACACAGAGGAGGGCACAGACCAGGCCTGGATGAGCACTCGTACCGCTATCGCTTGTGGTTACTTCTTTACTAAAGGAGGTTTCGTATTTCTAAAGTTAAAGAAGAAGGAAACGGCACCTCCTCCCCCTCTTCCTGTTCTTCCTGAGATCACAGAAGCCGTTCTCTTAATGTGTGGCTTGTGTCCTTCTGAGCTGCAAAGGTTAAACTGCCATGCTTTCATTATGGGACATCTGGTGCATCTTGGCCCCAAGAAAAAGGTTACACTCTCCATAAGCAAACTAACACCCAACCCAAACTTCAGCTCTCTTTGTGAAACCTCAGACAACAGTAAGGACAACTCTGGGTCTTTTATAGTGCCTTTGTCCATCTAAAAATCTCAAGAGATGGTATGGAAACGTGAGGAGATTAAGGCTGCCCAGAGAGGTGGTGGTGTCCATCCCTGCAGACACCCATTGTCAGCTGAGCACTGATGGAGCTGTGGGTGCCCCTGCTCAGTGCTGGGAGTTGGACCAGATGGCCTTTAAGGGTGCCTTCCAATGACTATTCATCTAAGGCTTCTTTTTAAAGACAGAGAAACTGAAGCTGAGAGAGGGGAAGTGGTCTGCCTGAGGTCAGGACGTGTCGGTGCCAGCCGTGATCTCTGATTCCTTATTCCACCACAAATAGCGGTGTGAGATCCTGCACTGACTGACATCATCATGAAAATCCCAGCTGGTACAGGTGGGGACTGGATTCTGCCCTGGGTGGTGGAACCCTAAACTGCAGGAAAGCCTATAGGAGCTCTGCTGCTGCTGCTAGGCTTTCTATTTTCCTCTTTCTTCTTTTGCTAAGTGACATTGTCACAAAATCTTCATGCTCTTTTTTTTTTTTTTTTTAGCAATTCAGTTGCTCCTGCCACTTTTCCTTGCAATTGTTTCATTGTGACACCACTGTCAATACAATCAGCAGGAGCAGCTAGCTGCAAGCAGAGAACAAAAATCCACAGTGCAAGCAAATAGCAGGATGTAGAAAACATCATCTGCAGATGCAACTGGGGAGACTCTCCAGCTGCTCAGTGAGGACAGTATGACAGCTGTTTTGCACCTTTAGCAGGGAGAAGTCATCTTTTAAGGTCAGAAGTGGAGTTCTCTGCCTCATGTCTCCAAGGGGCCCAGTTGGACTGGATGATCTTAGTGATCTTTTCCAAACATTATTGATTCTGTGATGCCATGAAGCATCTCCTTCCCCTCTCTGCCCGCCCTCCTGCAGTGGGGTGGCTGAACGCTGCACTCTGGGCATTTCCAGTACTCAAGCAACCTGCTGCCCTGTCCAGAGCTTTTCTTCTGAATGAGAGATGGGTGAAACTGGAAAAACGTGGAGCTTTCAGTCGGGTAAAGCAGCAGCCAGTCGTGCAGCCATACCTTCTGCCAGGAGAGAGAGCCCTCGGCTCAGCAGCAGCGCTGGGATGCGCTGCCAATTAGAGCTTATCAGGAGCCAGAAGCCTGTCAGGAAACAAGATGTTCTATCAAGTGGCTTCTGCGAGGAGCACTACCCATGAGCAGGTTTCTGCCAGCACTGCGTGTCTTTCTTGCAGCATTTGTCATAGGACAGAGGTGTTCTGCGTCCTCCTGGCATTTCTCTGTCTAAAGAAAGTGATTCTCCCAGTTTGATCAATTCCTTAGGTTCATACTGGAGTGGCTGAGCCCCAGATACAGCCCAGGAGACATCTGGCTGCAGCATCCACATCTGAATCTGATGGGAAAGGTCTTCGTAATAAAACACAGCGTGCTCAGAAGTTGTACTGCTTTCTGAGCTGCTGTTGGAACTGGGGCAGAAGAACATTTGGAGGCACAAAGAATCTGGACCAGGCACTGGGAATGTATCAGCGAGCCCACGGCTAAAATGAACGTAACGTCCTCATTTGCTAAGACACACAAGTATTCATGGGCATCCCTGGGAGGTCATAATTCATGTGCCATGTGCAGGCAATCCAGCAGCTAATGAGGCAGCAGCATCTCTTGATGCAGTGTATTACATGAATGTTGTAACAGCACTGGCAGGGGATTGGGAAGAAAGTTGAATAGCCCCCTGATTTGCTCAGCAATTTGACAATCTATTTGTTGTTCTTCCTGAAGAAAGATAAAAGTAATTGGGCACCCCTGTAGTTTTGATAGAGGTATAAAGGGACGTTACTTGGAGCTCCTGCAGAAACAAATAGTTTTTTTCCCTGTCCTGTGGTGATATTTGCTGCATAGAGCACAGCAAGACTGAATGAATGATCCGGTTGTGCTTTGACCAATCCCACGTGGTTGGAAATCCTAGTGCTGATTTCCGTGAGGTCATGCTGGATTTCTGCTGTGTAAAGGAGCAAGAAATGTATGCAGCTGAAATTACTGTGTCCTATTCATCATCCAAGGCAAATTAGGGGCTCGTCCTGGGGAGGGAGAGTTTACTGGGCTTATTTTGTTTTACACTGGGATACCTTGGGCTGGAGGTACTGGCCAAGAATTAGTGCAGTGAGAAAGGAAATGAGCTTTTCTGCAAGGGTGTATTGGAAGAATAGAGAAGTAAATGGCCTTTTTGCCTTTCGATATTCAACAACAGTGGTCTGGCACTCAAACTGCTGGGATTTTTTTTGTGCGGAAGGCAAAACGTCTATTTTGTTCATATTAGGGTTTTTTTCCTTTTCATTTCAAGCAGGATAAGAATTTCTGAGAAGCAGAAACAGATAATATCATTCACATACTTGTTGTTTCAGTTAAGCTGCCTGTTCTTGGGCTAAGCAATGCCCAACAAGACAAACGTTTCCTAGAACTTTTTTCTTCCAGATGGAAAGTCACTGAATATGGCCATGGGTGATTCTTCTCGGGGGTCACCGGCATCTTCTGCTCTGCCCATGCATTCCCAGCACTGGCCAAGCTATCCCCTTCCCACTGGCTGCCTGAAATGGTTTCAGTGGAAGAAATGTCTCTTGCTGTTGGATTTTCAGCTGGTGGCTCCTGTGCTTGAGGAGTGATGTGATGGTGATGGCTGATCAGAAGAGCAAACTGCCAGCAAAACTGCATGAAAGTTTCTTGGAGTGTGATTTTCCCAACTTAACACTCTTGGCTTTCTTCTTATTGTGTCAAGCCAGACTTAGGCTTAAAATATAGACAATTAGGTTAAAATACAGAGAATCTCATGATAAAAGACAATATGAAGTCAGATTCATTAACATTTGCAAGTTCCTTGTAGCTCACCAGGGTGAAGGAGCACAAAAGACAATCAATGGGATCTTATTTTTAGGAGATGGACTCATTTTTCATATTTTTTTTGTGAATTCCAGTCCAGTCCAGCCTTCAGGTTGCTGATTTTTGGAATTGGAGGACTTTTAGCAGTTTTTCTTTTTTTGGTAATATTTTTGACTTGCCATCCCCAAGCATCTTTTCCATGTACTGTTCTGCCTTCCTTAGAGCTTTACTATCAGTGAGGAAAACTGAAAGTGTCTGATGTTCCAAAAATGTTGTAGTCAGGAGAAAAATCCCAGGCTTCCTCGCTCCATCAACTGGGCTCTTGTCCAGCTGCTGGAAAGCCTTCATTGCTTGCTAAAGCCTTTGCTTATTTTTCTGGTCTGATCTCATAGCAGACAGCCAGTGGAGCTGGCACAGGACAAAAAGTCCTGAGAAGCTCAGGATGTTTAGCTAAAACACATACTGTCAATAATAAACATTTTCCACATGCTCAGATTAGAGTTTTCCTGATGACCATCACTGGGCTGAGGTCTGGTTGCCTTCAGGGACAAATCCAGAGGGTTGGATGAGGTGTCTGGGGAATATTTCTTTAAAGGCTGAGTTTCCTGGATGGGGAATCTGGGTCAGGAGTGGTGATGCCTGTTGCAGCCAAGTGTGGAATTAATCTGATTTTATACCACAGTCTGAAATGTTAAATAGTCATTAAAGTCTGTGTACATGAAGAAAATACTCAGAATGGAAGACACAGCTGTTAGCCAGCCTATGAAAAACTAGTAGAGCACTGGAGGATACTGAAACAGCACTTTGCTTTGTACATAGAACCGAAAGGGCTCATTTCAAAGGAAACTTTCAGAAGATTGTCTCACATTTCACTACGGTGGATTTGGAAGCATTTTTGTTACCACTTGTTGGGGAAGATGGCTGTGAGTATGCTCATGCCTAGCAGACCTGGCTGAATCAATGTCTCGGGGCGGTGTGTTGCTCTCAGTGAGCATAAGCCAATACTGCCCTACACAAAGAAAATCACTTTTTCTCCTTTTCTGATTGTCCTAACCATTCCACAGTGTGTCATGTGAAATAGGGCTTCCAATAAAGGGATAACACGCTTGATCTAGCGATTGGCAACCCTGCCCACGGCGGGGGATTGGAACTAGATGGTCTTTGAGGTCCCATCCAACCCAAGCCGTTCCACGATTCCATGATTCTTACCTTATTGATATTGGGAGATCTGAGCCTGGCCCCTTCTGAGTCACTGAAGGCCCGGCTGATGGCAAACTGGATGGCCAAGCCGGTCATGGTCCCCGTGGAGAGTGGCTCTATCCTCCGGACCGCCTGCAGGAGCCCGGCCTTGGTTTGGTGAGTCTTGAGGGAGAACTCGTTCTTGACTGCACTGGCATAATTGATGACCCCGACCCGCGTGGAGTTGGGACCCACATCCAGCCCCTCGATCACCCGCGACAGGAAGACTTTGACTTTCTCGAACTCTTGCGGGCGCACGCTCCGAGAGCTGTCAATGATGAACACCAGGTCTGTGGGTTTGGTTCTGCACAGGGTGCCTGGGGAAGATTAGGAGGGAGAGGAAAAAGAAGAGAAAAATATGCAAGGAGGGACAAAATAATTCCTCTTACAGCAGGCAGCTGAGGCTAGATGACCTGTGAGCTGCAATCCTTTCTCTCCCTGTCTCAGAGAGGCCCAGTGAGCCCAGTTTAACCTAATACTTCCAAATGTTCTTTTCCCTTTCATAAAAATTTCTGTAAGAAAAACACATTTAGCTGTTGACAATATGTACTCCTACAGCAGCTCTGCACTTGTGGGAGCGGGTTACCCACTTGTCACACTGGGCTATTGCTAATGGCTATAGGAAACTTAATGGAAGGAGGAATTTAGCTGAACTAAAGCCTGTTATATACGCTCCCGTATCAAAGAAGGTCTCAAAAGAACTCACTGTGGTGTATAAGCAAGCTACATGGGTATTAATTAATGAGCTTGTGTCTTCGTCATGCATGACCAGAAGCAGGAATGAAACTCAGCAGTTCAGATTCAGTCGCGAATCACGACTCCCAGACTAACTAACCAACAGAACACAATCCAGTCTTGTGTTTTTCAGCTAGTGGCACTAATAATGAAATAGAGCAAAGACCAGCACGGCTTTATGTCTGTGAGCTGGTGAGGGAGAACACAATAGAGAGATGTAGAACCATGCAATTGATAGTTAATCTCTGCAAGCCAGTAGTAAGGCATGAATATCCACTCTAAAAGATAAATAGTATAAATGGGAAACATTAGCAATGCAAACAGCTGACTAATATTTTTCTTTCCAATTTCTCATTTTCATGCTGTTTTCCATCCTAATGTTCAGCTGTGACAAAACATAAAAAGGACTGACATTTTTTATGAATTTCGGAATGAATTGACCCATTTTCCCCACCAGATCTATAGCATTCTGGTCTTTATCTTTTCCTATCATTTAACCTGCCTCTGTAGGGTCATCAAGTGCTCTGTTAAGATTTGATTTCCGCAGAGAGGGATGATATAGGTTATATCATAAAAGAGATTTCTGTGGACAGATTTTTAAATGTGAGCTTTTGGGCCAACAAATCTGTTCTAAATTATGACATAAACATTACAGCTAGTCCTCAGTGTGAAACCTAATGTGGCTCTCAGTCTTTCAGACACATGAAAATAAATACCCTGTGATATATCCATAAAGAATATAATCAGGTTAGTTTCCTGGGAGACATGAATGCTGAATCTGCTCCTGGCTCCCAGAAATGTCTGGGCGATGCGGTGTGCAGAAGAGAAGAGGGCAGTTGTTACTCTATCAGGTGCTCTAGCTTCCACTAAAACATAATATTACCTTTTCCCATAGGGGTGGCTTTCACTTTGCCACTGTAATTCATTTCAGAGGAAGGAAAAACTCACTTGGCAGTCCACATTGCAAATCCCTTCAGCAGGGGTTGGTTGTGCCCATTTTACAGGAGATGCAAAGAAAAATGCAAGGTCTTGCAATCGGCTCCTCTACAAATAAAGCATGGATTCCCCTTTGCTGCTGTGGCTAATTTGTCACATCTGCTTTGAGTGACAAACCAACCAACCAAACAAAAAGCTTATTTTTTTCCTTTAGGAACAGTCAGATCGAATAGGAGTTTTGCAGCGTGTTTTCTTTTTGTGTAGAAGCTCTGTGATAACATTTTAAATCTCCTTTTTTTTCTTTTTTTTTTTTTTTTCCTATGAAAGTGCAGTATATTCCAGGGAAATAGAACGTATCAGATGGAAGCTCTGGGCTTTAGCACACGTCAGGCTCTGCAGGACAGACAGATCCCCAGGAGGAGACAGCTCTGGGTGACATCCTGACTCAGCATAGTTTATTTCAAAGAGGAATGAAACCAGAATTGAAATGCTCTGGTTTTAAAAGCATCCACACCTGAAGCTATTCAGGACCAGCTGAACTTCATGCATCAATTTAGCAGAAAATCTCTCTCAGGGCATCCTTGCCACATTAATTAAAAGAACAGGAAACCTACCTAGTAATTCAGAATGAAATGCTGTTTATTTTAGAAACAGTGATTGCTCACGGTAGGGCTGGGTTGAATGAGCACTCTGTTCAGTCTCCTGGCTTCATAGAATCATCGAATCACTAAGGTTGAAAAGATCACTAAGATCATCAAGTCCAACCGTCAACCCATGCCAACTGCAGCAGTGCTTAGCGGCCCTGCAGCGAATATAGCTCTCCCTTTGTTCATCAGAAGAGATGGTCAGTGCATCAGGGAAGTGCCCTTCGTACACAGCAGCTAATGCCAGAGTCACTGGCACATCTATTTTACCTATTGTGGGCCCAGAGCTGCTGCCGTGGGGCTGGCGCCAACCCAGTGCTCCCTTTGCTGTGCTCTGCTCAACCTCCCAGCTTTGCTTTAAAGCAATAAAACAGGCAGAAGGAGTCCATCTCTATGTCTGTCTGCCTGGTGGAAAACAGTGGAGGAAGCTGTCTGCTTTTTGGTCAGAAGTTGGGTGTTGCTTCCTCCTTCAGCGCCCTGCAGTTCCCAGCAGGTTGGTGACCAGAATTTGGGGACGGAGCCCACAGCATTTAGCTCCCACTTACCTCTGGGCTGAGGAGGTGCCCCCCAGACTCCACAGCTCTGGAGGAGAAGCAGCAAAGAGAGTGGCAAGGCGGAGGAAATCCCGTCCATGGCTGCGGAGGAGCTGCCGGAGGTTGGATGCGGAATGGCACACGGGAGCCTTGCCCTGAGGTATTAACCTGCCCTTCCTTGGGGAGGCAAGGGGCCAGCCCCTGACACGTGTGAGGGGCCGGGGGGGCACTGAGGGGCGAGCGAGAAGGGCTGGGAGAAAATATTGCACGAAGGTGGGGAGGAGGTGGACGTCCAGCCCTGCCGGCCCCTCCACAATGGCTCCATTGCTCGGAGAAGGGGATGGGAAGCTATAAAGGGACCCGCAGCCACGCGGTATGTGGGGAATCTGGGATGGGAACAGTGGGAGCAGTGAGGGCAGCCCTGGGGAGCTGGGGTTAGCCTGTCGACCTCCAGCTCCCATCTGCATATCTTTGCTTCCTTTGCTTAATTTGTGGGCTGGAGCTCTGTCACAGGAGGAAGGGAGAGGAAGAGGAGAGCAGGCGCAGGGGCAATGCGTGGGATACAGAGCAAATTCCTTCCTGCGGGGAACAGTCGCTGCTCTATGAGGCTGTGAGCAGAGGCAGAGGGAGAAAGAACGCAACAGTCTGAGTTAGATAAATAGACAAGCAGCCGGGACGGACGGGCAGATTGCAAGTTTGATTTATTTTTAACAGAGGAGCAATCAGGTCCATACAGCTCCAGCCACAAGAAGCCAATAATCTGAGTCCACAAATAAGACCGATGATGCTGCAAGAGAGCAGAAATCCAGTGTCTCCTTTCTGGAAGAGCAGCAGGGAGATTTCCTACTAGAGTAAGATGAATTTAATGATGGGTCCATTGCAAAGCAGTGCATCTATTTTCTTTTAATTAACTGCTGTACTACACAGATTAAAGCCCTGGATGTTGATGGATTGGTCTTTGCCCACTTTTCAACTGCACCCTCGGAGTGCTCATGCATTGCATTTGCATTGTGTTGGTGCAGCACTGTGGCAAACCACCTGTGATCCAACGGGCTGTTCTTCCCTCATTCAAATCCGTGTTACTCCAGAAGTGCTTTGACAGACTGAGAGCTCCTGGAGAGAAGGGCTGCTTGATTATGCAGAAGGGGACCTGCCCTTACTGGTGCTGCCAGGCTGTTCTTTGCTCATTCAACATTAAAAGCGTTGATCAAAATATTTAAAGATATTGCAGAATGTGAGGAGGGATTAGGATAGAAAACGCAAGCAGACCTTTGTGTGCATGCACAAGGACATTTGTATAAAAACTTTATAAAAGCTTAAGGCTGTGAGTAGGTGCATGAATATGTACGTGTAAATGAAAATACACGCTTGCAAATATGGTTGCACATACGTGCTTACATGTCCATTTGTACGTGTGCACATATATGCAGACATAACTCTCCTTCTTGCATGATGTGTTCATGCATGCATGGATTTCTGTGAGTTCAAACATGTACAAATCCGGTGTGTGCTTATAGGATATAATTTGTCCCACAGATATGTAGAACAGATACAGACACACTGACCATTAATGGGGAACAAAGTGAAATGCAAGCGTAGAATCCTGCAGATTTAGCCTCCAGCCCTGTCTGTGATGGGGTTTCTCCTCTTGCTCTGCCATACATACAAAGGCCCATTGGTGCAGACAGTGCTTGCCATGAATAGGATCATTCAGAGCCCTCTGTAAATGAAGTCTCTATGGCTGTTCTTGCTGAAGAAAATATAAAGTTTCTCTGTGTCATTTTGCTGCTAATTAGTAAAGAAGGATAAATACATTTCAGGTGAATATTTTCACTTGCAGAGGTTGGGGCACACGGGCAACATTAAAGCTTTGAAAATAAGGCGAGAAGCAAAGGTGTGCTGGATACTGTAGGTCTGCATTTATACCTCTGTAAAAGCCGTGTTTATTTTTAAAATATGAAACATAATTTTCCCCCAGGCCTCCAAAAATGAAAACACTGGACTCAATATTCCAAGAGAAAAATATGCATTTAAAGCTCTTCCCAAGCCCACTTGCAACGTAAACACACAAACCATTAATGGGCTCTTGTGCTCTCTGGTACCCATCATCAGATGAGATGGTTTGGATGCAGAGGGCTTGGCTGCGGTGTGTGGATGTCAGGGCCTGGAGGGGACAATCCTCCAACAGCCCACTGCCTTCATTCTTTGGGTTGCCACATCTGCCAGGGAGTGATGGGGCTGGAAAGTGTATGACCCAGTTTAAGAGTAAGAAATACAGTGAAGCAAACACAGACAAGGGATGTGGTCAGCTAGGAAAGTTGTTGGCTTCTCATTTGCCATAAAACAAGCATGTCTGATAGCGTGGGCTGTGTAAATGTAGATTCTTTATCAATATACACATAATATTTCACAGGAAAGTAGATTGGATGGAAAAGGACATGAAAAATGACATTTTAGTTCTGATAATGTAGAAATGCCTTGATTTGATGTGGCATTTGACTTTTTCCAATTTCTTTTGCTCACATTTTCTCTTTAAAAAAACTTTTTAGTTTTATATCTATGTTTCCAATAAACACATTTGTTATGTTAGTATAAATGTTACACTGCAATGAGCTGAAATGACCAAGTCAAAATGAATCAGACCCTGAGTCATATCCATGTCAGTGAGCCAGAAGAAGGCAGTGGAGTCCTGTGAGAAAAAGGAAATCAGACCATGATGTCAGGACGCTTCCAAATTTCTGCTAGAGCTCAGTCAGATGGCATTTTAAATATTGGGTTTTCCATAGGAAGAAAGCACAGTGTTTGTGGTCCTGGACCGTCAATGGTTCCTAGAGAGAGTCTGGCGATGCGGTTGAGTTGCGCCAGTTGGCCATGGAGGCAGCGAGCAAGGAGAGGGCCTGGGGAGGGACGAGCTGCCAAATCCTGAGTAGTTTACTGTTGAGTTGTATTTCATTCTAAACAAACCTGGTAGCTGTAGTAAACACAGCTTTCTTGCCCTCGAGCAACCAGGAAACTCCTATGTTTAGTAAAATACTCAGTTTTGTCTTTTAATTATTTTTTTTTTTTTCTTTTTCAGGCTTGCTCTGATGTTCCCATGTGTTTCCAGGCCTCCATTTTTCAAATATTCAGAGAAATACTGACCAAAGCAGCCTTTTAGTCGAAACTCCAATTCTCATGTTTCATCCCTATGATGTTTCTATATCAGTTATGGGGAGCGGAGGAGCTCTTCCTGGCCTGCTTCCTTATCAGAAAGGATATTTATTGCACCACTATTGTATTGCAGAAGTGATATTTGCAGTGAAGGAATTGGTGCAAAGCACAAAACAGATTATGGAAATGGTGAAAGAGACGAATGGCTTTAAATACAACCCTTTTGACAACTCAAGATCAAAAGGAGTACTGTTTATCCTTTAAGCTGCAAATGGCTGGCAAACATCCTTCTGCTCTGATGCTGTAAATAGCAAATGCTGTTTATGACTAGTCAGTGTTTATGTATTTTATGGGTCACGTTTATTTCAGGGGGATCATTTTTTATTTGCTGTGTTAACCTTGCCCACATCCCCCTGGGGCCAAGTTGCCTCCTGGGCGCTATTCCCAGCTCTGATGTTGGCCACCTGGAAGGGTTGGGCAGTTTGTTCCCTGCCTCCATGCCTCAAATTCTGCACCAGCGGTGTTGGCCGGGCCCAGAGGGTCATAGCTGTTCTGCTAAATTGCCTGGATGAAGCAGCAATGTAAGACTTGTAAAAGTTGAAGGTCACTGTGAACGCAGCCCATTTTCTCCAGCGAATGAGCGAACATACCAAGGCAAACTGTACAAAAGGACCATGGCACAAAGGCACAGTAGTAAAGACCGCGGGCTGGTCTAAGAAGAGCTATGTGACATGGTTCTCAGTAGCAGTGGTGTTACAAACACTGGCAGACAGAGGGATGAGGGAGATTCTTGGCTGCAGTCCATGAGGTGTCTGGCCTGATGGATGGGCACCTAGACAGAAAGCCAAAGGCAATGAAAGGCTTTGGGCTGATGCATGACCACACTTGTCATCTTCCCTCATTCTGGGCCAACCGCTGGGGACAGCAGTTGCAGTGACTTCGTTCGACTGATGCGAATAATTACTTTAATGAACTGTCTGCAGGAAAGCTAAAGAAAAACACGTCTTGTAATGATGTTTGATTAATGCAATTATCATGGCAGCTGTCCCAGGCTCTAAGTCTGAACCTGGATGGTTTGTAGGTGCCACTCAAAGCAGCAGGAATGAAGGCAGCAAGACAGCCAGGCAGGGCAGTGCGGTCCCTGCGCTGTGCAAGGCGGTCTGTGGTGACAGAGACCTGGAGAGCTGCCACGTGTCCATCACCCAGGGTTCCCTCAGCTGCTCCGGAGCAGCTCAGCACATGGGATTGAACCAGCTTGAGGATGTGCCAGGGAATTCTGCCAAGTTGCTGTCTTTGCCCTCTTCAAGGTCTATTTATGCTCTCTTATGGACATCAGAAGACAGAGGAGACCTTTCTGTCATGGTGGATGCTACAACTGGATCTGCCTGATTTTGAGTGCTGTCGTTCCTGTTGCATTATGCATGGTTTTTGCCAAGTTTACCTTCTATGACTATTTGTAGAACCAGAGTTTCTTTGTCAAAGTCTCTGACAAAATTTCTGGATTTCTGGGGCAGTCCATACTGCCATAAAACATTCCTGATCACTGGACAGGTCTGTCACACGTGTGCCTACAAGGCTGTGAGTAGTGCATGGGAGGGCTTCCAGCACCTCTCTTGGGTTTGCAGCATTGATTCAGCAAGACCAGCTCAAGGCTGAGGGAAAGAGCCTCAAGAAAAGACAAAGAGAAGCCAATAAAACAAATACTGTCACAATGAAGGAGGCTCAAAAATAACTACATTTCATCAATAAAACGGATACTTCTGCAGTGACAGTGAGCACAAACTTGTCTCTTCCAGCCATGAGGACTACCTGCAAGCAGTCTTTATAGACATAGGTATGGGCTGATGGCTGGACTAGATGACCTAGTGGTCTTTCCAGCCTTAGTGATTCTATGATTTGCTTGGACCTTTAGAGGCATTTCTTGCAGCCTTGAGTACTGAGCCTGGTTTTGAAGCAGACCAGGATCGCACTCAACCATTTTGCAGTTTCTCTCCCTTCTCTATGTCCATGATTATTGCAGAAGTTGTTTCCTTTTTATTTACACCTCAGTTTCCCTTTCTGTGGCATAGGGTGAGCAGTGGCATATGTTTGGTTTAGTTTCTTCTTATAGAGCAGACTGAGACACATCACCAACTGAAGGCAATGGCATGAGGACGCCTACAAAAGAACAATAAATTGAACCAAGAGAAGTGTCCAAAGCGATGTGAAAGACAATACAGACATATTTCTACTCATGTGAAACACTTTTCCAGCAAGTTTCTTAATTTCCTCTCTGCAAAAAGGGAAGTGGGAGTGGTGTAAACAAAACCAAAACCAAAAAAAGTCCTGTTTTAGGTCAAATGAGGGAAATCACAATCAGATGGGGAATCTGATGGACATCTTAGCTCCTAAAGCACATCTGCCTCCATGAGATGCTGCTTCTAGAGGAGGTCCTGTCCTCTCACACCTAACCTGTCAGCGCTGACATCGTCTGCCCAATCTTCTGTCTGTATCAAAGAACTGCTGCTCATTTTTCCTCTGCACTGAAAAAAAAATTAAAGAAAAAAAGGAAGTGTGGAGCAGCATTAAGCATATGAATGTGAATCGGTTCTCAACCTATTTTGGAGACTCACATCAGTAAATCAATTTAAAGGAGAGAAAACTGTATAAGAGTAACATATTAAAAAGAGTCTTTTATCAGACTCAGAACCAGCATTGATAGTGCCATCGGCTGACTTAGAAAGCTTGTGACAGCTCACGTTTGGTTTGTGTTGGCAGAATCTTCTAACATTTCAGAAAACCCAAACGATTTCCCGTCTAGAACTCAGATCCTAACCTGGCTGGAAACTCACAATAAATCTATACATTTTATCAGATTTCAGGGTTTTCTGAGTCAGGCTTTCACAGGGAACTATTCTGAGCCCCACAGAGGAAATAGTGAATGAAGCAGAGAGATCGTTTAGCTTGCTAAGAGCCATGAAACATCAGGTTCATTTCAAAGATCAGGTGTGTACCTGAGGGCTCACCTCCTCCACATTCTCTTTGTAACCAACCCCATCTCTGCAGGTGGTGTGTTGAGCCTATTGGACTTGATGATCTTAGTGGTCTTTTCCAATCTTAATTATTCTATGATTCTCTTTTAGCTACTTTGGTTAAAATACAGAACAGAATTTGAACCACTTAAAGAGATTAAGAAAAGGATTTTTATCACTGTTCAGTTAGATATGAGGGATAGGATGCCATCCACTGGGATCTAGGCTGACTTGAGCAGTGGGTGCAGGAGAACCTCATAAGGTTCAACAAATCCAAGTGCAAGGTCTGCAGCTAGGTTGAGGAAACCCATACTACCAGTGTGGACTGGGGAATGAAGGGATTGAGTGCAGTACTGGTGGATGGGAAGCTGGACATGAACCAGCAACGAGTCCTTGCAGCCCAGAAAGCCAACCATACCCTGGGCTGCATCCAAAGCAGCGTGGCCAGCAGGTCAGGGAGGTGATGCTGCCCTTCTTCTCTGTGCTGGTGAGGTCTCACCTGGAGCACTGCATCCAGATGTGGAGTCTTAAGTACAGGAGAGACAGGGAGCTGTTGGAGTGCGACCAGAGGAGGGCAGCAAAAAGGATGCAAGAGGTGGAACACCTCTCCTATGAGGACAGGCTGAGAGAGCTGGGGCTGTGCAGGTGGAGAAGAGAAGGCTCTGAGGAGACCTGAGAGCAACCTTCAGTATCTAAAGGGAGTGACAGGAAAGAAGGGGAGAGCAGAGCTGTGGTGATAGAAGAAGGGGAAATGGTTTCAAGCTCAAAGATTTGAATTAGATATGAGGAAAAAGCCCTTTTACAGTGAGGGCGGTGAGGCAGTGGCACAGGTTGCCCAGAGATGTGGTGGGTGCCCCATCCATGGGGGCTTTCAAGGCAAGGTTGCATCAGGCCCTGGGCAACCTGATGGAGCTGTGCCTGTCCCTGCTCATTGTGGGGCAGTTGGACTAGATGGTCTGTAAAGGTCCCTTCCAACTCTTAGCTTCTATCCAACTTCTATGATTCTATGATCACACTGCTCACATTGATGTTCAGCCTCGTTTTCAGGAGTACAACAGGAAAATCACTGCTTTTCAACAATGAAAAGCAGCTCAAGTATATGGTCAACATCATTATCATTACCATCTCTTTTAGTCATCAAATGAAAAGAACATTGGCAAATCATTCATTGAAGTTTCAGAGCAGAACAAGAATCCTAGGCTTTTTCTTACAATGTAGATGATGTTGGAATAGTTATTTCTGAGCAGATTACACTTTTAAAAAGCGGGGGTCCATCCAAAAAAGTAAGCAGATGCTGAATTCCAGCTACCAGTCATCAGCAACATCATTCACCATCTTTTACACAGACTAACCTGTGTCACCACGGGTCATGAATGTGCCAACCCTTCAGAAATCAGACAGTAAAAGATTAAAGCGGTTAACAGTTTTTTTATTATTGAAACTCATTTGTCAAGTCACAGTCAAAGCCAAAAAAGAAAAAATAATTAAAAAAAAGCAAACTCTTGGGTATAACATGGAAGAGCAACACTGTCATAATTCCAGCATGCTGGAGCACAAACTCAATCATGATCATAAGCAGACAGAATGAGAGTGTGCTGTTGAAAACTTCATTCTTTTGCTAACTCCTTTCCCTTAGGTCCTCATTAAAAGATGCTAGTATGTATAGTATACTTCAGGGTTGGGCTACCTCAGAAAGCAGAAAAAAAGATTATTGCTTGTTTTTCCCCTCATTCTACTTCTTAAATGCCTCAGCTGCTGGGTTAGAGAAGTAAGACAGATAAGAAACAGCATCCTACTGGGGTAAATAAGCCTACCAAGGGATCCAGGCCAAATGACTGGCAGATGTCAGAGCCCAGTGATGGGAACCTCTAAGATGCCTGGTGCCAAGTTTATTAAAATCAGCACTGTAACTCAGTAGTACCAGCTCAAAACTGCCAGTGTGGAATGAGACACCAGCTCCAGTGGTTCGTCACTGCTCTTCATAGGCTCATAAAGTGAGCTAGAGTGCAACAAGCTTGATGCTGCTGTAAAGTAAGGGCTTCTCAGTGAGGCGGAGTATCTGACAGAAGGGGTAGGAGCTCCAACAGCAGAACTCTGTCTTCTCTCCATGAGTAGAGCTTAGACTGCTATGTAAGGTGGTGGGCATTCCTTGGAAGGCAACTCCAAGGCTTCCTCATAAGATGGCAGCACAGCCTGCAAGAGAAGACCATTAGTCATGCTTTGGATAAATGAAAGGTTCCAAATGGCCTTGATCTTGGATATGTTTCTCTTCCTCAAGTATCTCACATTTTTGGAAGGTCTTAAATATCCCTTCATTTTATCAGAGCGGTTGGATGCTACTACTGGAGATCATCAATAATCTACATAAGAACATTCATTAAAATGAAGAGTGATGCACCAAATCTCTCAGACATTGATCCAGCAAAGGGTGAAGACGAACTTAATTTGAAACATGAATGACACTATCAGGCACAGAAACAAAAGTGATCTGAAATTAAAAACAAATCTTCAAGCCAGAGATTAAGAGTGATATATTCCCATTTATTTACTTCGTCCAAAGTCTGAGTATCAGCTTCCTTGCAAATACAATTGTCTTTGTAAGGTTTTACAGAAAAGTAAATTTACAGTAATTTTATGTAGTTGGGAACTGACTATTAATACCTGTTAATGCACACTTGAAGTGTTGAAGTGTCTCTCGTACCACCAAAGGAGCAAACACAAGGATCATCAAGCATCTCACCATCTAAACCACAACCTTTCATGACATAAACCTAGAGCAACCTTTACTCACCTTCTCAACTGCCTTGGGGTCAACTTTCACCTCCTCTCTCTTGCTGGCTTTAATATATTTAAAGCAGCTCAGGACGCATTTGAACATATAGGCCTGGAAAGGAAAGGGAAAGGGAAAGGGAAGTCTGCCTTGGCACTGCAAGTCAACAAGAGCATTTCTATGTTTGCCATCATCCTACCACAACCCTTCTCCTCAGATGAAAGCCTGAGGGAAGCCTGACGCCACACATTCCAAGGCCTTAAATCAGACTGTCCTATTGGAAGGGTGGCAACTCCAGGACTACAGGCACACGCTTGAGGCTGCTGAGTGCCCAACGTCATCATGCAGGAAAGGAAAACGTCAATTTTCATTGATTTTTCTGAGCAGGCTGCGAAGTCTGGGTGTCTCAGAAACACATGGATGGGTACAACATCCATCTCCCAGAGATCCAAGGCCTCCTTGTCGACTAGGACTGACCTCAAAGGATGGCTCATTCAAGAAAACCTCGTGTTTCCATTCATTTCACTTTTCTGACAGGCCTGCCTTGCGCCTCCTTACACAGTGTGGTAAACAGAGAGATTTTCTGAGAAAAATGGATCGATTGACAGATTGTGGTGCAAGAAAATAAGCAAGGCCTGTGAAACATACCATATGAAATAAATATTTTCCCTGTGCTGTGCACTGAGGCGAAGTCATGTGCCTCTTGTTTTTATTGGCGTAGGGCTGTACTTTAAAAACAGTTGGCATTTTCTAGGGAACACAGGGAGTTGTATGTCCCAAGAACAAGCCCTGTAGCTTAGGATTTCCCAGAACAATGAGGACTGTTTGCCTTGACACAAAGCCAAGGCAAAGAATGAGAACAAGGAATGGAGTATCTGAGTTGAGGGAATGTGTCTCTCAAATAGACTTATGAAGATGAGGAGGTAAAGGCACGCTTTGACCACCTTCAGGGAGCACTGCAAAGGCCTTCCCATTCCAAATGCCTCTTCATATAGAAGAGCAAACATGCAATACACTGAAGCTATCATACTAACTGTACAAAAAAACCCCACTCAACTCCTAAATAACCCCCGAATAAATTTTTAAAAATTACAATAATTATATATATATATATATATATTTATGTATATTTGCTTTGATTTTGTTATAGCTAGCCCTGTAGGAAATTCAAACCAACTGATCTGCCAGGTCACACTGCCAGCTGGGTTGCAGAGTTACCTCCACTCTTATTGCTCAGTTTATGCAAACATTAAGATATGCTGGAGTCACATCTGCAGAGCATCATACAGGACTCTCCATTCCACACTGTTTTTTCAGGCCACCTGGGAAGAGTCTAGATTAAAAAAAATGCTTTCCAGCTAACAAGTAGCAATTGTCACTGTGCAGAATCTGCTCTCTACCTGAAGAGATACAGTTTTCCTTTTGAAACCCCTGGATGAAAAATCTGTTCTCTGATCCATTGAAGCAAGAAGAAGAGAAACCATCTCACTGTGCAGAAAGTCTCATATGATGCAGTTTTCTAAGACGTACGCAGAACCCAGTAGCTCATTGCTTTTAATTAAGTTTCAGGACATCTGACTGCATAACTCTGTTTGCATCAGTGCAGACACAGCAACTTACCCAAGTGGAAGATCCAACCTGCTGCTTAACAATCTCATTGATTTTGTCGTACAATAGCAGAAGAGTTTCCTATAATTCGTTTTCAAACATCTTATCCTTTTAGAGATGAATGACCAGTCATAGTTCTTGAACACAGGGAGAGATTTCTTTGTAACTCACACCCCCAGAATCATAAGAGTGATCTGATTATCAGACCCTCACTGAGGCATAGCTCCTATTGCACCCAAGGGGAGAGCCAAACAGCTTTCTGTGGTTCTGGCAGATTTGAGAGAGAAGTACCAATCACTTCCTCCTATCCCTCGGGCAGCAAAGCTTTCTTTCTTCCCTCACGTCGCACCACACCCTGCAGCCATTTACCTTCAAGAAGAGGACAGCAATGAACGCAACAGTGAAGGTGACCATCACTTTGGCATATTCCTCTGTTGGTAACTTCTCCAGGGCTGGCATAAAGCCCTGTGAAAACAGGGAGAGGGTCTCAGTCAAACATTTGTCCCCTCTGCCAGGGTCACGCAATGTGCTCATCACCTACCCTGTTGTCTGCAGACTTGAGGCTGAGGTATGTGGGCACCTCCATGTAGGAGCTGCAGAGGGTCAGGATGCTCAGGCAGAAGTCCAGCAGCTGCAGAGCCAGGAAAGGGGTCTTCAAGTGTTCCTGCTGTGCAGACAAATAGCAGGGGACAGGGTTTTGGTTATGACTACAAGACCTTATAGATTTTCCCTATTTACATGGGCCTGTGCTTCATCATCATTTACAGCCTATCTGGGGGTTGGGGCTCGATGTTATTTAAGGTTCCTTCCAACCTCAGTCATTCTATGATTTAATTCATTTATACAAACCATAGTATTGGGCAAAGCATCTTGCTGGGTTGGTTTCTACCAGCTCCTCTGGAAAAGTCTCTAGCTGTTGCAGTGATGTTCCTGACTTATCTCACAAATATCTCCCCAAAGCCTTGAGACAGAAAATAAAATCAACAGGAAAAGTCCCAGATGTGGGAAACCCAATTTTGTCCCAGCTATCCCCAGTAGCCATTGTGGACCTTCTAACTCCCGAGGATTGCAGCCACTGTAGGAACAGCTTCATCATGAAAAGCCATCCATAAAGAGCATTCTGACACGAGCTGTTACCTACTGTGTGTCTGAAGGATGACACTGAAACCATGGCTGGGACTTGGATGTAGGAACTGAACATTGTGAGGAGGCTGAGGAGAAAGTCCATGACTTGTAGAGCAAGGAATGGGATCAGGAGGCGTTCCCTCTTCTGTGAGAAAAATCAATGTGAGTTATTTCTGTTCTGAATGGGAGGATGAGCCCATCCATCAATACCTAAAATTACATGTGTTAAGGTACTACAAGAACAAAACCTCTCCTGGAATTTCTGCATCTGATTCTAGATATTGTGATGACCATGGTAGCTTCAGCAACACTGAAGGGCATCAACATTGATTTTAATTCTTTTTCCCACTCCACACTTAAAGTTTCTGTGAACTTTCATTACATGACCTTGATGTTTGATCCCATCAAATCAGTTTCCATTAGTTGTTCAGCATTTCCAAGCTTTCTGCTTCAAAGAAAGTTGGGTTCCCAGATCAGCACATGGTCATTTCTCCCCCAGAAATAGGAACCATAATTCCCCATATATAATAGGGGATTTATGGTTCCCCTCCAAGGTCTGACCTGTACAAGAGTATGGAAATGAGGCAATAGAGAAACATTTCCAAATAAGAGTATTTCCATCCCACAGCACAACAAATAACCTTGTTTTAAATGTCACTCAGTCTTGGTGAGGCTGGCATCATTGTGGTCATACGTCAGCACTCAGTGAGCATCCTCTAGTCCCCAGTACCAGAGAGCCCCCAGCAAGCAGCTTAATGACATCTGTGGAGGACGTACCTTCACCACCCCAAAGAGGAGGTTGAAGCTGATGACAAACAGCATGATGATCAACAGGAAACTGGTGGTGACATCAGCTAAAAGCGACAACATTAATTTCATGTTACTAAAAGCTGGAGCCTAATGTCCACCTCCCACATTCAGGCACATGGGATTGAAGTTTTAAATATCCCGGGCTACAATATTAAAGTAAAACAAAATGAAAAGAAGCAGTGAAGTTTTAAGCAGTGATCAACAACTCTGGTCAGGAAATTATTTTGAGACTCAGATAAGTGAATCAACAGTAAAAGCTGTGGAGAGATCTACGAGATACTCAAGCAAGGAAGAAGATTCAACCACCCAGCAGTGGCATGGACCACAGAGCTGCCTCCATCCACTCTCTGTAGTTGCAGAATGCAACACACTCCTTATAAAAAGTAGATGCATGAGGAGAAACAAGGAACTTTGCTTTTACTTATATCTTGTTAAATAAATACTGAATTTATTTCCTTTTTTAGCCACAACATAATGAGAACTGAAACATGGAAGGAGACTTAGGAAGCAGCAAAGAAAGGCACCCAAGCCCAAAAAGAGAACAGAGGAGAATGTATAGAGGGCTGCACTAAAGGAGGTCCTGCTCATAGTTTGCACGGGGGAGAGCTCAAAAAAACCAAACCCACCTCAGGAACAGGAGGACAAGGCTGAGATCTGATGTACAGAAAACCAAAGGCCATAATAAACTCCAGATAAAGAGGAGCTTGATGAAGATCTCAACCTTTGCAGACAGTCCTAGTTCCACTAAGCCCCAGTTGCCTGAAGCCACTTTCCCTGATTCTCCTTCCAAAACCACCCATCAGAGAGAGTTTATCCCTTTAGCAGGATGTTTCCTCAGATTCAGTCAAGGCAGCTGCATTTTTCTGCCTCTTTCAGTCTGGCTTCATGCTTCGGGCTTGCTAATTAATTGGACTACTGGCCACTGCCTCTGCAGGCTAATTGCCCAGATGAACTTTCAAATTAATCTACAGAGTGCCTATGGGAGCGCAGGGCCTGTTGGGGAGGTAAAGTGCCACCTGAAATATCCCACCAGGGCTGGCAGAGGGCTGAGGTGCCTTCCAGGACCAGAATTAATGGAGTTCGTGAGGCTGGAGCCTATCAAAACCATGGTAGACTGCAGCTGGGATCGATGTGACTTACAGGCCCTTTCCATGCCCAGTGTCCATGGCTGAAAAATGTAAGAAAGTATTTTTTAAGTTCCCTTAGTACTTATCTCCATGCCTAGTTGGTTTTTGTATGATGAATGTTTGACTGTTGTACTTAAGGGGCCTCAGAAAATGGCTCAATATAGGACTAAACTGTAATTTAGGACAAAGTTGTAAGTTAATCTTTATTAGAGAAAGGATCCAGTACCTTCTGTGAGAACAAAATTTAGTTTTTGCTCAAGTTGGTAATACCTGAGTTTGGGGGAAGGAGAGCTCAGATACCTTAGTAGGCTTTGCACTGTGTGTCCATTGGCAGTTTTTATACGTTAGCTTTTCCAGTTTTCAGCTCTAGGGGGAATAGACCCAAGACTGAGCTCTGGAACAGGTTGCCCACATTGGTGGTGGAGTCTCCTTTTCTGGGGATATTCAAACCCCCTTGGATGTGACTGTGGGTAATGTGCTTTAGGTGACCCTGCTTGAAGCAAGGGAGTCGTACTGGGAGATCCCAAGTCATCCCTTCTAGTCTCAACCCTTCTGTGATTTTATAATTCTTGTACCAAGCCTGAGATGAGCTGTGTCCCAGAGATCCCAGGGAATTTCATGAGAAGGAGCTCATATGTGCTGTGAAGTAAATGCCATTTCCCTTGGTGATATGACCAGAATGGAGCCATATGGTAGAGCCGTAGAGCTGTGCTGGACATCTGCACTGCCAGCAAGAAATGCCAAATACTTAATGTCAACCAAATAAGCCCTCCCAGCTAACAGAGGATTTATTTACCAAATGTCTATATCTGGTTAACTTCACATCAGGATTTATGTCCTATCCGTAGCCAGGAGGGACTCTGAGTGACTTGTAATATTTTGATGAATGCCAAGAAACTCCTTTCTGTTTTATGGCCCAATAAACTGGTATGGGAAATGCGAGCAGGGCCAGTAATGCTCTGGTTTAACAGAGCACGGAGATGTGAATCTGGTTCTTCCAAATTGCAGCTGAATGTCCCAAAATGCCACAAGGCCATTTGTCTCCTGTTCCTTCTGCTTGGCCAGATTAATCTTGTTCTATTCTTAAACATCAGGTGGTAAAGTGAAGCTTGCTTTAGACCAGTTAACATCCTGAATCCTGACACTGACCCCACTATGAGTCATCTTCAAAGGTTCAGAATGAATAGAGAAGATACTGGATATTCTTCCTGTTTTAATGTTATATTTTTAGTAGATCTACTAATCTCTTGATCAACTTCTACTGAAAAGCAGCTTTCAGAGGGTGCTCTTGGTGCTACCCTGCCTGCAGCATCTTATAAACCAAGGCAGCAAGGAAAGGCTGCTAGGAAGAGGCTTCATTTCTCCTAAAGACTGCTGATCCTGTCACTCTTCCCATTGTCCCAGCAGTGACAAAAACAATCCCAATTCTCCTTCCTACAGGTCGGTGAGCCTCACCTCTGTGCCTGGGAAGATTATGGAACAGATTCTCCTGGAAGACATGTTAAGGCACATGGGGGATGAGCGGGTGATCTGAGACAGCCAGCATGGCTTGACCAGGGGAAGGTCGTGTCTGACAATCTGGTGGTCTTCTATGGTGGAGTGATGACAATGGTGGACAAAGGAAGGGCAACTGATGCCATCCACCTGGACTTCTCCAAGGCCTTTGACAAGGTCCCCCACTACATCCTTATTTCCAAATTGAAGAGCTCTGGATTTGAAGGGTGGAGTATTTGGTGACTAAGGAATTGGTTGAATGGTCCCAGGCAGAGGATGGTGGTCAATGACCCTATGTCCAGCTGGAGGTGGTGACCAGTGATGTCCCCCAGGGGTCTGACTTGGGGCTGGTGCTCTTTAATATTGTTACCAGTGACATAGATGATGGAGTCAAGTGTATCTTCAGCAGATGGCTGATTTCAGCAAGCTGAGTGGTGCAGTTGATACAGCAGAAGGAAGAGATGCCATCCAGAGGCACCTTGATAGGTAGGCCCACATGAAGCCAATGAGGTTCAACAAAGCAAAGTGCAAGGTTTTGCAGCTGGGTTGGGGTAATCCCAAGTATGTATACAGACTGGGAGAAGAAGAACTTGCCAGCATCCCTGCTGAGAAGGACTTAGGTTTCCTGGTAGATGAAAAACTTAATGAGCCAGCAGCGTGCAGCCCAGAAGGCCCATGGTATCCTGGGCTGCATGAGAAGAGGAGTGGCAGCAGGGCAGGGAGAGGATTGTTCCCCTCTACTCTGCCCTTGTGAGGCCTCATCTGGAGTACAGCATCCAAGTCTGGGGCCTCCAACACAGGAAGGAAGTGGAGCTGTTGCAGAGGGTTCAGAGGAGGGCCACAGATACGATCAGAGGGCTGGAGCCCCCATCCTACGAAGACAGGCTGAGGGAGGTGGGTTAACTCAGTCTGGAGAAGAGAAGGCTGTTGGGAAACTTCATTATGGCCTGCTAGTGTTTAAAGGGAGATTATAAACAGGAGGGAAATCAACTCTTTACAAGGACAGATAGTGATAGGAGAAGGGGGAATGGTTTTAAACTTGAGGTCCTTTCCAACCCAAGCCATTCTGTGATTCTGTCATCTACAAATAGAGCAGCATATGCTGAGGACATCCACAGAACCTCTCCCACATTGTTCTCCAGCTCTTCCATCTGGGTTCTGAAGTCAAATTGAACTTTTTATACAGCTTAGCTGCCTTGTTTCCCTGCTTGTTTCTGGAAATAGAAGAGTTGCACTGCGTTTATTCCAAATACAATCAGAAAGTGCTCTCCATCTCCCAGGCAGAGCCCTTTGAAACACTTGGAAGGAGGAGCCAAGTGGAAGGGGGAAGCTCTGCAGAAAGCATTATCAAAAGCATTCATTGTGCAAGTTAGATATTGAGTTCCCTCCAACCCACCCAGACTTTCCTCCACTTTCTGTGCACTTCTGCAGCTTGGGGAAGGAAACACTGGAAAAGCAGGGGACGGGCAAATCCTGGCTGCTGTGGGCTTTTTTTCCTGTGTAATTCCTCATGACTTTGTAGGGTGAAACACCACAGGGCAGAGGACTCTGATTTCCGCCTTTCTGAGCACAGTGCAGAAGGGTTATCTCAGCCTGTGGTTTTACAGCAGAAAGTGACTAAGAAAAGGAAAAAGCACCCTGCATCTATTGTCCCCAACACCTTCATGCAAATTTTTTTCTGGCTAAGTAAATTTTGAGGTTTGGGGAGCTGTTTTCTTTTAAATTTTTAAATTTTCTTTTAAATTTTTAAATTTTCTTTTTCTTACACCACATGAGTAGGAATTCAATCAGTTGTGACAAATGTAATGCTTGGAACTGCATGTGCGATAGGGAACAGCCTGGATGCTTCTTGCAGACAACTCATGTTGTGCCAAAACCACCAGGGGACAAAGGGGCTGGAGTTGGAAAGGCATTGGCATAGCTGCCCAGGAAAGTTGTGGAGTCACCATCCCTGGAGGTGCTCAAGAAATGTGGAGATTTGGCACTGAGAGATGTGGTCAGTGGCCATGCTGGGGCTGGGTTGGGGTTGGACGAGATGATCTCAGTGGTCATTAAAAGCCTTAATGAAAGAGGAACTTAAAAGAAAGAGGAACCATTGGACGACCCCAATGTCCCCTGCTCCCTTCCAGCATCCTGATCACCTACCAATTCTGTAGTAATCCTTGCCCAGGTCTTTGCAGTAGCCCTTCCCACTCGCCACCTCCAGGGAATACTCGATCAGCAGCAAGATGCTCATCACCTAGGAGAACAAAGGCAAAAGGCACAATGCAGCCCACAGCAGGCCAACTTACTTTTGACAAATCTGTTTCCAAGGAGCATGCAATGGCTGCAGCCCGAAGTGCAGGGTGGTGCTCCAATAGCATTTTGAAGTGCTAAAAGAAATGCAGTAAAAATTAAGACCCTTCTGTAAGTCCAGCTATACTGTTTCAGTGACAAAAAAATCATTTTCCTTCTTTTATTTATTTGAGAAAATCTTCCAAACGTGCTTTTTTTTTCCTTTTTTTTTTTCTTTTTTTTCCCCACATTGAACATAACTGGTTCGATTTTCTCTCATTTGACCCCCAAGAAAATAAAAAATGGTGCAAACATGATTCCATCACTCCACTGAATCCAGCACTGGGAGCACACATTCTTCATGCTTGAGGCACTGACAAAAGGACCATCAGTGAAGAAGTCATTGGGAAGAGGTGAGTGAGGGAAAGTATTTGTCTGCTCAGCACAGAGGTTGCCTGGAACCCCACGATGATGCAGGAAGGAAGTCTGTATCTGACACCACAATCAGCACAAGCATGGTACTGTGTAGCTGAAACAAGTTGTTCACAATAGCTGCCAGAGCCTCTGTGTTATGGCTTGCTTAAAGAAGTGACGCAGGCAAGGAGGAAACTGAACTGTTGTGGTTGTGCTCCTGCTTGCAAACTTTGTGTATGGGCAGCAGTGCAAAACAAGCAACTGCAGGAGATGAGAAAAAGCTTAACGGTTAGGCAAGCAGAAGAGATGATTTGTTCTTTCCACAGAGAGCTCAGGCTGCAGTAATGCATGGTCATCTGCCTCCTGCACTACAGCAGGTATTGCAGACAAAAGAAAGAGGCACAGAGAGAAAGGCTTTGCACTGGGCCAGAAATGAGGAAGCAAAGCTAGGAGGGCACTGCTATGTGGCAAAGACAGGAACCACATGCAGCCTCTCCCACGACAGTGTTAGCTGGAGAAGACCAGAAACTGTCCCCAGAACCAAATCCATCAACTTTCTTTGCCACGAGCTGCAAGTTCTGTTTCCAGAAGAGCTGGAGGTGGTCCTTGGAATCCTTCATTTCTGATGAGCACATGCTCCCCAAGAGATTTTTCTTGCTGTTACTGGTCAAAATGGCAGCATGGGAAACTGAGAAAGAAACTGCTTTTTCATGTTTCTGTTAAATGGAGAAAAACAGAAGATCTGAGCCCAAAGCATCCGCATGTTTCCTGAAAGTCAAGTGAGTGAGAGCAGGAGATGGAATCCTAGATGAATTTACAGACAGAGCCAAAGTTTCAGCACAAAAGACCATCCCCATTGCCGATCAGGGGAACAATAATAAAAAAAGACACTCTGAGATCCCTGCAAGTGTTGAAAAAACAACCAAACGAATGGCAGTCCCATATCAGAGAGCCAAACCAAGCATAAGCAGAAGACATTTTAAGCGAAACTCGGCTTTAAGTTTCCATTTATAAGAGATTTTGCATAGAAAGAATGAGCCACTGAACTGCAACGAGGTAAGAGACAATGCTCTGGGGGTCATTTCTGAGCTCTCAGTCCCATGGCCAAGAGATCCCTCCATCACCCACCTCTGCGTTTGGCATCCCACTGCCTGGCCCGTGACAAGCCCATTTATTCTTGCAGAGAACAGAAGGTAATTGAAGCCCCACAGTGGAGCTGAGAAGTTGGAGGAAGGTTGGTGACACTGGTTGGCCAAACACTGAAGGACAGAGGCATAGCGAGCTGCTAACCCAAGGCAGATAATCTGAGCAAGCAACAGGGCATCTTGTAAGGCAGAAACTTAACAGCCCCGTTCCCTGGGGGGGTATTTGCTGCAGCCATGGTAGGGTTAAGCTACTGCCAGAAGTTGTGTCAGGTACTTTTTCTTTGCTGAAATCTGTGCAGCTTGACTAATCTCCAAATTATTTATATGTGTGCACATGGCCTTGGTGTGACACATGCTTACTTTTCTCACACCCAGGCTTTGCAAAGAGCCTGAAATTGCAATGAGCAGGGGTCAGTGGGGACACAGATGTGCTTTGAGGGTTCCTGACTTCTGTGCATGCAGGGTGGTGACACCTGGCACTGTGAGGTCGAATGGTGCCTCATGTAAGTGCTTTACTTTCAGTGCTTCACCTCTTCTTACTTTAATTTAAAAGTGGCTGCTGTGTTTCAGAGCATTTTATCTTTTCCTTCCTGCTGCCTCTTTTTTCCTCTCTGTTCATGTGATAGAGATGCTCTGGGAGGATGAGGGCAGTCACAGCCTGCTGACAGCACAGTTCCATGCCAACAGAAACCATAGTCACAGTGAAGGCTGGGCCTGGGTGGAGATGGAGCTCTGCTCATGAAGTACCAGTGCTCAGCTATGACAGGTCAACCCAACGAGATGCCACTTTCCAAGACCTTTGTCTCTAATTAAGGATGAGTAGCAAATGAACTGTAGCTTTTCTGCTTATGCACAGAAGCAATAGCCAGGCTTTGCTCTTGAAGCTAACACCAAATAACTTGGAGTCTCTTGTCAATGAGCAGGAGAAGAAATTCTTCCATGCTTCCTTTCGAAGTCACCACCCGACGCCTCTTGAAGCTTTGCTAATCACACGACTGTCCCCTCCTCATCCCCCTCCTTCTCCTTCCCCATTTGTTTGAGAACATCCACATTTATTTCAGCTGTCTATGGAGAGATCAGCAGTAAGACAGGTCTAATTTATAGGAGTACAAGATATCACCAGGAAGCCCGAGAGCTTGTGTTTGATGGTGTTGCTATCACCCAGCATCACTATGATTCATCATTGGGACCCATAGCAATAATTTATATTGATACAAACAAACAGTATTGATGTGGCAAATCATCCATGTCACCACTGAGTTATAAATTCCCTTTCCCCTTTCCCTCCTGCTGCCAAGCTGCAGCAACATCATAAAAAGGCAGAGAAAAGGTAGGAAATATAAAAGGTTGCTGCTATTCTTCTGTATTATCTCTTAAAGCAGTATGACAAGACCATCTACTGCAAAATCCAATGGCAATCTCCTTCCTGAGAACACCGTGAAGCCTCACCCCAAGGCTCTGCCTTTTGCTGTTCAAAACTCAACTACAAATCTTCAATAGACTGACAATGATTTTTGCAGTAACACGTCTTCCACATTACTGGAAATGAAGGTTTCGCTGTTGGCCATCAGCACCGTGAGCTGATCTCATTCTCTTCCAGTAAAGGCTGGTGCAAATTAGGAATATCTACTGGCACCACAGTGAAACAATGGTTAGAAAATGTGTTTTGTTTCGAAGCATTTGGAGGAACACAAAGGAGGCTCCCATGCTAGGAAAGATTACTTCCCTTTCTCTCTGTGCCTCTGATTCTCCACTGGCAGCAGGCAGCTTGCATCACATGCCATGCCTGTAGCTCTTTGTCATGCATTTCCTCCCTTTAATTTTGCCACTTCCTCTTCAAACCTTGGGAGTTCTTTCTATGAGGGTCCCATTTCCAAGCAGGTCATGACCATCCCTCCACGATGGCTCTGTGTTTAATTGGTCATCAGAAATTGCTTCTGCTCTGCTGCAAACTCTCCGCTTTCATATGGTTCAGTTTTTGTTACTTGGGGTCATAAGACTGCACAAGAGATACAGCAATTTCCGTTTCTTCAAAACAGTGAGATTATGAGCTTTGAGTCTGTGCTGAGAAGATGAGAAGTCTGCCTAGGCTGTAATCTAGATGCTCAAAAAGCAGAAGGCAAAGGAGGATATAAAATTGCAATCTCATCACATTTTGAGGCCCCCAAATGATTAAAATTTGACATTGGAAATGGTATTGCAGCACCTGGATTCCACATAGTGCCAGGGGCAAGCTCTGCTCTTCTGAGCTGGTGTGGGGGTATCTTCTGTGGTCATTAATGACCCTGTGGTCACGGTCTGCACAGGGAGTGGTGGAATCAATGTCCCTGGGGGTATTCCAGAGCCGTGGGGATGTGACACTGTGGGATGTGGTCAGGAGGTATGCTGGGGATGGGTTGAGGTTGGACTTGATGATCTATGATCACCCTTTGCTGAATGCTTTCACTTTATCCCACTATCCAAATCAGCAACTAAACCCATCTCCAGTTTTTGTTGCCTTTCATTGCATGAGTTCAGTGCTCCATCAACGGATGCAGGGATGGCACGATGGGAGTCAAAGCTGTTATGTCACTTCATGCTGGACCCCAATCTCAGCTTTGTGTGAGCAAGAAGAGGGCTGTGGCATAGTGAGGGCATGCCTGGCCTGCTCCAGCTGCTCCAGAAACGCAGTGGGGATCATGACATGTCCATGCCCAGCACATTCTTGCAGGTGACAGTTCCCTTCACTCCACTTCTTTGCACAGAGGAGGGTCAGTTCCCTGTTAGATGTTATCACACTGTGTGCTCCCAATGTGTGAGTGCACACACCCAGTGCAGCAGAAGGGATTATTTTAAGTGTGCCCTGCTGTGCAAGAAACCACATCCTCAGTATGACGTGAGGCCACCTGAAAGCACATCTCTGCAGCCCGAATGGGGGGAGAAACATCTCTGAATAGGGGAAGAAACGTCCCCGAATGTTCCCTGTGCTGCCCAGCTGCAGCCAGCAGCTCCAGGCAGCTGCACCAAGTGCCTCCCTGCATGAGCAAGAGCTCCTGAATTGAGCTGCAAGGGAAAGATCAGGAAGCAGAGATGGTTTCCATGAGCTCCAATGGATAGAGAGAGGGAATAACAGTTTAAAAAAAATACAACTGTAATAAATTTCTTCCTGCCTACTCCTCCCCTCCCACCTAACCTCCCACTTTGTTCATTCCCCTCAAACCATTTGTCTTTTGTTTTTGGCAAAACGTGAAAGTCAATAGTCAGGGAACTCCATGATCTGCAGTGCTTGTACCTTCTGCAAGCATTTCCCCCTTGCTTCTTTCTTGTCTCCCTCCATCCCCCGCTGTGTCACTTACCATGTGGAAGATCCCCAGAGCCAGAGTTGCCGTCTTGATGTTGAAGAAGCAGCATTTTGGGGGCTTGGTTTGGGCAGTCATGTTGGGATCCCTCTGCTCTGCTGGGAGTTACAGCGGTTCCGTCTGCAGCAGCCACCTCACTGGAGAGCAGAGCGAGCAGTGCAGTTCAACTTCCTTCCTGGTCTATAAGTGTGTTTAGTCATCCACATGGTCACATGAGATCTTTGATTTCTCAATAAGAAAGAAAGCAAAAAAATAATGTTGCTTTTCTAACAGATCTTTAACTGCTTTCACATCCCTGAGCAATCCCTGGCAAATGTGAGCACAAAACTGCTTCGGGCAGGTAGTGAGCAGGGTGTAGGGGAGCAGTGGGCTTTATCCTAGAAAAACCATCAGAAATAAGAGCAGGGGGCCAAGAATGTCACCTTAAACTTGACCCACTGTTTTTGCAGTGAAACATCCAAATTCCTGAGCATGAAGCAGCTGGTTCCTTGCCAGCAAAGACACTGCTCCCTGCAAACACCGATCCCGAGCAGCACTGTTCTGTGGGGCTGCAGCAGTGGGGTCACCAGGGATGGGGTTCTTGGCCACCAGGCTGATGGATCTGTTCCTGGTTTGGGTATGAAACATGAAGCAGCAATGGGACCTGAGCACAGGTGACAGCCATTGTGCAGTTTGTCCAGTGGAGGTGGAATCGTATTTTTATAGAATAAGAATCATTTGAGTTGGAAGGAACTTTCGAAGGCCATCCAGTCCGGCGCCCCTGCAATGAACAGAGACATCTATGGCTTATCAAGGTGCTCAGAGCCTGGTCCAGCCTGACCTTGAATGTCTTAAGGAATGGAGTTTTGGCAATATTAAAGGTCTAATTTAAAGCTGGCAATATGAACATCTGCACAGGCTTCCAGAGAACTTCTTCTGCCTGGAAGAGATGGACTGGAAGACTTCAGTATGGTTGAGTGGATGCTCATGGAGGTTCTACAGTGATGAGCTCCTAGCCATAGCTTTGTGCTGCAGTGGATCACAGAATCAAAGAATGATTTGGGTTGGAAGAGACCTTAAAGATCATCTAGTTCCAGTCCCCTACTGGCTGCCACCATTCAAGCATAAATCATTTTATAACTTTTCAGATGGCGTGACATGGCATAGTACTGGATAGAACAGAAATCATAGAATCATAGAATTGTAGAACATCCCAAATTAGAAGGGACCCAGTAAGGATCGCAGAGTCCAACTGTTGGCTCCACATGAGAATTTAAGAAAACAGACACTATTTATATCTTCATATTCATAGGAATAAGGAGAACACCACTGATTGGAGGTTGTGTCCAGACATTGTTCTGTCCCTGTAATTTTCAATGCTAGCATCCAGGCCAACATTTTTTTTTACTAACCTGTTCCAACCACTTCTATTCTGGTTTTCTCACCACAAACAGCACACATTCATAGTAGTATTTCATCATGGAGAGCACATTCACAGTGTAAGCTGACAGCACAGATTCTTTCTCTGCTTCTGTACGGAATCCATACTGCAGTATAACATTTTTTATATCCTCATAGCCTGATTCTATAGAAAGTTCTCCATCATCCCATCCCTTTGACAGAAGAGCTCAGAGCCTCCAAGCCTCCCCACTGCTTGTTCACCAGCCAGGTGGGATGTTGCTGGGTCAGGACCCCAGGAGGGCTGCAGAAAGCTCAGGAAACACAGGCAGGATGGAGCCTACTGCAATTAACTCCCACATTTGCTGCTTTTCTGACTCCCAGCTGGCAGGTGGGAAAGTGAGTGAATGGAGAAATACCCCAGTTTGTGGCTGCACCACTGGATAGAAGAGAGCTAGCAGGTAGCTGGTGCCTGTGGATTCCCAGGCTGCTCAGTTTTCATTGCAAGGAAAACATGAAATTTATAGACTCTGAAATTACAGGGTTAGCAAAAGATGCCATCAGTGTAAGCTATATTTCTGCAACCCACTCCAAACCTGCCTAGCTCTGGATTTCAAGGATACATTTTTTCATACAGAGTAAATTTGAAATATGTTTGGTCTCACTCCTTCCTGGAATGTGCTTTTACAGATTCTGCCTTTTTCTTTCAGGATGGGAAATAAAGTGTCTTCTACAGAGAATGGCTATGGGTATCCTGCTACAAGAGACCTCTTGCATCTTCCTGCCTTCATATGCAAAGGCAAAGCCAGGCAGCAGCTGGGAAATGTGCCTACCAAGTCCCCAAGCCTAAAAATTGTCTTCCACCATGAGACACTGCTTTGTCTTCTGTGTCTCCATTGGGAGAACTTGCACTGAGCCCAACACCAAATGGCCACCATTCCTCCAGGGCTCCATGGACAGCAGCAGGCACCTACAACACCTATCACTTCAATCATAAAATCATAAAGGCTGGAAAAGGTCTCCAAGACCATCTAGTCCAACTGTCAACCCATGCCCACCATGCCCACTGACCACAGTGCCACATCTGTATGGTTCTTAACACCTCCACCTCCCCCCCGGGCAGACTTTTCCAATGCCTCATCACTCTTTAGGAGAATAAATTTTTTTTCTACTTCCCAATCTAATCCTCTCCTGGTTCACCTTGAGGCCATCACATCACTGCCCTTCTCTCCAGGTCTTTCTTGTAGAGAGCAGCCCAAAACTGAACTCAGCACTTGAGGTGCAGCATCACCAATACCGAAAACAGAGTGATGATCACTTCCCTGATATTACAAATATGGAATTCACTCCAGTGTTTTGGTGCTATTTTGGAGCCTCCAACCTCCTGGAAACCATTGGGTGGAGAGAGGAAGCAATGGGAGATGGATGGTGAACAGTTGCTGTGTGTTTTAATGGACCCCAGAGTAGGTTTTGGTTAAATCCTACTTCCTTGAGGTCTTTCGTGACAACAATCTTGTGTATCCTGACACCACTTTTGGTTGTCTCCATTTGGGGGGCGATCTTTGGGCTAAAAATGTGATTGCTTTAATGCATTTCAGAATGGCCTCTGACAAATTAAAATCCAGCTGCCAACATTTACTGGTGGGCCCAATGTAGAGAATGAAAATGAAATATTTTCAGACTACTCAGGGAAAGCACAAAGCTGTAGCTGGGGACCAGAGGCACCACGAGCTTTGATCCCTGCATCTCTCAGCATCCCTTGGGAACTGAATGCTGCGTCAAACCGCAATGATGTCTGGAGCATCCTTGGAGGAATACGGTTAAAAACGATAGTGGGTTTTAAAAACAGGTCTGCTTAAACATCTTTCATTTACACATCAGTTGCAAAAACAGACTTTGCTTTACCTTCTCCACATGAAATGTATTTTCTTTGGGGGTTGCCTCCCCCCAGACCAGTTTGTGGGCCCAGCCGAAGGAAGGTGCAGGAGGATCAAGTATTTCCTGCTAATATGAAAAGCTGGTTCATAATCTGAACCTGACTTTCCTTGAAAAGTGTACTTTCCTTTTGCAATCCCCCATCCTTTTAGAGGCAGACAGAGGCTTGCTTGTGCCTTTGAGCATACCATACCCAAACTTAGCTCGCGATGTGTAAAAACAAATAGAAAGTGTGGCCCAGGCTGGGCTATTGGCTTCAAATAGCCCTGCACTGCCTGAATGCCAGTGCATTATGCTGAGTGGCCCCTTTCAGCAGTCTGCATACCACGTCCTTCAGACACCCAGCACCGCTGAAAGATTGGCCTTGTAGGAAGTCGGTTGAGTGAGGAACACAGCCCTACTTCTTCCATGCTGCCATGGACCCGTATCTGATGTGCTCCTTGAGCCCTGCCCCAGCTCCTTCCTGGAAGCAATCCCAGGTGGGAGCTCTCATTTGAGGGGTCTTTACAACACCTGGACATCAGCTCCTTTCTCACAAACACCTATCAGCCTCCTGTAACCATTTCCCAGTTTCCATGCAGCCCTGATCCTGGCCCCAGGCAGTAGGAAATGTTCTCTCCTTCCTAATTGGCTTGCTCCAAAGCATGCTTAATGTATTTGCACTCTACAAGAAGCCAAACAACAATGTGAGAGCCTTAATGAGAGAGGGGCTGAATTGCCAGCAGAGCAATAAATCTCTGGCAGAGGCTGGCATGGGGTCTGCTACCACAAATTCCCATTGCAAACCAGTTGGGCTCAGGCATCTGCTGCTGCCAGGAAAAAAAAATGGAGCATTCAGTTAACTCTTGTGACTTTCATCCATCAGTTCATTATGCTTTATGTCTATGCTGATGCGTGTTTTGCCATTTGCTGCTTTTTATCGACATTATGTGCCACGCTGTATTCATTGCACCAGGATTTATATCTGCCCTGTTACCTGCTTTATTCTTTCATTATATTTTATATCAGTTTTGCTATGCTTGGTGACTGCACAGCCTCCTTCTAGATGCACCTTACCATATTTTACACATTACTTTACATGTCTTCTGCTTTATTCTGACATAAAAAATAATAATCTTGGAGTATATTTAAGTGCTTACAGAGGTAAGAGGCCATTGTTTTGGTTCAGCTGGATGCAGGAAGCGGCTGTGTTGGCTTTTACTCACAAACCTACACAAGAAAATTGCCATATTTGGGTTTAAATAAGGCAGCAATTCTGTCTAAGTCATGGGTTAAAAAGGAAAAATGAAGGAGCCAACATTTCTGTTTGTTATTTGTATATCTGATAATGAAGATATCCCCCCTACCCTGAGCTAGCCCAGATTATGATTCTAGAACCATTCATAGACCCATTCTGTGGTTCTGATGCTGAAATTCAGGTGCTTCCACATCTGCCAGTGTCTAAATTCCCAACACACCTGGTGAAGATGGTGTGAGTTATTCAGGTCCCCTACCCAGCACACAGAGGTATCCCCAAAGTGCTGCTCCTTCCCCTGGAGCTCAGTCCCACCTCAGCTGTCCCACAGAAGTCTGTCTGTGAGATGATTCCCTATCCCAAACATAGGAACCTGGGTAGAAGGGTAGAAGTGGTGCTGAGGGATGTGTTCAGTGGGCATGGTGGGGATGGGTTGGTGGTTGGACTTGGGGATCTTAGTGGCCTTTTCCAACCTTAATGATTCTATGATTTTGTAAACCCGGATGAGCAATTAGCACTGTTAAATTGCTCATTAGGAGAGAGATCTTCTTCTGCAATGGCAGCTGGACCAGTTTCCAGATAATGGAGGAAAACATAACATAGGAAAACTCCAAAATGAACA